GGGTCCTGTTATAGCCTCGTAATAGTGGACTCAAAAGTTGTCTCTACTTGAAAAAAAATTACCAATCTCGTGGGAAATATATTTTTTTTTTGCTGATGAAAACATTAAGTTTGGGAAATTTTCGTTCCGGATTGTTCATTGTAGATATTTTTTTTTCTATATATTATATACAAGACGGTGCAAAAATTCTGGAATCATGTTCGCAAGATTAGAATTTCAAAACGCTCTGAATACCTAGTTATTCTTGGCGTGACGACGCGCAAGGACTTTGAAAGCGTCACATACAAGTGCGTGACGAGTTTTTTTCTTTTTTTTTTAAAAAAAAAGGTGAAACACATTTTTTAAAAAAAAATAATTATTTTTATAAAAGTGTGAAAATCATAAAAAAAATTTTAAAATAAATCCATTTGAATTATAATAATAATAATAATAATAATAATAATAATAATAATAATAATAATAATAATAATAATAATAATAATAATATTAAAAATTATAATAATTATAATAATTAAGTAAATAAATAAATAATATTTATTCTATAAAATAAAATATCCTTTTTTTCTCTCTTTTTTTTTAAACCCGTTAATTAAAGAATCAAATAAATTGAAATTTTTATAGTTGAAAATATTAATATATAACCGATATTTATAGATTTTTATTACCATTTTGATTTTTCAATAAAATACACACACATAGTCAAAAGATAAATAGTATTTCTTTTTTTATGGTTATATTTATTGAAAAAACTATAAAAATAGAATCGTCTGGTGGAGCATATTGTATATATATATATAGGCTATATGATGCGAGAACCTGTTACTTTGGGCGTGGTTTTACTATATAGCGGGGCCGCAAGAAGAAATGAAAAAAAAAAGATTGTGGTCCATTATTTTCAAACTTCAATCATTTTTTTTTATATGTATACATATATATATAAACCCTAGTTTTCAAATAAAAGCTTCATCGTATTGTTTATGAATTATACTTTTCTTTCTCAATAATATCGAAATTAGAAAAAAAAAATTGAATTTTATAGTTAGTTGTTACATTTGTTATTTATTGCCAAATTAGTTATGTAACGGTGGTAAATAAAAATAAGTTTAATACTTTAACAATAGTAATAGTAAAAGTAATACATTATTACTGATTACTATTACAAGTCACATTATTTCCATTACAATTATTTGTTATTACAACTATAATAAATTATTATTATTATTTTTTTTATTATTATTATTGTTATTATTTTTATTATTATTATTATTATTATTATTATTATTATTATTTTTATTATTATTATTATCTTTATTTTTATTATTGTAATTATATTACAATTTGAATTACAATTTAAATTAAAAATCATTTATAAAATTTAAATATCGCGCGCATTTATGCAAACGGGGATTTCCCGAATTAAACACGCATCCTATTGGTCATATTTAAAACATTACCGCGCTGTGCGTTGTTCTCACAATTAAGGGCCAAAAAAATTAAATTATAATAAAATAATAATGCCTAATAATGATATAATAATAATTATGATAATAATAATTTTATATTAATAATATAATAAATTCTAATTAATATCTATTCAATAATATAACTTTGTGTTATAATAATGCTTAATAAATAATTGTAATTTCTAAAAACAATGCCTTCTTTCAAAAATTTTTTTCTTTTTTTATTTTATTTAATAAATTTTTTTTTCAGTTAAATTTTTACAAATATTATTTTTGGTAAAATTTTTTGAAATTGACCCCCCGTCCCTGAAAAAGGGACCCTTTTCACCTGTCAGGTCATTCGAAACGCCCACTTTAAAAAAATACCCCATTTTGCTAGTATATATATATATATATATATAGGATGCTTTATAAGAAGCACCCACTGTGAGACCATAACGGCTGTACTGATATGGTGGGAACATTATTAGTTGAATCAATAAGCGTGACTTTCTATTGTTTTGGTATTATATCGACCTTGTGGGAAGAGTAAAGGGGGGGGAGGGCTAATAGAATTATATAGGATTCATTATGAGGATAGTAAAAGTTAGAAAGACTTTCAATTATTATTAATTTATGTATACAGATAATCACTCTTTGGGATTATGAAAGTATTTACCAAGGGATAATCTTATTTGCTTCTATTGTCAAAAGACATATACAACAAGTGAATTATTATTGATAATTAACAACTTTCTTATTGTTTGAGAAAAAAAAAAATTGCAACCAAATCTAATTTTAAAAAATTACAATTTTTCTCGGTTAAAAATTACACTATTATTATAAAATTATATGTAAATTGAAAGAAAAAAAATTTCTCAATGTTGGCAAATTATCACGTTTGGATAAAACAAACTTGGCTTTTTTTATGTAAAAAAAAATAAATAAAAGCAATTTAGTACTTTATATTGTCGATGTGGAAAGAACATTATTCAATATATATGTATATGAAAAGTATCTGTTATTTGCTTCAAGCCTCAGGACCGGAAAAAGAAAAATTATCGTCCTCTGTTCTGTACACTGTGGAATATGGTACGGAAATTGTGATTTACTTTCCCTGTGCATAATGCGCAGGATATAGTCAATAGTAGGCTATCTTGTATGGCTAACCGACTGGTACTATATATATATATATGTTAAGTAATGTACCATATTCGTACATATATACAGAAGCTGTTTTAACACCCTTCATTTCATGAATAGTCTGTAGAGCAATTCACTTTTTTCTAACATTTTTATTGTTATTATTATAATTCTAATAATAATGATAATTATTATTATTCATTAAATTATTATTATTAAATTTTTATAATTATTTATTTATTAGGTATTATAATAATAATAATAATTGTTTATTTATTACTATTATTATTGTTATTATTACTATTATCACAATTATTATAATTTTTTTTGTTTCTTTTTTTGTTACTAGCTATCAAGTATCTTGCAAATTCATTCAAAATTATTTTACATAGTCATGTATGTAGAAGTCCTTTGCATATTTACGATCTGAAAAACACTATAACGAGGGCAATCATCGAATTCCATGGAATCATATAACTTCTTTTTTTTTTTGCATTTTACGATTATTTTACTATATGCAACTACTGATTTCATTCGATCTTGTCGATTACTATCATTGTGTTTTCGAAATTTCCAAATTTTATTTTTAAATTTATAAGCCAGGAAGCAATTCACTATATACATATATAGCTAGGAGAAAGTATAAAATAGAATTTAAGAGATTCATTAATTTTTTTTTTTATAAGAAATAGATTTAAATTTAAATCTTCGGAACAACGATAAGTTTTACTGGAACAGGGATATATGTTTCTCTAGAATAGCGAAAACTTTTGCTATTTCAGTGAAACATATCGCTGTTCCAGATAAAGATTTTTTTTGTTAGTAATTTTTACTATTCAGTGAAAATTTCAACTGATTTGAATTAGTGAACCAATTTTCACTAATTTAGAGAAAAAAAATTTTTTGAAATAAAAAAAATCCCTTTTTTTTATTATAGGTGCTGTGGCATTTGGACATTTTCCGACGGAGTTTCAGAGAACTTTCCGGCCATGCTTGCATGCGAGAATCATGTATTTTTTGTGCCCTCAAGGTAAGAGAAAAAAAAAATTGAATTTTTAAATTTCGGTTTTTTTTTTGGATTGCAAGTTAAAATCAACGATCGGATTTAAAGAGAAAAACTGAGAAATAGAGAGAGAGAGAGAGAGAGAGAGAGAGAGAGAGAGAGAGAGAGAGAGAGAGAAACAGAAAGTTGGTGAGTCATCCATACAGAATTAGAAAGGCCTTAGAGGAACTTATATTGGGTTTTAGGTTTTAATATATGCCTATATGGATTATCATTGTGTTTGCCATGACTAGAAATATATATTGAAAGATTATAGATGACTCCTGAGTCACTGGTTCCATTTTTAATACTATATAATATTAAAACTAATATTTTCTTGCTACGTATAGTATTTTCTACTATACTATACGGTTACGTATCGATAGGACGCGATGCTGCTTGTAACGGACCTCTGGACCACAACTCCCGAGGTCCTTTCTCCCGCGAGATTCTCGAAGCTCAATTCTCATTGGTTCATAGTGCCTCCGAAGGTTCTTGAGCCGATGTTGTACTCGTTTTATTGTTGGCGCGCAAAGATTGGCTCTGACCTTTGTTCAACTTTACCGCGCCACAAGCTTCGCATCTAGCCAAACATTATTTTCTATCATTTCATTTTCAAAATTCTTCAATTTTATTTCTATTTATTTATTTTTTCTTTCAACATTCCTCGTTTTTTTTCTTAAAATTTTGTAAAAAAAAAAAAAAATTTCGAGTAAATCAAAAATATTCTAGAAGGCAAAAATGATTCTTTTTGTAAAGTTTTTCAAAAGAAAAATGAGTTTTCAAACTAGGTAACAATATTTGAGATTCCCTCCGATTCTCACGGATTTAATTAGTAATCTTTGTAAACTAATTGTACTTGGCTAGAGAGAGAGAGAGAGAAAATTATCTTGACTTCACACGAACTTCCCGGGAACTCGCGGATAACGTCTAACGAAAGGAGTTCCACTTTTGAGTTCTCCCTTTGCTCCATCATGATCGTTTAGAAATTATAACACAAACATCCATTTAAAAAAAAAAAAAAAAAAAAACCCTGGATTCATTCATCGTTTTTCTCAGTAAAGTACATATTTCTGATTCATTGCAAGGAAAGCGGATTTGAAAGTTTTTTATATGTCATCCTTTTATTAAAGAGGATCCAGGATATAAAGTCTCTTTTTCAGATTCTAGTTGATATATATACAAATAAATATAATCTCTTTAATACAAAACGGAGATTATTTTTATATTTTTTATTATTTTCAGTACATTATGTAGTACATATTTTCTCCAATAAATATTTCTATTACGTTTATTTGAGACAAATAATAAAAACTATTAGAATCAACTAAATTTTTTGTAATAAAATTTTTCCAATAAATTAAAATATTTACCTTAATGACGAATTTTCAGCTTCAAGGAGATTCTTTCAAACTAATTAGCCCTCGGAGATCCCTACTTTCAAGTTAAATTTTCCATTCAGAAAATGTGAAAAATAACCGTAAAAAATAGACCGAGTTCTAAAAAGTCTGAATATAAAGAATTCTGTGTCCTTATATCGAGGATAGAATCTGCAAAAAAAAATTAAAATTATTATTATTAAAGCTCTGGCTGTCGATATAAGCAATTTTTTTTAACAAACTCCGTAGACCTTTTTAAATAAAATTTATTTAAAACAAATGTTTATTTGGCTCGAGAGACAAATATATATATATATCTCCCTCTCTCCTCTGGTTGTATATACATTTTAATTTCTCTAAACTTTTGAGCTTCTAATACTTTCTCAAAAGGAAAACTTTTATTCTTCGAGAAGACTTTCTCTTTATAAAAAATTGACATTTTTTTTAAATCAAATTTTATTTCATAAAAATCAGATTTTCCATTAATTAAATTCATTTTTTTTTTTTACTTCATTTATTATATTCGTGATTCAATTTATCTGATTTCTTCTTTAAAAATAAAGAATAGAATTCAAAACGGAACAATATGTATACAAAGTGTTTCAAAACGAAAAAAAGTGACCATAATTTTAAAAAAAACTAACCCATTTTAATTGACCATTGCAAATGAAATTTATGTTCGTGTTTCATTTTTGTTAAAAGTGCATGTTCGTGCTGAGGATTTTAAAAAATAAGTGTGACTTTTAAAAACCGGAAATTTATGAAGCACCTGAGATACAATGAAGTAATATGTTAGAAAGAGAGAGAGAGAGAAGTAGAGGTAGAAAGAAACAACATGAGAAAAAGAGCCCACCTATAGGGCCAATAGTTATTGTGTATACATGGACCAAAAGAAAATCTACCTGTTGCTTCTCTCAAACGGCAGGTAGTTGGTCCTAAAATAGAATAGGGACAAAAAACAGGTTTGACTGGAATACTAGATATACATGGTGAACTAAAAATATCCAAGGGCTTAAATCCCTTTTTTCTTTATTCTTCATTTTGAAAAATTCTTTTTTTCTCTCTTGAGATGGACTTTTAAGATGAACGTACAACAATGTTATCGCACGTGTTCATCTTCAAAATTCTCTCTCAAAAAAAAGAATTCAACTTCTCCTTTTCACCTCAGGAGGGCAATTTTTCAAAATAAAAAATTAGTTCTTGCCCCGTAAATTAGTTTTAATTTATTATTATTTTTTTTTCTTTTGAATAGATTGTCGAGATTTATTTTATTCACGAATTTTACAACTCTGTCTATATGTCTGTCTGCATGTACAATGTGCCTTTATCGATAAATCAATGAATTAGATAAGATTTAGAAGCAGTCGGTAAATGTGTAATCTGTATTATCAAGGGTAGGTAAAAAGAGTGGTAATTTTTACTTTCATAATTGTTAAAAATATCACTACTTTCACATGCCCTTAAAAAAATTATTTTTTTTAATATCATTATAAAAATTGAAAAATATTGACTATATATAATTAGGTTCGAAATTTATGCCATTTATCTCGCAAAACGGAAGGAAGAGAACGTCTGGAATTTAAACAAGATATAATCCTTAAAATGTTCTCTCCAGATTGAAAAAGTTGGAGGTCCGGATGCAATTTGAAATTCCATGTCCATTTAATTTATTGTCGAAAGACTATGGTCCAGTGTGAATTGCTGGATGCTTGGAATGAATCACGCATTCCTCCTATATGTTAGGGGTTCAAAAATTTCTTGGTAATATATAATGAAGATGAACTCTCGATCTCTAGCTTCCAGGCCTTAATTTTAGGGTCTTGACTTGAACCTTAGACCTTTTTTTTCGCACGTAGAGCGTCTGACATTTCTTTCAATATCCCAGTGAAGAATTTTAAATAGTTTTTTGAATCATATTGTTCGCTCTCACGTTTTCTATTCATATGGGTTATATGTTGAAATTTTTTGCAGGTATATAAATGACTCCATGCTGTCAAAATTTTGAAATAATAATCATCAATTGAGAATCGATATTTCATATTATTTATAATTGAGAATTTTATTTCATTTTTAAAACCATTTGTCAAAAAAAAATTTTTTTTTCATTTTTATTAAATCAGTTGATTTTCATTTAAATTCAAAGTATTTTGAATTTTTCATATCTAAAGTATATTTATTTCAAAAATTTATTCATGAACCTGATATATATAGATTTCAATTTTTTTGAAGGGATTAACGGTTTATTATTGAAATTTAAATATTTCGAAGCTGATTATATTGCCTATATATATATATATATATATATATATATATATTTATATAGTTCGATCTCAATCAGTGAGGAATGATAATTGAAACTTTCTTTTCGAAATTAATATATAGAAAAATAAATAAATAAATATGCTAATTGTTTTTTGAACTATGTATATACAAAATCGTTAGAAAACAATTATAATTTGTGATATATAATTTAATTTTAATGAATTGATATTTGCATTAGTTATTATTTTTTGATGGAACTTGAAAAAGATAAAACAAAAATAAAATTTCTTTTTTTCTTTTGTCTGGAAAAATTTCGTATAAGAATAGAAAAATTAAAAACCACTAAAAAAGACTAAATTCTCAAAATTTTTTTTTATATAGAATTTCGACAATTCTTCTGGTGTAAAAATGTTGTTGTTTTTTTTTTTTAATTTCTAATTATAGAGATTGTAATTAGCAATTAATCCAATTAACATACTCTATACTCTTACAATGAAAAATATTTCACAAGTGTTGTCATTATTCCGCAATGGTTTTGTTATTTGCAACAATTTGCATATACGCGATTCTCCTTTTATTTTTTATTATAAATTTTTCAAAAGAAAAATATTTTTAAATATATGGTAAAAAAAAAAACATTTTTCTTTAAAAAGAAAATTGGATATTATATTTCAATATAATAAAATAAAATGAATATTTAAATTCTTCCCCTTGGAATTTAATCAAAAGAAACTTTATACATTATATTCAAAACTCTTCTTCAAAACGAGAGAATGAAATGCAAAGCATCAAAAACTTCTTACAATCTCTCATTATAATTAATAACTCCATCAACTCTTTTTCAAATAAAATACTCTGAAGAAGAAAATCTCGAGAAAAAAAAAAAAAACTGAAAAATATTTCATTCAATTTTTCAACAACTAAAGTTTTGCACACATATATATATATATAGATATATTTTGTAGAGAATACTATTTTTGCGACGGAAGTGCACCAGGTTGAGCAGCCAACCATAAATCCAGAATATAACAATTTTTCAAGACCGTTGATGATATACTACTATTACCAGTACTATTATTATGGTAACAATGACTGAAAATATGTGTCAACTTAAAAAGAATTTTTTTTTGATAAAAAATGCGATATAAAAATTCCCTTAAAAATTTCTAACAATTTTTAAGTCATTTTTTCACCTAAAACTTTGATTTGATTCTTCATTTTTCCGATTTTATATTATTTAATCTCCACAGAAAATTAAAAGGCATTAAAATAAGCTATTATTTTAATCCAATTTTGCTTATTTTAATACCAAAATGGATTAAAATAAGCAAAATTGGATTATAAAATAATAAGCGTTGCAGCTTATTTTAATGCCTTTTAATTTTCTGTGTCATCATTGTCCTGATCATTGTATAATGAATCCAATATATAGGGATAAATATTCCCTCAATTATATGTGTAAATTCGAAAAGAATTTTTGAATAGTAAAAAATGAACACTTCTCAGACGAAATTATAATACAAAAACCATTTCTCCCTCTCCTTTTTTTGGGCCCTCAATTCTCGTATAAACTCAAGGCACATTGCTTGGGTGAACGTAGGACAAGTAACCGGATGACGTCATTGGCTTCAGGTCTATTGGGTAGGGGGTTGAGTAGAGAGATCGGTGGTCCGTTTATACATGTTCAGGGGTGGGGGCGGCTCGCCAGCACTCGGCAAGTCGCTGCCATCAGGTACGCGCACGGTGTTTTCGGTCTGCAGGTAATACTTAAAAAAAAACCTGCTTTCAATTTCTTCTCAAATAAATATAAAAAAAAAGAAAAAATAGTGCCAATTTTAAAAACTACCGTTTTTTTTTCTCATCACTATTGTGATTAGTGGATATTTTGGATTAATCTATATTCAACAATCAGTGTTTTGTTATAAGTGAAAGTGAATTATGAAATTATAATCCAACTTTGATATTTTGTTGTGATAAAATTCAACCACGTGGCTAACAATCTAATTTTCTTTTTTTTTTAATAAACAAATTTTTATTTCTTCGTTTTAAGAAAGACGCTTTAATAATCACGTACATACAATGTCTGAAACCAAAGACGAGTTGAATCTTTGATGAGATTGCATTAAACGTTTTTTGAACAGATCGAGAGTGGATAAGGAACTAGAAAGAGAAGAGAGAGAGAGAGAGAAAAAAAAAAGATCCTTGTTACCACTAAGACTGTCGTTTCAAATATTCAAGGACTCACAAAAATTCACCTTCTCAATATATTTTTTTTAAAACCGTTTAAATTCACTCATTTCTTTTTTTTAAAAAAAAGCTTTTGTTATAGCAAATAAGATAATACTTATCTTGCTGTAACGTGGCACCCACGAGGACAAAGAAAAGCAAGGTGTATATTAACACCATAGAAATGTGTCCAAAAATGAGAGATTATATGTTCAGATAAACATTCTTATCATCCTGATGAAAAATCAACAGACGAAGGAAATTTATTCCCAGAGATTTCGAAAGTTCTTTTGCATAATATATAACTCCGGCCGCACTTTTTTTTTTGGATCAGTGTCCCGTTAACCTACCTAACGGAAAGCGAGTTGTAAAAATTTATAATGAATGAATGAAAAAATTGAAATTTAAACGAAAAATAATGCTCAAGTGGATTAAAGTTCGTCAGGATTTGTCGTCCTCGACAATTATTGACAAGAGCAATGATGAAACGGATGTTCAACCAGTTAAGGAAGACGAAGATGATAGTGGAATGGAGAGGGAGGATTCACCCGCCGTCGATTTGAGTCTTCTCAAAAAAGTACGACATTCTCTAACAATTTTTTTGTTTTCTTTTAATATTTGTTAATTTCCTGTAATTTTTTTGTTTTTTTTTTTAATATCGGAAATTTCTTCAATAGAAGCTTTTTATATATTTCAGATTTCGCTATCTCTGAAGTATATGTGAAAAGTGTTGGGAGTATTTGGTACACGGTTCTTTGAAGCTTGTCACGCCCAATACATATCTCCCCCCACCAATCGATAACCATCTTCTTGCAAGTATTTTATGGAAGTGAAGGCATATATTATAGAATTTTAGATGAGAGCGAAAAAGTTGACTCTTGTCGGAAGTCGATTTCATACTTTTTTTTTTCATCAAATAACCTGATATCTTAAACAACATCCTTTAAAGATCTAACTTATATAAATGGAAAAAAAATTTTTTTTTAAATAAAACAAGTTTTGTTTGTACCTTTGGGAATTAAATGCTCGCGCATTTATGAATGCAGAGGAAGTTTATCCAGCTGTTGTTTTGTTAAAAAAATGCTGATCCTATTTTCATTTAAATGAAAAACTCTATTATAATCTATTCTTATATTGTAATCGACATTTCTTGCCTCTCCGTAAAGGAACATGAATTTAATATATTTTTTTTGTGTATATGATCTTTAAAAGAATATCTAAAATATAATCAAGAAATTTTTGACAAGACTTTTAATTTTTATAGCTCTGAATTATGAAAATGAATTTTAGAGAGACAATTAAAGATTAAGGACCCAGATGCATTAGTGATTTTATTTAGAACCGGTTCTAGGGAATATTGCAGCATAACCCTGACAGGTTAAATGCCCTGAAGGTACAAGAACCTACTTTCTATATTACCAATGCCTAGGAGCTGTATATTAAATTTTTATATATAATTACAACACATGACTAAAAGTCTCACTAAAGAATTAATAAATCCATCAGGATTCGATTATATATACATTTAAAAACACATGTTTGCTTTTTTAAATCCGTAATCCAAAATTGGAAATCGGAAGAAGAAAATGCGGAAATGCTTTCTCTGTATATAAACCTTATATTCCTGTTTAATATATATACATATATATATCTAATCCGCGATTTCCTTTTTCCCTATAGAATTTTTCTTCGAAGAATCATATTTTTCCAATTCTTTCAAGTTTATAATCAACTTCTTTTAATTTTTTTTTAAATTCTTTAAGAGGAGATAAAGGGGATTGTTATAATTATTTATTTTCCAATTGTTATAGAAATCCGATTGGTTTCTGTAATAAAATTTTACCTACATGACAAATCGCTTTAGTACTCTTTTTTTAATGAATGAAATCATAATTCTTTTGTTAAAGATTGACAATAGATCTTAAAGATCAAGATTAATCCTCTAAAAATAGACAATTAAGAAAGCACTTTTAGATATCATCCAGGATTGGATTTTTTAAAATCATATTGGAAAATTAATAAAAAAAAAATGCATGTCAATGCATAAAGAAATTAATTTTGAAATAGAGACCATTTTAAATTACTGTCCTGCAATCCTTTATTTGTTAAATGTTGGCGTTATATAAAAAAAAAACGCGGGTTTTCTTTTGTGAAAAAGAACGTTGTTCTCCTTTGACTATTGTACCTTTTTTTTACATTGAGTCTTATTTTCGAATTTGTCCGGGGGTTTTTTTTTCACAATTAGAGCTCTTGGTCAATCCGATGAATCGAATATAGCCCTCATGATTCTATTCTTCGTAAGATCTCTTTAATATATATATATATATATATTGAACACATCACATCTTTTGTGTTACAGGACCTGTTCTCCCAGCTGCAGTTTTCGCAAGAAAGCGCTTTACCACCAGACGCTTTACGTCGAGCCCTGGCTGAGAGTTTTCTCGATCAGCAAAGGTTTCAGCTAGGTTTTATGGATGATGCTGCTGAATGCTTTGTAAGTATTTTCCACGAAAACTATTTGTCAGAATTTTATTTAATTTTAAATGTTCCTTTAAATCCATACAATTTTTTAATTTAAAAAAAAAATATTCCAATTACTTGCATCCATGATTTTTTTCCATATTCTGATGATAGAAATAAATTTTCTCCCTCTCTTGTAAATGATCTCATCCTTCTAACAATTCAAAGATTTCCAAGAAAAAAAAAACTCTCTTCTTTAATTATATCTCATTAAGAGAAATCACTATACTATAAAAATTTTCCACAAAATAAATTCTGCATGAAACAATAATTATATCCAATGATCTTATGGGGGAAAATTATTTTCTTCTTAATTATTTTTTTCCTTTATATATAGCAAGTAAAAACTAGGCTACTTTTGAGCAATATATTGAATATTTTAAATATCCTTGAGAAAAGGAGATTAAAAAAAAAAGTGTGTTGTAAATTCTAAAAGCTGTTTTTTCCTCCAATAATCCTTAAGTTGAGCACGCGTAATGGCGTCCACTTATAAACATTATGGAGTGCAATCGTTCAAGTATCAAACGACATAGACTACTTTCTCGTTTACATCACAAATTCTTTTTGTCTATATATACTATATGCATATATATTTCGAGTCCAAGACCACTCCTCTTATCGGCTCAACTGTATTTATATGCGATAAGAACAAGGACAGTGTATAACAATTAGCATTCCGTTATCCTAAGAGAAACTGCGTGAAAATTATGCATATATACCATTTAAAATGTTATTAACCATTTCATGGTGTCCATTTACTTCCTTTTATTATCAGGAAAATTTCTAAAATCATTTTTCCATTCATTAATCACTTCCTTAATAGAAAATTATTATTATTATTATTATTATTAATAGAAGAAATATATGATTTCTCTAATCAGTGAATTTTTTTAAATGAAATATTTTCATCAATTTTTTGATTTACAGGAAAATATTTTGTTGCGAATTCATTTGCATATTGCTAGTGGAGAAGCAGAGGATATGTGTAGTGCTCGGCATTGTGTTCCACATCAGAAATTTGCAATGACACTTGTCGAGCAAAGTGTCTGTGAAGCTTGCGGTGCCACTTCAGAGCCATTGCCATTTACACAGGTATGTTGAAATATTAAAAAAATTTTGTCGCTAAACCTACTGATTTGAATTATTACTGAGAAAAATATGCTATTGAATCAACAGCATTACTGCGCTAAAGGCATAAAAATTATTTATTCAAAAGTATAATGCTGTAGAATTTATATATTTTACAAATTCTATAGCACATGCTTCAGAATTAATAATTTTTATGCCTTTAGCAGAAATGCTATTGATTCAATAATAGCATATTTTTCTCAGTGTAAAATTAAATTACAAATTCAAAGAATTAATTTCGTTAGAATTTGTGAAATAAATATTAATTAAAATCTAGAAAAGAAGAAATAATTTTTAACTTAAAAATGTTTAAGGAGAACAAAATCTCATTTCACAAATATTATTTAAAAATTTGAAATGTATATTTTCCCATCATTTCCCCTCTATTTAAGTAAACATGATCTGAAATTGTTCGTTTCACAATATTAGATCTCTTTTTTCCACCCACGTTTCCTCGAATTTGAGTTTTAGAGGAGCACCTTGCCTTTTTCCCACGTCATACAGGTAGAAGCATCATAAGTCTATGGAGCACCACTACCTGGAATAGGGAAAATGTGTTCTCTCTTCATATATATAGGGCTTTGGAAACCTTTTGTTAGAATCAAACATAAGGTCAAAAGATATTTGATGAGAAAACGTGCAGAGTAAAAGAGACGAAATCTATTGTATAGGGGGTGGATACTGGATACTGAGCACGTGGGAAACACGAATCAATAATTCTTCACGAATAAGTCTAACTTTTTTGTATTGAGAAAGGTCGAGGCTTGCACTCTATAGGGATAATATTGAGGTTTCAAGGGACTTAAGCCACTTAGTAAAGAAGCCGGATTTCAGATATTCAATGCCATGCAGCGATTAGCTAATCTTGATTCAATGGCTCATTGCGTTTATCCAGGGAAATTTTTATCGGTCAATGAACTATGAAAATCTTAAATACTTTGGTGTGCTTTGTTTTTTTTTCTCGCTTTATTTCATCTTTTGAAAAAAAAATAAATTCAAAGAAAAATCTATTCCAATAAACAAGTGTGAGTTCAAATTCGAGACTATACAGCCTGCGTTAATTAGAGATAATTGGATATGAGACACGCTTTGAAAATCGATCAATTATAAAAAAAAAAATTGCGTCAATATTTTGCAAAAGTGGTTTACAAGCGACGTGTCTTGAATAACAATTATTGGTCAAGTTTCCTAAGAATTTCTCTCTCTTTGGAGTCACATTCTTGTATCGATTGCAAAATATTGAAACTGTTGTAAATTCTTTTTTTTTAAGCCACTTCAAGTTTCCATGCGCCGAAAAATGATATTTTTGCTGATTCGACAAAAAAAAAAAATAACCTTATTTTTCAAATATTTTAGATTTTCTTTGTTGATTTTTCTATTTACTCCGTGTCTTCGACTTGAAACGTTTATTCTTTTTCTCAGGTTCATCTCTATTTTCTTTTTGTTTCTTTGCTATTTTACTTTTATTTTTATCCTCTTGCATTTATTTTTCTTTGCTTTCTCTTTGTCAACTTGTTTCAGAGACTTTATTTTGGTTCATTCACAATTTTTTTGACTTTTTTTTTCCAAATTCCTGAAGAATTGAGAAATATATAATATTATAATTAAAAAATTTGATTGACAAAAGTTTTGAATTTATTTCGTAACTAATCCTTGGTCCACTTTCATGCACAGATTCAAAATCGAGATTAGTTTTTCATGTCACGTACGTTTATACATATAGGAAAGCATATCGTATCTTGTTCGATTGTTCTTATATATGTACCGTTGCACATATAACACTTTTATATCAAAGTCTGGCGAAACTAAACGTGTATATGTCTCACTTGAATTGCTTCTATAAATTATAATTCTTAATGTAAAATTTTCACTAAAAATGAATGTGATGAACATTTTTGTGGTTTCATTGTTCATATATATATATATATATATATATATATATATATATATATATATATATATGAAGTTACATAATTTCAATTTGCCTTGACCGCAAATATCATCAGCATCAGAAAATAAACAAATATAAGCGTGAGAAAACTAATCGTATGATCCTAATTTTTGCTTTCGATTAAAATTTCTTAATTTTCTTTTTTTTTTTAAAAAAAAAAGAAAATACAAATTCTTGACTAAAAATACAATTTTGCAAATAATTTTTATTTATTTAATTTCACTATAAATAAACAATGAAATCAGTAAATGAGAGGAAAAATCCGATTAGAAATTTGCAATATTTCTATCGGTCATGGCCGATTGCATTTTCATATATGTATATATAGAGACTTTGAACTGTCAAAGTAAGAGTTCGCAGACTTCAGAAAAGTTTCGCAACTCACAAGTCTCGAGACATTTCGGTCGAGGGCAAGTTTCCTCAATTCCTTACTGAGAATTGATTTTATAAAACGTTTCAACCATCAATAACAAAACTGAGCGTGTCATAAATTTCGTTTATATATATTCTTTAAAATCCATAATATTATGGATAATACATTAATAACATGGATGAAGAAATAAGAAAACATTATTATTATTAAATTCTTGAATGTAAAACATAATATTAATATCTTTATATTTTAATGTTAGTTAATCGTGATTTAAAAAAATTATTTTTCTGCTCAGTGAAGCATGATTCTATTATTTTAGTTTTATTATATTAAAAAAATTTTTTTTTTCTCATTCTATTAGTTTAGAATTAATGAAGAAAAATTCAGTTTTCCAAGTTATGGAAATTTTTTTTTTTCCTCATTGAAATTATTTTTCCCTCGACTTGAAATTCCTATAAAAAATGAGAAAAATGTAATTTTTGTTACAGATGGTTCATTATGTATCGGCGTCGGCGTTAACTTCTCAAGCTCGACAAACGCCTCCAGCTTCAAGATCGAGTCCAGATTTGTTTGGACAGCTTTTACGTCGAGCTGGAGGAATGGGCGATATTCGCGATTGTCCGGTAAGTAAAAAAAGTTTAAAAAAAACGCAATTCAATACCCTCATTAAAAACAAAAACTTCTTATTGATTTCCTTTGTTGAAATCGAAATTATTTTAATATATATCAATTATTTTTTTCAGAGCTCTTGTGGTGCTAAAATTCAAATATGTCGAACTTTGATGAATCGACCTGAAATCGTTTCAGTCGGTGTTGTTTGGGACAGCGAACGACCATCACTTGATCATATAATGGATGTTTTTGCCACAGTTGGCACGACTCTTCGATTAAGTGACGTTTTTCATAGTGTTGTCGACTCAAGATGGGGTGCTTCCACTGTACATAATCTCGTTGGAGTTGTTACATATTATGGAAAGCATTATTCAACTTTCTTCTTTCATACAAAATTAAAGGTACATTTTAATTCTCAATTAATACTAATTAAATTAACAACTATAAAACTTGGAAAAGCTAATTAAATAAACCAGTAAAATAAAACTATAAATCAATGATTTTATATTCTAAAAGTAGAATTGGGTTGTGAAATTAGATCCGTGTGTTTAAAAAAAAAAAAAAAGAAAAGAGAACTGCTTTTATTCTTTCGACTGATTGTGAAACTCAATTCTAGGTCTGGATATATTTCGACGACGCGACCGTTAAGGAGATTGGACCCCGATGGGAGCAGGTCGTTGAAAAGTGTAGAAGAGGTCGATATCAACCGCTTCTATTGTTGTACGCGACCCCGGGTGGTACGCCTGTCAATACTGAGAATGCCCCGAAGACCATCACTCCATTTCCCGATGGAAATGGACTTAAGACACCACCGAAAAACAATGTTCGCCGATCGATCACTCCAAGTCCAGAAAAACCGGCAATTAATAATACTGCCAGGAGGGCAATCACTCCCAATCCTGATAGTCCAACACACGTTTACACACAACGTCGAATTTACAGTGATTATCAAAATCTCACTGATATTCAAAATAACATCTTTGCCAATCAGGTAAATATTAATTGAAGAAAATTTCTCATTACTTTTTTCTAATTGTAGAAGAAAATAAACTTTTAGAATTGTAATTAATGTGTTTGGATTTATGTTCAGAGTGTAGATGCAGTTGATGGTGATATAGATGCAAAATACATCAGTCGAAGAGCAGTTGAAACTGTGATGCAACAACAAAAGAAGCAACAAATGCAATTAACGCGAAGTCTAAGCGCAGGATCGGCACCACAGGACGGTATCAATATTCCAGATCATCTTAATGTTCCACGGAGACGGGATTCGGGAAACTGGTCCGGAGATCGAAATAGTGCCTCCTCTAGTTCATCGACAACAATGGAGAATCCTTATTTATATATAGTCAACAAGGTTCAAAGAAATTCCGGTGTTCCTAAGAGTCCAACAAGCAAATCCGGAGAATTATCAAGCAGCAGTAGTGGTCACTACGATGCGGGTTACGATTCCTATTCTCTCTCCTCGACTGATAGCCTTCCACTCCAACAAGGATTAAAGCACAACCTACAGGTGAGTTTTCAAACATTTAAACTCAATTTTCTTTTCCCTGACATATTTCCCTATTTTCAAAACATAATTCGGTATTAAATTTCAGCTTGCTCAAATTCCGGAAGGGTACCAACCACAATCGGGAGATGATTGCGAACGTCTCTGTAAGGAGACGGACGCACTTTTAGATAAGTCTCGAGCTGCCGAAGACGCTGGTGATCTTGTCACAGCTTCAGTTCTCTGCTCTGCGGCGAGTAGTAAAGCGAGAGCAGCAATGGATGCTCCCTACAATAATCCCCAAACTATCAAAATTGCAAGAATGAAGCACAATACTTGCGTCATGAGAACCAGAAGTTTACACAGGAGAATGCTGCAGGAACAAGCCATCGCTAATGGTGATAAAGAAGGTAAATTTCAACATCATTTTTCGATGAAATTTCGAGTAATTTTAGCTTTACAGATATTCTAATGTCAAACATTTTACAGAAGGAGCCCTAGAGGGAAGACATTCGCGAGAGAACAGCAAATCTGGCCAGCATTCGAGGCAGAGTTCACGTGATAAAGGCAATCATTCACGTCAAAATAGTCGTGAACTTTTGGTAAATACACCAGCAGTTGTTGATAAACCAGCTACAAAGAGTATTGAAATCTATGCAACTCTTCCAAAGAAGAAGTCTCCGAGAAATAAAGGAACAACGACAAATGTAATTGAAGACGAGGAATACATGCTCTATGATCGTCCAACCCAACGAACTGGACTTTTTGGTAGAGTGAAGCGTTGTGAGGATGATAAAAAAGACAAAAAACGAGCACGAAGCGAAGAACGTAACAAAAATTCAAAAGACTTTTCCCTTGTACCCACGCGGCCCTCGCAATCATTTAAAATTACAAAACTTGAGAAAAGCAAAGAGAATTTAGAAAATACGAGTAAAAATCAAACTGGAAGTGATCAAAAACAAGGAAAGAAGCAGCACAAAATCAGAAGAAAGTTACTCATGGGTGGATTAATAAAGAGGAAAAACAGAAGCATGCCAGATTTAAGGGAGGGACAAGATGGACCTGTCAATGGCGCTGGATCTTCCAATACATTACCAAAACAATCGGTCGATGATTCGAGTGTTGGACTCAAGGATGCATCACAATCTCTGAGTGGATATCTCTCGGAGGGTCATCTTGAATTCTCTGGAAGTGGTAATGGGAGCATGGGGAACCCGAATTTAGAGAGAAGTCGCCTGATGAGGAAGAGCTTCCACGGCAGTGCTGGTAAAGTTCTGCACGTTGCGAAGGTTCCTCCACCTCCACCCCTCAGGACCACTTCTCAACTTAGCAAGACTAAGTGTTCGTCAGAAGTGCGAAACGAGCAACAAACCGATAAATCTCTTTACCCATTGTCCGACGGACAGGGCAAAACGAATTCGCCTCAAGATCAGAGCAACGCTTATTGGAGTCACATGAATTCAAACCAGGCGAATAGAAACTCTAACTACGCGGATTATTCCTCCGAACCGCACTCCCTACCCTTCATTCCTACATATGGTAGTGAAAGTAGCACTTCTCAGATGAAATATAATAGCAAACCGAGAATACAAGACGATGTTGTGCAATACGCTAATGGAATTCTATTTGAACCAACTTTTGTTGTAACCCGAGCTGATGTCCATAACGAACAAAGTCCCGTCAAGCCAGAATCACTTCCACCTTATCCCGAAAATGGCAATGGATCTCATTCGAGACAACCAAGTGAAGAATTCCCACCTCCACCATATCCTTCAATACCTTCTGTATCCCACTCAAGGCAAGCCAGTGAAGATTTTCCACCACCTCCATCGCCCATCGAAGATCAAAAAGACGCCCAATCCGAAGCTCAACAAATCAGCAGTCTTCTCGCTCAATTACAACTCAAAAGAGATCAAACTCTCGCTGCAGAGACCAAGGACATGAGAATTGACTGTCAAGATGTTGAGGACAAGACTTCCAATGAGAACTGGCTTAGGGAACTTCAGGCAAAACAAGCCGAAATGAGAATAAAGAAACAAACCCTCGTTGAACAAGATATTCCAAAACTTCGATCAGGTATTCAAGGTGGTACTGTCGCTAGAAGAACTAGCGATCTAATGCTCAACAGTATTGGCTCTTTCGATCAGGGACGCGATGTTACCGATTGCTCAAGAGTTGTCACGTCTTCCGTCAAGGACATGGCCGCCAAATTTGAACAAAGCAAGGTGCTGGCACCAAAAGCTGAACAAAAGACCCATTTCACGAATGCGGCCACTCCTTCACCCATTATGGACAACTCTCCAGAAATGTTCAATGCCGAGAATCCTGTTCAGCCTCAGATTCACATACAAAATCAAATACCAAATCACGTCCAAAGTCAAATGCAAAATCAAATTCACAGCCAGATACAAAATCAAATGCAAAATCAGATCCCAATTAATCAGAATTATGAACAAAATGGTCTGCCTGTTCAAGAAAGTGGACTGAACGCTGCAATTCTCTCAATGTCACTAACCTTGCCACACGAGAATGGACTCCCGATTGACTATCCAGAAAATGATATCAGTGAAGTCGCAATGCAAAACACAATCCAAAACACGACAATTTTACCCAATGAAGATGATATTGCTCCCAGAAAAACGAAACACCGAATCGGTAAAAAGAAAAGCGTCTCCTTCTGCGATCAAGTTGTCCTTGTTGCAACAGCCGAAGATGATGAGAAAGCATCCTACATTCCAAATCCCATTTTAGAGAGGGTATTACGATCGGCAATGAATAAACCCGAAACGGCAAAGGTTCTTCGCGAAATCAAGACCCTCCAGGAAGCGGAAATAAATCGTGAAAATTCGACCATGAAATTCCAACAGCACACTCTGCCTCTCAAAAGTGAGGCTGACAGTATACCCGCGACTCCCTTCCAGGATCAACTCAGAAGTGTTAATCCTCTTCCAATTGCCGATGCAAATAGACCAACTTTCGTCCGACAAAATTCAAACGATTCCACAGGATCAGAAATCAAGAATTACGTCTACGATAGTCAAGAACTTAGAGACTCTTATCTAAGTCAAAATGCAAAGATTCCAACATCCTATTCGCCTCAACTTCAACAGCAAATTAGATATTCACAAAGTGGATATCCACAATTCACCCAAACACCATCTGGCTATCCACAGACGCAAACTTCTCATCCTAGAAATCAAGTTCTTCCTCAACAAAAGCCAGCCAGTCCATTTACTGTTCAAATGCACAATTTCCCACAAAATGGAAATCAGAAGAACTCTACAAAAAGTGGCTACCAATATTATCATCTTGAACAACAACACAATCAAATGAACAAACAACTCACGCAACAGGGTCTCAATCAACGAATTATTAATCATAATGCAACTGCAAGTCATAACGGAAGTCTAAATGTAAGTCACAATGGAAGTTTAAATGGAAGTTTAACTACAAATCACAATGGAAGTCTAACAAGTCACAACGGAAGTTTAAATTCAAATCATAATTCGAGTCCAATTACAGTTCAACAACAATTCTATCCATCAAATCAATCGCCAAATCCTTATCAACAATTTGCAAATCAAAATCAATATCCTCATGGTTCATATCAGGGATATTCTTATCAAACCTCTCCTCAACAACGTGTTAATCAACCACTTCCACAATATCAACCGCCACCAACTCCAAATCCCGTTTATCAACAACAAGTACCACAAAATGGTTATCAGCAACAAAGGCTTGACAATTATCAAAGAGCACCACAACAAAAATTTGAGCAACAAAATGTACTTGCGCCAAATCAAACTTATCCAAATCAATTGCAAAATGGACAAATTCAATCGAATATGAAATATCCAACTTATCAGCATCCGCCTGCACCGAAAAATAAAATTGTTTTTCAAACTGCCGTGAAGAATACAACAACAGTCACACAAACAACATCTGTTGTACAACAAAAAACAACATGTGGAAAAACTTGTCATCTATGCGGAAAAAAAAGTGTCGTTCAACCAGCAATTTATTGTACTGACTGTGAATTTTATATGTCGCGCTTCCGACCTAAGACTTAAGAATGCCATTATTGCTTTTTGATATTTTTTTTTTTTTTTTTTTATTAAAAAGGCGTGGTACTTAAAATGTTTATTTTGTTTCTCATTAATATTTAGCTGAGATTTTTGTCGATATTTTAATTATTTAATTAATTTTAAGATACCACGTCAATGTTTAATGTACAAAAAAAAAGTAGATGTAGATGAAGGTATATAATTAGAAAGATACCGTGCAGCTTTTAAACAACGTGTAAATCCTTTTTCTAAATTTACTGAAATACTTGAAATTTCAAATTATCTAAAATTTCAAGAATTACAGAATACATATAGAATGTAGAATTAGAGAAAATCTATTTGATATAATCATATGGAGAACTGAAAGTATTGATCGTATTTGAATATTCTAAGAAAATATTGCTGATTTTAAAGTATTGAATTTAAATATTGATGACAGAGAATTATTTATATTATAATTATTATAATTATTTTTATTATTATTTTTATAATTATTATTATTATTATTATCATCATCATCGTTTTGTCTTTTATGTATTAATCAACACACAATAGTATTAATGCAAAGCAATACAAGAGTATTGATTAAATTAGCTTTAAGCATAAAATTGAACAAATTATTGATTCTTTTAAAGTTTTAAGTTTCTATTGATTTTAGTCGATATTTCAGCCATATTTTGACAATTTAAGTCATGGCATTAAAACTAATTGTATATTTATAAAAATGTATTAATTTGTTAAGATTTAAGTTTTATGTACAAATTCGTAAAAATCTACGAATCTTCCATTTTTCATCGATAAAATATTTCGTGTACTTATTATTATTATTATTATTATTATTATTATTATCGTTACTGTTAAGTTTTTTATTTCGTGCAAATGTTTGAATTGTTCGCGGCAACAAAAAAAGGCGATATTTCTATATTGTAAAAGACATTAATGTCTTAAATGTGATACTAGAACTTGCTACTTTATATGTTAGATACTATATATATATTCGACGTTATTGTCAAAAAAAGTTAATTAGAATTTACATATATGACGAGTATTCGTATTTTGCCATTCGTATTTCTCTATTTTGTCGTTTATTAAAAAATTTTACGACTTTCATTATTTGAGTGAAAGTTTTATTTTATTTTTATATATATATTTTTTTTTTTTTTTGATAAAATATTGAGATTTATAATATATAAAATTTCTGGTTGGAAGCGTCGATATAGTGATTTACGAATGTAAAATTTGAATATTATATACTCGTGGAGCGGAAGGAATATGATCTCTAAACAAAACGTAGAGTTTATTTTATGTTAATGTGAGCGTTAAAGTTAATGCTTTTGTAATATGTTGTCAAATATTTTCGATATGTGCTAGAATCATTATTGTACAAATTTTCTCATTTTATATTTCATACGTGAGAGTATTTTGTTTTAAAAATACTTTTCTTTCTTGCAAAGCATATACATCATATTTGAAATAAATCAATCTCTAAAAAATATATTTCACTGTCTTCAATTTCTTATTCCCTTATCATCTTTTCTATTAGTTTATCATTAAATTCGTAATTAATTACTTTTATTTGTTACAAATAAATAAATTGGTCATAACTATTTCATTAATAAAATTAGAATAATTATATAGTCGTAATAATAAATAAAATGGATCAAAAAATAGAATCTTGAAGATAAAAAATTAGTTAAAAATTTTTTTTAATTTAAACTGATTTTTTTTCGTTTTTAAATTCAGGAATTTAAAAATTATTTATTATTATTTATTAATTAATAATTAGATAATAATAATAATAATTAATTGATAATTAGATAATAATAATAATAATAATTAAATAATTAATAATTAGGTCCATAAAATACGTAATGCATGGTATGGGGCGTAGGGTCAAAAAAAGGTAAAAACAGCGTTACGTATTTCGTGGACGATGCCTTACTATTATTTAATTATTCTTTATTATTTGAAAAAAAATTATTACTTTAACGAAAGAAAAAAAAACGAAATTATATATCGAAATATATGAAAGATAAAATATTCAGAAAACACAATTCACAAATACATAAATAATATATTATACAATATGCATATTAGCATAATTATTTATTTGTATATTATTAAAAAAATTATCACGAAATACTATAAATTATGACAATATTGTTACTATTTATTTTGTTAAAAAAAAGAAACTCACCGATTGTGAATTATTCCCTTGTCGAATCAATGGCTGAGACTGGAAATTTTATTATCCTTTTTTTCTGCATCATAGTCTGCTTTGGAACTGAAAATAATAAAAAAAAAATTTAGTATTGTAGAAAATAATAAATGTAATAAATAATCTAACGAATGTAAATTCCGCTTCTTTTTAACAATTATTCACTTTATATATGAAAATATTTAATATATAATAATAATAATAATAATAAACTATTTTACACGCTTTGAAGAAAAGGACCTAAGAATAAAAATTTGTATTCCTGTATTGTTTTATTTATAAAATTTGGAGGTTAATTTTTTTTAAGTTTTGATCTATAATCTAATATTTTAATTTATAACATTGTTAAAGCAAAATGATTTTGTAAATATATAATTTATACTCACATTTGAAGTTAATTTACATCAACCATCTTTTTTTTTTCAAGAAACACTCACGCACTCGATATTCATAAAATTGAATACTATTACTTGACAGAAAAACAATAAATATTTTTAAACCCGCATTTAAATAAAATACTAACACACGCACGATACCCCCAAAATTACGTGGCTTTTGAGACATGATATGCAACTTTAGAAAATAAATGAATAAACGTTATTCTCGATAAAACAACAATTAACCAAAAAATAGAAAAAAAATATCAATGTAAATTGACACCAACATATGTAAACACGACGAATTTACACTGACTGACACGAAAAATATTGAGATTTGACAATTATATACGACACTGCAAAGTTATAAAAGTCACGAACAATTATTTTTACAAATAAAAACTTTATTCCTGTAAAACACTGTCTATTCTGATTTCTATTAACTGCAAGGAAGAAAGTGCGCGAAAAAACCGGCCGGTATCCACGAGCTGATGATATATCTAAAATTATGTAAGCATATATAAATTGTTACTTCGTTAGTTCTTTTACTCCTCGAATAAATAATAAATATAATATTTATGTTGACTTATTGTCAAAGATTAAAAGAGAAAAAACCAAAATTACTAGACAAGCAAAGAGAATCAACAATGACACTTATGCGACAACCATCTTGTTTTTCTGTCCGTTATTTCTTCAATTTTTAATTGCAAAAATATGATACAAATAAAAATGACTAACATAAATTTATAATTTCACGAGATGTAAAAATCAATTATAATTCACAATATTTAACGACGGAACAAAAATTTAGTTGTAAATTCACGATTCAAAGTATTTATAACTGACGCACCGCGCACCATTTTCCATTGCAGTTTTAGTTCCACTGTTCCAATCTAGTCAGTTGCACCACATCAGTGGCGTTAGTTCATTGTTGCTTTCCCGTTTTTAATTAATACAAGTATTTTCTAATTAGAATTATAGAAAGGTAAAATACGTTCGCGGTACTTCATTATTATATTTTTCGATTTTCATTGAGAAATACTAAAGAAAAAATAATTAAATTCGTAAACCGGGAGTGTCGCAGTAGTTCTGAAAATGACCACAAAAATGTAGCGCTACTATCGCAGGGGTTAAAACACAATCGACCAGTTTCGATATATCGATCCGAGTAAGCGATCCATCATGGCGTCACCGACCGCTCCCTGGATGCGGTGCTGCATTCAGACAGTTGTATTCCCGCTTTTAGTCATCGAGGTGTAACAGTCTAAGAAAAAAAAGAAAAGATGAAGTAATATTTTTGTGCGCGATACACTATTAATACTAAATAATAATTATATATTCGCGATGTCAGTAGAAAAAAAAAGTACAAATGTTAAAATCTCAAGTGCTGTGTCGGTCTCGCATGTTCTCTATATCCGGGGCACGTGTTCGTAACAATTGCAAAGTTTTCTATTTCTAACCGATATTTTTCAAGTTATCAAATTATTTTCCATGTGACTTTATACTGTGCAAAAGTATCGCGGATTTTTATTTTCTATTTTTCGTGTCACTCATTAATAATGTTAAAGAGTTTTGTGAATTTCGTGTGAATATTGAATATATATTTTCTTCGAGTGAGTTTTGTGCAAGTGTTTTTGTGAATTTTGCCGATTATTGAGGATTAGGTGATTGTTGCAGAGCAGCTCCTGGAGGAGATCTGGTGCGGCTGAGCGCAGTTCAATGTAAGTTAAATAAATTTATCTCTGAATTTTTTTTGTTTTAAAATTTGTAATATTAATTTATTACCAAAAAAAAATTCATTATCATTGTTTGAATATTTTGTTATGAGTTTTTAATATTTTTTACATCTTTCTCAGAAATATATAATATAGTTACAAAAAAAAAAAAATTATTATAATAAATAAACGATGAAATTTATCATTCTGAGTAATTATTGATAAGTTGATTTTTTAATTATTTCGTGTCATCGAGTGAAAAATATAATAATGAATCTTTTTTCAAAAATGTTTCAGACAGTTAGTCAAGGAGAAGGAAAATTCATCATCATCATCTTCTTCTTCTTCTTTTTTCGCCTTTTGATTTGGGAAGATTCATCTGCTTCTAGAAGGAAGGCTCAATATCTCCATCATTTCAACTTCCGACGTGGGATTCACCGAACGGTGAGTCGTTTTTTAATTAACTCCTTCCCTGTTTAAAATTGAGTTGATTTTCTTTATCTAAAATGAAAAAAATCTAATCTAAAGTATATTTATGAATTGAAAATTAGTTTTTTAGACTTTTTTTAAAAAATAAATTATAATACTATATTGATTTAAACGAAACATAAATTTTGTTTAAACAGGGAAGGAAATATAACAACATAGTGACACCATTGACAAAATATATACTATTTTGAAGTATTTTTTTACTACGCAATATAATATATTTTATCAATGTTTCTATTATTATTTATGTATATTATTTAAACTGTAAAATTTGTTTAATATTCAATGTTTTGTAATTTTTTATATATTTTAAAGTAATTTTCTTTCAATTAAAAAAGTACAATTTTTATTAATTTTAAAGTTATTGACAATATAAATTTTTCTAGTTTTTTGTAATTAAAAAAAAATTATTAAAGTTAATGCATGTGAAATTGTAATTTTTTTTTAATAACTTCATTAAAACAGTAATTAAAATTTTTTCTTTCAGAATTTTGAGCTCAGGTGACGGTAGCGTCCCGGGACGTTAACCCTAGTGTAGGTTTTTTTGCACCTGGGCGATAGAATATAGTTATAGGTATAGAGAAATCGGAAAAATATTTTCTAGATAATTTTTTTTCGTTTTAAATATAGCTATAGGTAGGGAATTCGGAAAAATTTGTTCTAGGTCGTTTTTTTCGTTTTAAATATAGCTACAGGTAGGGAAATCGGAAAAATTTGTTAGTGTTTAGGATATATGTAAGTAACTGGAGTACCAGTAAAATTATAATTGCTTCTAAATTTAAATATTTTTGTCACTATGTTGTTTTTACATTTTTTTATTACACGTTTGATATCAATTTGTAAATTGTGTAAAATATTGTTTTATACTTGTTTAATTAAATATTATTTTCAGTAGATTCAACGTGGTGAGCAATAATTTTGTTATTTTTTAAAATTTTATTAACTATTTTTTCAGGAATTTAAAAATTTTTACATTCTTAATTTTTTATTATTATACATAATTTATAAACTGTAATAACTATAACTATATAACTATAATTATAAACTATTTGTTTATTATATGAAATTTTTTTTATTACACTGTTAAATAATATTTTTAACGCAATTTAAAAAAAAATCCATTTATTAACCAGAAAAATCGGAATTTTGTCCCATAAAAAATAATAGATATCTTAATATTAATTTAAAAATAATTTTAAACTTAAAAATTTTATTTTTGTGACCTTGAGCGCTTTAGCGGTTATTTTCGGAAATACCGTTCAGTTAAAAGCGAGTCACTTCAATCACAAACGTGTTTTCTCATCTGTTTATATTGACTGTACCGACCGGGCATAATTTATCAGTTTTATTTTTGAGGTTATGTTTAAGTTTACATTTTGTGTTATAATAGTGTTGTGAGTAGTGTTGTCAACAAAAACATTTTAAAATGCCGGATAATTTAAATCAAAAATTATTTTACAATACAGTGTTGTGTCAAACATTTTCTCCGGATAAACATTTTTTATTTGCCGGAAATATTTATGGCGATGTTTCAATTTACGAGTAAGTATTACAATTTTCAATACGGTGTATAGATTATAAACATTTGTTTTGCTTAAAAAAAATATTTATAGTTAAAAAAAGAAATTTACTTTTATTTATAGAATTTCAAAAATTTTGGGTCCACAATTAGAGGAAAATAATTGTCAAGGGCCAACTTATCGATTTACCGCTCATTCTAATCAACATGTTGAAAGTATGGTAGCAACTGAACAATTTCTTGTTACTGGAACATCAGGCGAAATATCAGGATGGGATTGGAAAACAATTACTTCGAATAAAGCATCAAAGGCTAAAGTTTCTTGGACAATAAATTTACCAGTTAAAAAGTGAGAAAATTTTTTTAATTTAATAATTAGTATTGTTAATTATAAATTTATTAAAATTTTTTTTTTTTGCAGCGATAGTTATGAGAGGCCAGATGTTAATTTTATGGTTTATTCGAAATCAAATAATTTATTATACGCTGGCTGTGGTAATAATACAATATATGTAATTGATTTGGAAGGTGGTAGAATTCAAAGAAGTTTGGAAGGTCATGAAGATTATATACACGCTATTTCCGTAACGTATGAAATAAATTAAAATTTTTTATGAAGATAATTGAAAAAATTAATTATTTTTTTTTCCATTATCAAAATGATAAAATAATATTTTACCAATATTTAGGGGCGAACAATTGGCATCAGCTAGTGAAGATGGTAGTGTTCGTTTGTGGGATCTTAGAAAAAATGAAAATACAAATATTTTAAAGCCTTATCTAGTTGATAAAGTGGCGAGACCAAAATTAGGCAAATGGATAGGAACTGTAGATTTTACTGAAGATTGGCTGGTATAAATACTAATTTATTATTAAAAATTAATTAATAATGAAATATAATTGAAATAATTTTGTTTTTTTCTAGCTCTGTGGAGGAGGACCGAAATTATCATTGTGGCATATGAGAACAATGGAAACGGCAACAATTTTCGATTTACCCGATCAGGGAATTCACGTTTCAAATATTTACGAGGAGAGAATAATTACCGGTGGTACAATGCCACATGTTTATCATCTCACTTATCAAGGAGAAACATTAGCTAAAGTTCCAGTTTCCTGTAATACGGTTTACAGTATTGTTTATCAAGAAGTACCACAAAGACTTTTAAGCATTGCCGGCTCGAGTAATCAAATTGATATTTGTACAAATTTCAATTATCGAGAACTTACATTGAAATTTGCTTGATAGGTTGGTAATAATTGAAAACAGATTTACATAATTATTATTTTTCTTTTTTAATAATAAATATATTAATAATACATATTTAATTCATTAGTTGCTAATTTTTGTACAAATATTTACATTTATCTAAAAATTGAATACAGCTTAAATTTGAAAATTTAATTTAAAATTATTAGAAAAATTTTAATATTGATTATTATAAATAATTAATATTTTCTATTGAATTTTGACTGAATATTTTTTTTTCGCTTGTTTGCGAATATCACAAAAAACCGTGACCGGCAATAACTGCAGGAATAAAACCTTCTCGGCCGTCTCGCGATCTAACCCAAAACCAATTGTTCACATGATCACTGATAAGTGCAACGACATCACCTTTCATAACGCTCATTGCATTAATTTCTTGACCCTCGTAATCGTTACGAATAACGAGTAATGTGTGACGAGATCCTTTTGTCCTGGCATTGGCAGCTGCTCTTAAATACAATCGATCTACGCTTCTTTCACCGCATGTTGATAATGCATCTCTTGAACTTCGTTTTATTCTTCCCGATCTTCCTCGTGTTCCGCATTCTGATTTTGTGTCACGTAATTTTTCAGTATCGGTCATATTACCTGGGGAAAAAAATATTTATTTTTTTTAGGTACGAATTTGAAATTAGAAATTCTTTTTTTCATTTTTTAGTTCATTTTAATTTAATTAAATAAAATTTTATTTTTATTTGATAGAATAAATTCTGTTAAGTAAAAAATTTGACTAAAAGAAAATTCTATTGTTTTTTTTGTAGATAAAAAATAAATTTACCCAATGGTCTAGGAAATACGTCAGTAGAGTCTTCCCAACATGGTCCATGGGTTGGTTGTGGTAAAATTCCAAGTGGTAAACAAGCTGAATAATCAACATAACCCTCTTGTCCATGAGGTGTTTGTACATATAACCAGGTTTGATTTTTAAAAACTGCGTTGACAACAGTTCCCAAGGGAAGTGCAATTTCATCTTGTGTGCCACCTTGCGTTTGATATAAAACCGATGGAAATGATAAAACTACAGGAATATTTGCTGGTTTTTCAATGGAAGCCTGTAATTAATTGATACTGATATTTAAAAAAAATTTTCGTTTTTGAAAATGAAATTGAAATTTTGAAACAATTATTTTTTCTAAATAAATAAATAAATACCTTTGTGAGAAAGGAATCAAGATCGGCAATTTCATAGCCAAATCTACTGGAGGGTCGTGTTTTATGAGGTCGTTTTGTTCTTCGATGTCTGTGCTTCTCTCTTCCACTTGATGTCAATGTCGATTCCCTCGGGACCAATGTTGGCTCCGATGTTGCTCTCTTTACTTTTTCTTTAATTTCCTTTTCCATCGATAAAACTTCCATATGTTTTTCTAATTTATTATTATCTATCGTCGTATCCACAGTGATTCCATTCAGTTTTTCTTTTTTCATTGGCTGTAAAAAAATTTTTTTTTTCATTAGAAAAAATAAATTTAAAATTGCAATGCGTTTAAAAATTAATTTTCTCAATATTTCACCTTTTCAATTGTATCATTTTCAATTCTATGCAATTTTATTTCACGATTATCGAGTGTTGCATTATTATCCTTGGATTTTTCTTTAATCGTTTTTGTGCTCTTTATACTTCTCATGCTTTTGACACTATTTCTAAATGGTCTCTCCTTTATTTCTAATGATGATAAATTTTCCTGATTATTTGTTGTATTTGTAGATTGCTGCTGACCACGAAGTACCCACGTTAAAGAGATCTTCGGGCGTAAAAGTGAACTTGATTTTTGTCCCATAATATTTAGAGAAATTTGTGATTGTAAAGATTCTTGTAATCTTGACGATAAAGATGGCGAGGATGGCGGTGTCACTGCTGGTGGCGGACAATCCGCCACCAGGTCCACCGCCTGCACCGGACACCCATTCTCCTAAAAAAAAAAAAAATATTTTTATTATTAAATTAAAAAAAAAAAAAAATTGAATATTAAATTGCAGAAAAAGAATATTTTGATAAAAATGTAAATGTGATTTTTTTTTATCAATTTTAATGAAATTAAAACTAGTTTTGTTATCAGGTAGTTAAATAGTTTTTGGTCAATAATTATAATTTTGGGGATTTTTTTTTTCTCTTATAAAGTATCAGTAATCAAAATTATTGCCAACTGTTTACCGTTTATTGTGCGCCTTTAGTTACGACCACTTTATAAACATATTTTTCTTTTTTCGAAATTTTTCGTTGAGAAGTAAAGAACTTGATTTATTTTACGAGGACTTTGCACAAGCAGAGTGTAATAAGAACTTTTAGGGTAACAACCTGTAATCTCGTACAAAATTTGTCTTTTAAAAAGGGACATTAATTTTTTTATTGAATATTTTTTTTTGATATTTTTACTTTTTGGAATATTGTTGAATAATTTAGGAATATTTCTTTTATTTAGCACTGAGAATTATTTAAAAAATAAAAAAAAAATGGAATTTACAAATTTCTAATGAAATTAAATTATCATGTTTGCAAGCGGAATATTATAAGTATTACAATTTCCGGGAGTTTATTATTCATCTCCTTATTCACTTACGAAGCGTGAGATGAATAAAATTTTAAATTCTTATTCAGCAAATTCTGTTATCATATATATTTTTTATGATTTGGTAAAATATCATTATTTATTATTGTTTAAAAAAAAAATAGTGACGACTTAATTATGTTGGAATATTTTCTGGTATGATTTGAAATAAAATTGTCGACACAAATTTTTATTTGATTTATTCAAAAATGAAAATTGAGAAAAAATATATAAATCTTGATTTATGATCAGAAGTTTCTTTCAATTTTTTCATGACTCATCGTTTTAAATATTTCTTGTGCAGAATCCAATTTAGAATTAGAAAATTACTTACTGTAATTTTTCAATAATTAATGTTGATTACAAAAATTTTTTGTTGTAGAATACAGGTTGTAGTTCTTCATTTTTAAAAATCGAAAAATTTTCTCTTGAGCTTTTGTCGTTTCTCTTTTGTAGCTTTTGTCTTTTTCCAGACATTTTATGTAGTGTAGACATAGAAAAAAATAGAAAAAAATAATAAATAGAAAAAAATTTTTAAAAAATAGAAAAAAAAACAAAAAATTGTGAGAGTTGCAAGCACAGAAAGTAGCCTCAGGTGACAAGTTAAAGGGAGAAAGGTGGCACACACGGGCCAAGAATTGCTTGAATCATATGCTAATGAAATTCTCAAGATATCTATCGCTGCCAAGAGCCACTGTGCTAAAGGTATTAGTTTAGTTCTTGTCTTTTAGCTACGTGATTTTATCTCACTCGCCCTTTAAACGTTCCATATCAATTTTTGATACTATACAAAACCGAATTGAATTTTAGTGCGCGAAAAAAATTTTTTTTTTTCATTTTAAACAAGAAGCAAAGCTTTAAAAAATTTCTGAAATATTTAAATATTTCCACTTTATTTTATATTCTAATAATAATAAATAAAATTAATTAAATTTATTTTATTAATTCAATAAAATTAATTTAATTTAATTTATTTAATTAAATTAATTTATTTTATTAATAAATTAAAGTAAATTTTATTTTATTAATTAAGTAAAATTCCACATTATTGAGATTGAGACAGAAAATAAATAAAATATGAAATAAAAATTTTACAAAAATGAAAATTGAAACGGGCGTATAATTTATGAAGATGTTAAAATTTCCATGGGGTCTGAAAAAATATATATATATATACCGACAAAGTTTGAGTTGTTTTGGCGAAAAGGAAAAAAAAGAATCATTAACGGATTTTTAATTATCCTCGCACACTATTTTATATATATATATATGGGCGCGACCAGGGCGGCCCCTATATGAAAAATGACTTTCGCGTTTAATATCTCTCTTTTCTGCTTTTTATCTCTTGAGAAATTTAATTTGTATGTGCAAACAAATTAAGGTCATTTTTAACGAAGATTTCACTAGGTTATCATTTTTCATATATACGCAATAAGTACTCGAGTACTTTTTTTTTATAATATAGCAAAAATGATGAGATATTTTTTGTATTTTTATTTTCATTTCAAAAAAAAATGACGAATGATTTATTTGAAAAAAAAGAGAGAAAAAGTATGATTGATTATGTTTTATGTTATGTATTATAGATTAGCGAGATGCAAAAATTTAAAAGAAATTACTTTAATGGTATGGAATTTTCTTGCCAAGGAAGGTTTTACCCTCAATGACCTATTCTGTAGTTTCATTCTTCTTTTGTTACAAATCCTAATAAAATATTATATATTTTCTTTTATTCTGAAAACAATTCTTATTTAATATAATAATTTTTATTCGGAAAAAATTATTTATTTAATATAATAATTTTTATTGGGAAAAAATTATTTATTTAATATAATAATTTTTATTTTGAAAAAAAATTCTTAGTTAATATAAGAATATTCCTGTGAAAAATTTAGGAATTTTTGTTGTTGTTGTTGGAATAATGTACCTTGTAGGAAATTCTGTCTTCATTTGATTGTACGAGTTGACCTTCGTTTGTTGGTCCAGATCCCGCTTGAACAACTTGAAAATTTGTCGTCTCGCTTCCTCTGGACTGTTGGCTTGATCTTTTCAAATCTCCTGAAATTGTAGTAAAGCCGATTAGTGTCTCATTTCATGAGTACAAATTTATTTTTTTGAAATTTTTAATTACTTACACAGTGAAAAAAAATAATTTATTTGATTCAAATTATCAGTTAATTGAATATTATCAAATAAATATTTATTTTTATTAAATAATTATTATTTCAGTATGTCGGTGAAATTGAAAAAGTTTATGATCAACGATTTAGAAGAAAAAATATGTTTCTATGCAAATTATTATAATTATTTATTTAAAAATTTTTTTTGCAACGTTTTTTGATCAACAAATTTTTAGGCAAATAATTAAGAATTATTCTTCGAGTGAAAAATAGATTTTTTATTTTATTTCAAATACAGAAATTATTTGGTTCAAGTAAATATTTTTTTTTTTTTTTGAGTAAAGTAATCGATTATTTAAAAAATATTTTTTTCAGTGTTTGATAAATGTATGCGAAAGATACGAGAGGAAATTTTATATTAAAAATTAATAAATTGTCTATTTGAGAAGAATTCGATAACTTTGAAATTGATAAATATTTGTGATTAAGAATCAGTATTTTAAAAAAAATTTTTTTTTTTTTTTGAATTGTAGTTGTAAGTACTAAAGGTGCACACGTGTTTAATGCCGTAACTGTAACATTGTAGAAGACTTTATATGTACTTGCACTTGCATCTAACAGATCTGCATTTACAGCTATAAAACATAATGAATACCAATTTGACACGCGTTTTGCGAGAGTTACGAGCATGTAATTCAAACTTCCTGCCTGTTAGTGAGAGACGATATTGGGCTCTGTGTTTTTTTTTTTTTTTTGCTCCTCTTATTTTTTACCATATTCGCGAGATATATGAAAGAATAATAATGTGTATGACATATGCATGTAATATGAATCTCGAACTCGTTAAGTTGATTTGCACTCATTTCCTCTTCCCGTTTTCACTTCTTATATAGTTTATCTCATCTCTCTAATCTTTACACCTTGATACCGTAATTCAATAATGTAGAAAGATAAATATCAATTTTCTAAAAAATGAAAAAAAAATTATTAGAAAGTAATTGAAATTTAAAAGGAGGTTTTGAGGTCGATATGTAATAATATTTCATTTAGAAAAAAATTCTCAAATTGGCAAATTTTGTATTAAACAAATTTTTCGAACACTGAAAAAAAATGTAATTCAAATAATTGATTATTTTATTATCAAATAAATATTTGTTTGTATTAAATAATTATTTATTTAACTCAATTAAATGGTATCACTGAGAGAAAAAATTAAAATATTAAAAATATAATTTATAATATAATTAATAATTATAATTAATATTTTAAAATTGAAAATTTCAATACAGTCGAAATTTTAGTAAATATTTTTTAATTTAGGGAAAACGTGTAAAAATGTGAAGTATTGATATAAAAAAAAAAAATCTGATATCTGATGATATTTGATAATACTCAAGTGATCAATTATTTGAATCAAATATTTTTTTTCCATTGTACTCGTGATTTTTTTTTTTTCTTTATTTTGTCAACATAGTGTCACGTGTTTATTTTCAACATTGAAAATATCATTTACAGGATGAACACGTGGAGTGTTTACCACGAATAAAGTTGAGAGTTAATTCAAATTTGCATTCTTTTTAGGAAGTGTAAAAAAAAAAATTCATAAACAACAATGTTAGTATTCATTACATAATTCGCAAAAAGCAAAATATGAATTATAGAAAAATATAATATAAATTAACATAGAATTTCAAAAAAAAATTTTAATTTAATATTATTTAGTTTTAATATTTATTGATTTTGGTGTTTTTTTTTATATTCAAATTGTTTTGTAAACAATTATTAATTTGCATTACCTGCATTGTTGTTCCATTAAATTGTTATAAACTCCACTTCTATTTTTTCCAACACAAACAAAACAATGATAGTTTCACGTTTGACATATCGTGTCATTGTAATTTTTTTTTTTTTTCAAAATATGACTAGATAAAAAATTTTATTTCACTAAAAATAATATTTTCACAAAAAAAAACGAAATTACCAATCTGATTTAAAACTTCCACTGTGTAATTAGTTTTTTTAAATTGTTTTAAATTTAAAAATTAAAATTTTAAATTAGTTTTTATTCTAAATCAAATTATTATTTTAATATTTGAATACAATCAAGTATGAATAAATTAAATAAATAATTAAATTAGCTAATTTTGTGTAAAAACACTGAATATATAATAATTTTACATTTACATGTCTTTGAAATAAATTCTGAAGAGAAGCACCGAGAGTGCAAGTTAAAACTGAGAATAAACGCAGTTTCACTCACAGGTGCAGTTTCGACTAGACTAAAAGGGTTTGAATTCTGTTCCCTTAGCCTTGAAGTGTCTCTCTCTCTAGTTCAAAGAAGAGAGAGAGAGTGTGGTATCGTGTATTTTCATTGGTCTCACCTTCCCGCGCAAAATCATTTCTCCAATCGTGACTTGGTATATTGTATATACCGCGGAACCGTAATTGTTAGGTACGCAGCAATTACCAAAATGGAGGGGTTATTTTACTCTTTCTCATGTCTTAAAATTTACCACGAGATTGGTAACGAGCATGAACAATTACATGCTGTATACCAAATAAAATAAAGTATATACACCGTGCAAAAAAAGAAAAAAAAAAAATATTGCAAACTTTTTTTTTTACATTCACGATAAATACAGTACGATATTTCATATAGCATATATTTTTTTTGAAATATTTGGAATGTTTTATACTTGAATAATTGATAATCAATTGGAATATTTATTCACTATTTTGCAAGGACGTTTCTGATATTATAGAATTGTATAAAAGGAAATGGTATAGATCGAAAAGAATATATAATGGAGGGACGAGAGTGAGAGAGGATATAAAGTGAAGGTGGACCATATGATCTTTGACCCCCCTTGGGAACGTCGGTGGGCCGTTGAGGGCCTTAAAAGAAATGGGGAGTTCATTGGGCCCACCCGCTCGAAAATACATCCATACGTTCCATGTAACAAGCCCGCGTGCTTACTCTCTCTCGCACCTTCAATTTAAACCTGTTAATCGTCCCGTATGAAATTAAATTGCAAAAAAAAAAGGTCAAATCAATCATATTGAATCAATTTTTATATACATCGCTTAATCTATGATCCGTATAGTTTATTTTTTTCAATCAAACAAAATTTAACATTTTTTAAAAAAAGACACTCTTTTTATTTTTTTGGATTATTTTATTTTAGATTTGCTTTTATTTATAGAAATTTATAAAAAAAAATATATTTGTTTTAATTTGATAAATATTTAATATTATTTGTTAAATAAGAGTGTTAAAAAATTTTTTATTACAGAATAATAATAATAATTATTTTCTATTCTAAATTATTACTGAACAGTTCTACAATACAGAAACTTTTTACAATATTTTTGTACTATAACACCAACAGTCACTTTCATTTGTTAAAAATTTTACAAATAATTATTTTACATCGAACTTCACTTTTCATATTCAGTACAATTTTCCAAAAAAAAAAAATTTTATCACTTTTTCCATTTTGCAGATACAAATTCCAAATTTTTTCAAAGAATTATATAAAAAAAAAAAAATTAGCACAAACTTGAAAAATAACAATTAATGATTAAAATTATCTAGTTGATTTTAGTGGTTTTATGGTCACCCAAAATCCGCCTTTGGGAGAATTAAGAAAAGAGGATTCATCTCTTTCAATTGGAAAAATCATTTTTGGTGAAACTTCAACGGAAAAATCTTTGATAATTGTAAAAACAGCAACTTTTATTAGAATTGCAGCCATTCTCATTCCGACACATATTCTTGGTCCTTCACCAAATGGAAGAAATGTAAATTTATGTCTATTATTCTTTTCATCTTCATTAAATCTTTCGGGATTGAATTTTTCCGGTTCTTGCCAATATTTTGAATCCATTTGTAATCCATAAGCAGAAAATGCCACAGTTTGTCCTGGTTTAATAACACATGATAATCCATCATTGCCCTCGAGTTTTATTTTTTTTGTGCAAATTTTAAAGAATGTTCCACCAATATGATTCATTCTTTGTGATTCATTTAAAACTTTTTCTAAATATGTCATTTCTTTAAGTGCATCGTATGTTAATTCGCCATTGTATTTTTTTAATAAACTAACAATTTCATTGCGTACTTTCTCTTGAATTTCGGGTCGACTTGCTATATCCATAATTAGAAAACTCATTGTTATTGCTGATGTTTCATAAACATCGGCAGCAAATGACAACATGTGTGCTGCAGCAAGTGTTTCTTCATGCATATTACTATCGTGAGTTTTTTGATAATCGAGAACAATTTGCATGAAATCATTATAAGTTCGTTTCTCTTTTTTACGATTATTGATAATTGTTTTTGCAATTTGACGAAAATATTGATCGACCTCTTTAGGTGTAATAGAGAGTTTAAATAATTTCGCCAATGTTGGCATAAAAAACATAATCATCTGATGAATACCAGTATTAAGTGATGGATTGTCAAAAATTTTATTTATTATCTGATTGTACGTCATCTCACCATTTTTTGGTTGTAATTCTTCTTGAAAATTGTGTGCCTCAATACCCATTCCAGTTGATGAGATTTCGCCGGTAAATTTGTGACATAATTTCTTGAGATTAAGATCAATTTTATCATTATTATCTTTACATTGATTGTGTAGGTAATTTGATAATTTTGAGCCTACATTTAAAACAAGGGACAACATCATTTTTAGTTTCATACTGGAGAAACTATTTGTTAATGGTGCTCGTGCTTGTTTCCATTTTTCACCATTAACAAAAAATGGATTTAAACTAATAAGCTCATCTTTTTCGAGACAATTAATTTTAAAGGGATTTTCACTAAATGAAGAGAAATTTGTTAGAAGAACATTTTTCACAAGTTCAGGATCACGAATTAATAATAATGGAGTAAATAAACGATAAAATCCAATCATGCTGTAATTTTTCCCCTCCTTGTAAATATCTTCGCCCAATGTTCCCATACTTTTTTGAACAGTAAACACTGGTAGCATGTGTCCTAATCCTGGAATTGTACCCTTGGCCGATGGTATTCCTCGTCTTTGCCAATAATTGTATTGCCATGATAAATAAAAGTAGAGAAGAAATAGAACAAATGCTATTGAAGCAAGAATATAACTAAGCTCCATTCTCGATGAATGTCGACAAGTTACTGATGGGTCAATTTTTTTAAACCCACTACTTTGAAGATATATGTACATAAATTTATGCTCGAGTGGATAAACGCAATAACAATGATGAAAGACTTTGTCACTTAAATATACTCTGCTAATGTGTATGCGCTGTTTGAAAATATTAGGCTTGTTACGTCATTCTGATACTTGTCAATGTCATCTCTTTAATAGTCTCTTGAAAATTTTAATTTTTTCCATTATTTGGTGAAAATTTATTTTTTAAAGAGAATAATAATAATTGATGACAAATCATAGTAGTGATGAGATAAATATTTAAAATTACCTTTTGGAACACATATGGAAGATACTAGATATATACTTTATTAATTAAAATAATTTTGCACCACTTATATACCTCGGTTGAGATTTAAATTATAGATATCCACTCACTCACAGTTGTTATATGGGTGTTGGAACCTCCAACTTGTTAATGATTACAGGGCCAGTTCGCAAAAGGATTTCAGATTCCCGTCATAACTTTCAGGTTCAAAGTTCATTCAATCGGAAATTCGCACTATAAAAAATGAATTAAAATTGTTATTTTATCATTTTATCTTGAAAATTTCAAAATTAATATCAATTATTTTTGTAGCATCTGATTATAAAAATGAAAATAAAATATTTCAGACTGCGATTAAAATTACAAATTAAAATTATAAATTAAAATTTAGTTTGAAGAAAATTGAAATTGAATTATTAAATATGTTGAATCTTCAAAGTTGTTCGCCGCTAAAAGAAACATTTAAGAATACGGAAGTAATTGAAATTTTTTTTTGAAAATCCTTGTCAGATTTCAAGACAGTTTGACACTGATATTCGCGCTAAAAATTCGGTGCATTTTAATGAATTTTTGTTTCTTCGCATACCGACAAATTTTATTATTATTAATTTTTTTTTTTTTTTTTTGTCTAAAAGTGAATTGAATAAATAGTTGGAGCAAACCTTCCGCGTTACGTGTGGATTTCACGATTTGTATTAGTGCTGTACGAAAAGGAAATAGGGAATTAATTTTTTCTGTACTTGCATCGAAGAAGAAAATATTTTACGATGGTACATAAATCTTTGCCCCCCCCCCCTTTTCCCCTGTACGATAAAGTGTGAGTGGGCGGTTCGCCATGATACTGAGCCGAACAACCATAAATTTTATACATTTTCATTTTATTCGATTCGCAACTATTCGAATAATCTTGAATATCATTCAACCTAGAAATCTCTAGAGCTATTTATTTCAATTATCATTCGTTATATTGTATAAAGTCGGTCAAGTTCTCTGTTTTAAATTGACACACTTGTTCCTTTCAATTTCCGATGATATATTTTATATTTTAATTCAAAAAATTGTTTGGAATTGGAAGATTTTATTTATTCTATTACAGTAATTAAATAATAATAATAATAATAACAGTAATATGTTGAAATAAAATCAATGATAATTTTTTACTATTGCAGAAATTATTCAACTTTTAATTAATAAATTTCTATTTATTAGTCATTAGATTAAGCACTAGTTAGTTTACTAGTTATTTAAAGATCTGATGTTTACCCAAAATCTACCATTAGGAGAATTAAAAAAAGACGATTCATCTCTTTCAATTGGAAAAAACATTTTTGGTGAAACTTCAACGGAAAAATCTTTTAAAATATCAGAAACTAACATTTTTATTAAAATCACACCCATATTCTCATTCCACACTCGTGGTCCTTCACCAAATGGAAGAAATGTAAATTTATGTCTAGTTTTATTATTTTCCTCATTAAATCTTTTGGAATTGAATTTTTCCGGTTTTTGCATTTTGTAAAATGAAAATTCTAACTAATGATTTTTAGAAAATATTCATCGGTTTTACATTTTTGTGGGCTTCATATGCACCCCTCTCTGTACGATTAAACAATTATGTTTGAGTTTTATACGTGATTGTTGCATTTTGCTGGCAGGTCCATGAAGTTGGCCGTTATACCTGTACCTTGGTATGCCATCATAACAATCCACAGAGCAGAACACCCAATTATGCAATAGATCACAGTTGGGCGGTTCAGGATCGCTTCCTATATCTGATATAACTCTCGCATGAATTGCGTAGAGATGACCGTTCAATGCTTACGCTTGATGACACTCTAATAATAGTAATCAGTTCGAACATTGATATGCGATTCAAAAACTTTTTTTTCTTTAGTACTTTTTGAATACTTTCAAATACTCTGAATTCCTTTAGAAAATAATGATCAAAAATTGTTTACAAAGAATTATTTTCAATGAAATTGAAATAGAAATTGACATTTGTAGAAGTATTTTCTTAAATTCTATCTTGTGAGACAAAAATGAAGAATTTTTTTTTCGATTTTATCAGGTATTTCTTTATATGGCATGTTGATCCTTATATCGCCCACCTCGAGGACGAACACTACACCAATCATTAGTTTGTTACAATTTGATGACTGTCTTTTTGCGCGCATACTTTGCTCTACCTTCAAGTATATTTCTTTCTTGGGAGCCAATCTTCAGACGAAACCATTCATTCGAAAGTACATTGTTAAGTGAATTACTGTTTTCAACTTTGAGTTCATAAGACACGCTTCATTCGATTTGAAATGAAGCACATTATATACAAATATTTTTTTATACGTTTTATAATCGTACTACAAAATAAAAATTCTTTGAAATTTTAAAAATAGGAATCAAAATTATTATTTTTTTTAAGGTATTGTACAATTAATGTTAATTAAGTCTCAACGGGTTTGTATTTGAGGGAAACTTTTGGTTTTAAAGGGATTTATTAATGACTTGAGTTACAAATGTTACGGGGAAAAGAGAATAATAATAATGAAATAAAAGATATCGAATATTATTCATGTTTAATTTACAATAAGGGATATATTGATTTATTGCCACATATATGGTAAAAAAAAAAATATTGGCGCAAAAGGCAAGTGAAGAACATATGAAGTTGCTTTATTGTTATATGTGAGCCCTGCCAATTTAAGCATCGAATATCTTCTGCTTGGGAAACAAAAAGAAGTTAATTTGAGGGTTTAAACCTGAAGACGTTTTTGTTCCCACGCCTTTAATGCATGGACCATCACGACCTCGACACACGAACTCAAGATTTAAAACTTGAAATATTTACATTTTTTTTTTTTTACCATCAAACAAAATGTAAAAATTTACTTCCTTGGAATATTGATTCCGTATAATACATAAAAAAAAACTTATTTTTTTTGAAATTCATCGGGATAATTTTTATGCTAATTTTATTAATATTTAAAAAAAAATTGCATACATAAAACACGTTAAGAAGGAAAACTTCCGTTTGGCGTAGAATTTTTTTTTTTCAAATTTCCTGTATATGGCTATAGTCATCATAGAAAGTGCGCAACGTACAATATGAGTTATAACCACTTTTACTGATAATGCTTTTTAAACCTTCCCTCCTCAGTGTCAAAGTTACTTTCAACGGAGGCATGACATTTATGACAAAAAGTCTTTGATTTATCGTCTTTTCATGACCTAGCTTAATGCATATAAGGATTTAAAACAAAAGACATTTTTTTGTTGTGGTACGGATGGAATAAAATGAGAAACTTTTTGCATTCTGATTCTAGATAATTTCTAACATTATAAAATAAAAATAATATTATTATAATTATTATTGTTGTTGGTATTTTCAATATTGTTGAATTTCTCTTGGTATTTTCGTAATCTGTATAGAAAATAAATATTGTAACGTTTCTCATATTATCAGGAACAGATTTAACTACTGTAAATCTTAATGTGGAACAATATATATTTATATATAAATAAGATATGTGAAGAGGTTGTTTAGTGATATATTGATGTCGCTTGTATGTAGTGATATATTGATGAGAGTCTTCTATTGTTTCATGACAACGGGCCACCAGGTTGCTTGCTTCCTCCTCGTATTAATTAAATACATACAATATTCATCTTCTATATTATTCTTAAGTTATTCCTATCTTGTAATTAACGGTATTGATAGCAATAATTCTGTACGGTATTTTTTAAAGCAAAATCAAATACCGAAATACGAATTGCTTTTAGCTTCCTTAAGATTGCTACGACGCAAAATCTGACTACTTAATTGTATATAAACATATAGTGATCAGCTTTTGGGTCGTACTAATCTTAAGGTAGCCAGAAAATGGGATTTTTATATAGTTAAATTGAATAATTATTACCAATAGAAGCTTGTCTGCACAGTCTAGCGAATATCATTCCGGAACGTCCCAAGTTAACCTATAAAAGAAAATTTTAGTTTGATTTTGATTTTGTAGCATCAGCATTCTTTAGTATGGTTCATTATTAACATTATTTACTTTATGTTCAGTCTTTTTTAAATGAATAGTAGTTGTTCAATATTTATCTGTTTTGGAAAGTGTGCCATGAATGATAATCATGAACTACTAATCTAAATACAAAGTTTCCAAATATGGATAGCAATTTCATAAAATGGATAGTAATTATATTTTTTCATTATACATCCGGCAAGTATGGGATTATATCTTTCACATATCCGGTTCCTCTCAATTCATCTCTATATATATATATGTGTGTGTTTGAATCTGTTGCCGGGAGACGATGTTTCGCATCGCACCCGCAACCATATAATTACGCGTGCACGCCTTCACTATGTATTTGTGGATGAGCAAGCAATATGCGTGTATGCATGTAATACACGCTAGTTAAATTCATGGTAAGCAAAGTGTGTTCGGAGATTGTGTGTTGCATGGATGATTTACACCGTTGCTGATTCTCGTGCATTCCTACGCTTTTACGCTTATGTGCATCGAAAAAACCATAGCTTCATCACCCCGAGGTTCACACACACAAATACATACGGAGTATCGACATCAACTCATTTTAAACCCCCCGAGCATGTCTATACCCTTTTACCTCTTCAAAAACACCACCTCTTTAGGTCACGCGGGTCAGGGGTGAATTCTTTTCAGAAGAAATGATATAATATATATGTTTATAAATAATATTTCTGGAAAATATTCCGTTTTTGACATATTTGGAATTCTTTTTAATAATTAATATTAGATTATGTTGAAAATAAAGTGATTTTGATGTATAGTGATAGCGTTATTTACAAGAGATGAAAATATAAATTAAAAGAAGATGCGAACATTTTTAGATTTATAGAAATTATTTTTGTTCAATATTGCATTATAAATAATTATTATTTAACAGTATCTGTTTATGGATTCGCGCGAGCACATAAAAAGAGTAATTAATGAATGACAAAATCCAATAAAAATTTTTTTTTTAGCAGATTATATACTCTCTGAGGGTTATAACAGTACTTTTATTAGAAATGTCGAGTTTTTATTACGGTACTTTACAATCAAGATGGTATATATAAAAGGATAATAAGATTATTTGATATACGTGGTCCACGTGTAATGTTATACATCAACACGATCTAGACTGTATATATGTATTAAAGTCGATTAATGATGTTCCTCTTTAATATCACGCTGAGCATCGAGACTATAACACCATAGAATGTCAAAGAAACAGAAAATAACAGATTGCAATATAATATAAGATACTATTACTATATTAATTAAAAACAAAATTTTATTTGGATGTTGGATAAAAAAATGTGGCTTTGAGGTAACGGAATACGATTTAAGTTTGTGGTCTTATTGCGGTTTTAAACTGTTCTCAGGAGTTTCAATTTTAGAAAATAATGATAAATATAAATTCTCTATTTTTATTTTTTTAGAAATTTTGGTTTGGAAAGCAGATTAAGAATATTTTTATTAACCTGACAATTTAAATATAAGCGCAGCTTGATCATTTATTATGCAGCGTGGAACGGAACTAGTAACAAGACCTTGCAGTTGAATGTCTATACAGACAGCCCGCATTAATCGCCGCAGCTTTGAGATGGAAAAGAGAGAAACGTTGAGAAACTGCATGCGCCTCTATCAGTTGTAGATTCATTAGATTCGAAGTAGCATCTTGATTCCCACGATGTTAGATTATCACCACGAATAAAATTATCCGCATTTCGAAAGTATATACAAAATAAAAACTGGATTTCTATATAATCTATAAAATGTATCTTTGAAAAAAAGTTAAAATTTTATTTAACCAAAAATTTATAATTTCACATAACTTATCCCAATGATTGACGTGCAAAAAAAAAAGATGTAATTTTCTGATTTTCACTTTTGCCTCTTACTTTGTAATATACTTCACATTTTACAATATTATATGTAAAGTTTAAACCCATCAATTATAATTGACGATTTTGTATGTTAATTATAAAGTATTCATGTTACTTAAATGGCGGGAAAAAGTTTAATATAAATGAAACATGCAAACGTGCTTGCAAATTGACAACAGTGGAACCTAAGCTGTAATTATCCTAACTCTTGGTTTGTTGTTGCTCGGTATTATATACGTTAATTACTAAATCAATTAAAAAGGCATTGACAGAAGCTACAATTAAATATACTTTTCTGGGCGTCAAGTTTATAGGCGATAATAATAAATCGGTAAAAGAAATTAAAAAATAAGTTCTTTCATTATGGAATTTCAATTGAGGATCATTTTTCTATAAAAAAAATTATAAATTATTATATTTAGATTCAATTTAGTTTCATTATAAATGAAAACGATCATTTTCCTCCCTAGTTTTGAACTTTTACTTCACAGTGTTATTTCACTTAAAAAACATATTGTAATAAAACAAAAATTTACTTATCGCAAACCAATGATTAACGCACTGACCATTCAGTTCACAAGTGAAGCGTAAAATAAGGACGAATATATAAATATACAAAAGGCGCATAAAGTTAAACTACGGTCATAATTTTTTCTACTCTTAAAAAGTAATGACAATTGGTACATGAATTTTGGTTTAAAATATATTTAAAGCTCGAGGGATGGGTTAAGAATGCTTTGAAAATTGGATGAAAAAAAAAATGGTACGTGCGGATGTGAAAGAGTGTATTGCAAGCGTGTTACATATCGCCCTAAGGCTATGGAAGCATCTTTTTCTCTCAGTGAAGATGAGGAACGAGAGTCGCCAGTGAGTGTGTGGCTTTGTATTAAAGGATGCGAACAATGTTGCCTGGACCATCTTTCTCTCTCCATCTCTCTCTGTCTGTCTTTCTCTCTCTCTCTATACCTTGACAAAGAAATAACGTTGTCGACTTCTCAATTGCTTTGAAAACCGTGACAGTAATGATGACACTGATGATAATAGATCAATGTCACGTCAATTTTTTGAAACGTCATTGCATGGTTTTAAAAATTGTCAGCCTTCGTAAAGTAAATGGGATAAATATGTTGTTATTTTCCTGTACTGTAACTCTATTAGCTAGTTTTCCATTTGCAGTAAAATTATGATTTATTTTATATTAAATAGAGGTGTATAAATATACATTTCATTTATTTTATTCACTAGTGTAAAAAATATCATTCTTTTCTCCTTGGTGTTAAAAGAAGTTATTTTGCTCACTAGTGCAGCAACGGAATTTTACTTTCTTGTGTTAAAAGTGTCCATTTTACTCACTAGTGTAGAAAGGAATTTTACGCCCTAGTGTTAACCCTCTCCCTGTCCTGGGTTATCCCCACTCCAGCGTTATAGAATGTATTTCCCATAGTCCCCACCAGACGACCGAATTGTCGTTTTTTGTCGATAACGGTCACTAGGATAGAGAGAGGGTTAAAAGTGTCCATTTTACTCACTAGTGTAGGAAAAAAATTTTACGCCTTAGTGTTAAAAGTGACCATTTCACTCACTAGTGCTGAAACTGTCAATTTTAATCACTAGTGCAGGAAAGGAATTTTACTCCCCAGTGCTGAAAGTGGCAATTTTAGTCACTAGTGCAGAAAATAAATTTTACTTCCTAGTGTTAAAAGTGTCCATTTTATTCACTAGTGTAGGAGAATTCATTTCCTACACTAGTGGGTAAAATGGACATTTTTAACACTAGGAAGTAAAATTTATTTTCTGCACTAGTGACTAAAATTGCCACTTTCAGCACTTGTACTTAAAATGGATACTTCTAATAATAGGGAGTAAAATTCCGTTCCTACACTAGTGATAAAAATTGATACTTTTAGAACTTGGGAGTAAAATTCCTTTCCTACACTAGTGACTAAATTTGCCACTTTTAGTACTAGAGAGCAAAATTCCTTTCCTGCACTAGTGATTAAAATTGACACTTTCAGCACTAATGAGTAAAATACGGCCTCTTTTAGTACCAAGGTGAAAGGAATTTTACTCTTTAGTGTTAAAAGTGGTCATTTTACTCACTAGTATAAAAAAGTCACTAAAAAGAATAATTTGCCTCCCTGTTTTGTTGACTCGTGTGATAAAAAAAAACACTATTTGATTTACCAGAAACATAATTACAAAACCAAAAAGAGTTTTGCATTTTAATTTTTCTATATTAAGAATAATATTATATTTTGTAATAATTCTCGTGAAATTAAAAAGAAATGTAAATTAACTTTTTCCTGGCAGTGAAGATGATTTGAATGTATAAATTGATGATTAATATTGCGTATATATGTATAAGGACAAAGAGAAAAGAACATTTTATAATTATCATGCAGTATATGGTATGGCGGCTTGAGAACAAGTTCTATTTCTGGGAAACGTGTCTCTTATCTTTTCTTAGTGTCTCTATAGAAGTCGACATGTCGTTAGTTTTTCTCCCATTGAGTGCGCGAGTATGTTCAATCTTCATCAACAAGTGTATTATATACAGTATCAGAAAACTTGATGAACAAGTTCAACATAAGTACCGAGTAATTCGTTATTCCTTATACTGACAATATCGATACAACAAATATAAATAATGATTATAGTAATTATATAAACAAATTATGTTTTCTATATATATATTAAATTGGAAAACTAATTCTAATTTGAAAATTGCTGTTATTAAAGATTTTTTACCTCTGAACCGGAAGGGCATCAGTCATCGACAGTACACATTGTAAATTAACACTGATAGAAAAGTACAAAGAAAATATTTAATAAAAACATAATATTTTTAATACAGAATTTTAATTTACAGAAAAAATAAATGACATATATAAATTGTCACGTTGTACAATGTCAAAGTTGAGATTCTGTTAATAACATCTTATTAAAATGATCTTGACGAAACTATTATTAAAATGACCGTCTTTAAGATGTGTGTACTTAGTTCGCGTATTTGAGTGCGGACGTAATAAGACTGCTTGTTGACTGCAGTAGCGAAGATCGTGCCCGCGAGCAGTGGCAACAGAAGAGAGAAGCCCCTCTACCCATATAGGATAGAACTGGGCATTCTCTTGTATATATATATATATATATATTGTATATACTTCCTTCCTTCATCAAAGCACTTTTTATCCAAATGACATTTGATAAATGATTACAAAAAAACATTTTACGTAATATCAAGTTTCTTAAATTTTTTAAAAAGCGACGGTTTCGTGACAAGAGCTTTTTCGATCGAAGTCATTAAAATCTGAACCTGATTGAACGGAGGGAATGGCATACCCTCGAGATTATAAATATAGATCGCTCCTTTATTATCAGCAGCTACCAATTGATTTCCATTTTTTGTAAATTCAATCATAAGTAGAGTACAATCCCTTGGCAATACTGTTATTGATGTTGGTTTATAAATTTTTCTCTTAATATCCCAAAGGCAAATTTCATTTTTGACAATTGTGGCAATAATTGTTGAATTTGTTGGACACCATGCGGCACATCTAACCCAGGACATTTCCGTTGTGAGTGTTATAAGAGGTTCTGTAATTCCTTCGACCCAAATTCTTGTACACCAATCGGCACCAGCTGTGAGAAATATTTTTGAACAATGTGGAGAAAATTCCATTGCATTAACTGATCCATTGTGTGCGACGAAACATTCAATATGTTGATATAAATAATTTGTTGAACATCGATAAATTCCACCTTCATCTGTACCGATAAAATAGATTGTCGCTAATGTTGGATGCTTACGAAGTATCAATGCAGCTGGATTTCGACTAATTGGAACATCATTTGAAATTCGATAAATTGTTCGTTTAACACCTTCTATTTTACCCTCGATTCTTGGTATTTTCATTATTTCCGTACTGGTAAAATCTTCCCCGGTACGATAACAATAAACTCGTCCATCTTGATTTGAAGTGAATATTGATTCCTCTTGCTCTAAATGATCATTCTCTAACCACCAATCAATTTGCCAATGTGGCTCAAACGTTGGTGACGATTCCAATTGACTTTGACGAACTATTAATAAATCTTTACTGCTCACATCAATGACATTTATTGTTCCATTATAAAAACCAATGGCAAGTAAATTTGGCTTTCTTCTACTCCAATTGAGACTTGATATTGGTGAATTAAATTTATATTTACGGCCATAGTGACTTGGATTTTTTGCACACCAAATTAAAACAAGACCGTCTTTAATATTTGGATATCGTGAACATGAATCATAACCAACGGCAAGAATACTTGAATTCTCATAACTCCAACGGAAGCATGTTACAGCTCGGCCAATCACCTCTTTTGTTGAATACACCCAAAGGAGATCTAAACTATACGTAAACTGAAGATCCATTGCGTAAGGATCCTGTTTTATGAGACCTGTAAATCGTTTTTGTGCTGTTATGTATAAATTACTCGCTAGTATTCTCAACATGACACGCAATGCTTCTCGAAATGAGGTGTTGTTATAAATATGGAGCAATTCATCTGATAGTTCAGCATTGTCATTGTTTTCAAATTTCTGAAGGGAAGCAAATTGTTAGTAAATAAAAATCAAAATCAATGAAAAATGTATCAGTATACTTACTTGATGAGTTTTAGAATTCAATTTTTGGGGATACAACATTCCGTTAATTTCTTCCATTTTATCCAATTGTTGATAAGTGTCGAACATTTCCCAATTACTGACATAAGTTCGTTGATTACGACGCGTGTGTCTTCCAATATATGTTCCTTGTGATTTTGTATGAATTTGTGGTGTTTGTGTCTCGGCTTCAGCGAGTTTTCGATTGGATCCTGCACCAATTGTGATAAATTTATATCTTTCATTCGCAGCTTCCACGGCAGCACCTTCTTCTGTTGTTTTATCTGCAGTTAATTGTGGCATCTCAAAAATGAAAAATGTCTCTGTTTCTTTTAGTGTAATTGTCATTTTCTCCGGTTTGGCGTCAAATGAATTTGATTCTACCCTGAAGATTGAAACATATGGTTCTACATATAATAAATAAAAAAAAAAAAATAATAAACATAAAATTGGTACTACAAATTATTACCCATCTAAATGAAATTCCGATGGTACTCTTCCATTTTCAGAATCTAATTCATCGACTCTTTCGGTCGAAAGTAGACTATCCATGTGGATTTCTTCACTTCCAAGTAATGCAACTTGAAGTGAAGACGAAACAGTATAAGAACCAGAACGAAGTAATCCTATTACGGATGATGAGGTATTGAATAGTGAATTACTACTTGGTAGTGAACTATCCATATCAATTGTACGCAATTGTCTCTCTTCATATTCCTTGTGTATTAATAATTTTGGCGTAACATCTTCACCATTATCGGTAATACGCATCGTTTGTCTCTTTTCAAGTAACGATTCCCTTGGTTTTGTGACAAGTATCGTTGGTTTACGAATTCTATCAGAAGTGGTCGATTTCATTAAAAGCGAATTCGATGTACTTGGTATTCGTGAAAATAATTTCGGTACTGATTCTTTATTTGATCGCATTTTTAGTACGGCTATTTTCTATATCTGAAAAAATGGGAAAATATTTTTCTTTAATTTAAAGAAATTCAAATAGTTTTAAAGTTATGAGATTGTGACTATTGTACTATTTTTTATCTGTAAAATTTTAGCTTGAGTAATTGTGAAATCACAACAGTAGTAATATGACCTTAAAAAAATATTTATCTGTGATCTTAACGGTAAAGTAGAAATCTAGAGTTTACGTTTTTGAGACTAGAACGACATCTGTTGGATTAATATTGTTTATCGGTACGTCAGTTTCTGGCAATATCAACAAGTGAATAAAATCATACTATTCAAGGACTGAAAAAAAAACTCGGTTAGTCAAACGTGCAATAGAAAAATGCAAATTAAATCAAATTTTCATTTAATTCAAAGCAATTTTAAGAGAATTGATAGAAAATTAAAAAGCGGAAATAATCGGTTTTTTGTGCATCAATAAATAGTTGGCTATATAACGTTTGTCCTTAACGTGAACAATCTCTTACGTGTTGTTTCGAACGTCCGTTTCTCCCCAAGGGATATTCATGAAAATCATCTGCTAGTATAATTTATACTTGCGCAATTGTAATAATCCTTTATTATAATATTTTTTTTGTTTGTTTTTGGTGGCGATTTTGGGAAAATTTTTTTTTTTTTTTTTTTTACGTGAGGAAAAATTAAATTACGAATAAGGGAACAAATAGTGCCGACAACGTAAGTGTCACGAGTTGTTGATTACGTGTATATAAAAGTGCAATAATATTGTTAAGGAGTCGGTGGGGTCGGAAAGTTTGACCTGCGTTTAACAACTTGCCTGTGTACTTGACGTGATACCTTCAGTATTGTTCAGTATATTTTCTTTATTATTCACGGACAAAAAAATCTATATAGAAATTTTTAGCGAAAGTTTTCTTTCCTTTTTATTCCAAAAGTCTGAAAAAAAAAATGATTGTTTTTTTACTCTTCTACCCTTGGCGTCTGATTTGACGTTATTCATTCAAGTTGTTAAAAAAAAAAAATTAAGAAAAGAGGTTATCTTTTCTTTTGTTACATATTTTAAGAAAATTTTATATTTATCTCACGATTCACAGCTGTATCAATAATCGTTGTTTTTTGCTTTAATTTTCCTCGGAGAAATCTTTTTTATTAAAACGATATGGTAATTATTAATTATAAATGTATAATTCTATGATTCTTGCGTCGAAACATGACGTGTGCGAAAAATTGAATCTGCTTTCTTTTTTTTTTTTTTAGTTTTTCATTTTTAGTTCTATTTTTTTTTTGTATTTTTGTTATCTCTGACGTAGGATATGTTTTTCTTTTTGTATTCGCGTGTTTAGTAGGAAAATAAGTTCAGTGAAAAAAAAAAGGAGAAAAGATAGCATGGAATTAAATGGAAAGAAATAAATAATAAAGAAAATTTATTGTTGTTTTTTTTTTTCTTTTTGTTAGACAAATATGAGTAAGGCAGAGGAACAAGCGGGACCTTCGAAACCATCGGGATCCGCAACAGAGGAAAAGGAAAAAGATGATCGAACATTTGAATGTAATATTTGTCTCGATACTGCAAAAGATGCAGTAGTTAGTATGTGTGGTCATTTATTTTGGTAAGTTTTTCCTTTTCATTTTCAATAAAATTGTAAATTATTTTGAAATTTTGAAATTTGAAATTGAGAAAAAGAAATTCTAAAGAAGAATATTTATAAAAAATTATAATTTTTCTAGCTGGCCTTGTCTTCATCAATGGCTTGAAACTCGTCCCACGAAACAAGTTTGTCCCGTATGCAAAGCTGCAATCAGTAAAGAAAAAGTCATTCCACTGTATGGAAGAGGAGCAACAAAACAAGAAGATCCGAGGTTTGTAAATCTATTTTTTTAATTTTTAAATTGTGGAATAATTTTTGAAATTTATTTTTTTTGTAGAAATAATGTACCACCACGTCCTGCCGGTCAAAGATCGGAACCAGAAGCTAATGTTGGATTTCCTGGTTTTGGTTTTGGCGATGGAGGTTTTCACATGTCCTTTGGAATTGGCGCATTTCCATTTGGATTTTTTACTTCCACATTTAATATGGGAGATGCACGACCAAGTACAGGTAAATTTTCTTATTTGTATTTATAAAAAATCTTTTTCTTTTTTCTCACTAGAATGTAAAATTTTGAAAAAATTAAATACGAGTTTACATTTTGAGTTACGTGTTATTTGAAATTAACATATTAAATAATTTATTTCTGTAATTTGATAATTATGACATTGCAAAAAATAGGAAATAATTTTTTTTCAAATATTTTCAGCACCTCGAGGCACGCCACAATTTGAAGAAGAACAATTTCTATCGAGGGTATTCCTCTGGTTGGCGATAATGTTTATTATTTGGCTACTTTTGGCGTAACATTGCAAAAGAAAAAGAGGAACAGAAATTAAATTTTGAAAAAAAAAAATCGCCGGCCGCGTGTCACATTTAAAAATGCCAATAATTGATTTCACTGATGGATTAAAAAAATAAAACAAAAATTATATTTTTAACAGAAGGCAACAGAACACCCAGGATTATCAAGTCACAGTGAAGTGAGTGTTTTGATAACATTTTCATTTTTTTTTTTTTTTTTTAAATTAAAATATCCAATTAATTTTTGAAACATAAAAAAAATGTGATATCATTTTACACGATTTTAGGAAATATTTTTGTTTTTTTTTTTTATTATAAGAGCTGAGGTTCGTTTAATGGTTTTGGAGGTACTGATAATTTTATGTACATACATTTTTAACAGAAAAAAAAATAATTGATTATCTAGATAAGCTGATTGTTGTATGAAAAAAAAAGATTAGGTTATTTTATTCGCTAAACTGATAATTGCTTAGTATATAATATTGAGAAAAAAAAACAAAGGCCAACGCGTATTCTTACTGATGAATGCAAAAGGGACTTTCAAAATGTATATAAATTAGTTTTTAAGACACAAATATATACATTATTATTTCAGATATTAAAAAAAATAAATAAATTGTATGTGTGTACATTATCAGTGATTAATTTTTAATCAGTATTTGAAAATTAATTTTTTTTTTTTGTATATGAAAAAGTTAGATTGAGAAATACTGAAAAAAAAATTAATTCTGATAAAACTAAAAGAAACAAAAGTAAGATAATACGTAATAAGAAATTTTATCTTTCAACCGTGAAAAAGGCAAAGGAAAGGATGATTTATAGACTAATTTATTTTTACAAAAAAAAAAAAGAAAAGAAAAGAACAGCCAAAAAATGAAAAAAAGATCTTAACAGCAGCAACGATATGGATTTTTCAAATGATCTTAATTTTGAAAAAATTATGATCTCTTTATTTTGTTTTTTATTTTAATCAGACAGATTTGAGTTTGTTTTTTTTTTTATAAATATTATTGAATGTCACATTCCATTTATATAAGTTGACGTTTTATTTTATCAATTTGATATTATGGGACAAATTCAGAGAGAAAGAGAAAAAGATCTATAAGATCATTTCATTATAAGGACATGACGAAACAAGACTGGTTTTTTTCTTCATCAATTTAAATCGATGCCTGTAATTTTCTTCGTGGTTGAACAATTGTAATCGTAACGATGAACAATAAAATAAAATTGCATTTAACATATCATTATTGTCTTGTATGTTCAAAATTAACTATCATTTTATGACGATTTTTAATTATTATTATTAGTCTTTTTTTTTTTTAATACAAAATTTCGATTTGTTTGAAATTGGCAAGGTTTGGATTTTTTTTTTTAAATTAAAATTAAAATTATTGCATCCATTTCATTTATTTGTAAAAATTGAAACAAAATGTTTTATTCGCTATACAAATTTGCAATGAAAAAAAAGACAAATACAAAATTGCAAAAATTTATCTGTTGGAAATTTTTAACATATTGTATCACAGATTTTTGCTTAAAATTAAAAATTAGTTTTTCTCTGAGAAATGTGCGACATTAAATACTGGATTTGAAAAGCGAATCGAGTATTATTTACATACAAAATGTTTAATAATTTTTTAAACATGGTAAAAATTTTTTTTTTTTTGAATTTACACTTCGTCTTTGATTTGTCTCTTCTTAAAGCCTTTGGATAGTAAGAGCTCATTGCACTCGTCTCGCATCAATTGAGAAAGTGCTAAACGTTCGATTTCCTGTGAAAAAAAATATAAAAGTATAATTATACGATTGCAAAAATTATTATAAATAATAATTATAATTAATTTACCTCATCATTTTTGTCGTAGAAAATGAGTTCAGGCTTTGCCCCTTGGATATGTTTGAATTCAACATCCTCACTGGGTTTTAATTAAGGATAATGTTTTTTTATTTTGGGAATATATTTTTTTTTTTTTGTCAGACAAGTTTGGGAATTTAATAATTCGATAAATTTGCTTGAAAATATTTCTCTCAATTTTTTTTTAATGGTCCAAACTTTATTCGACAATATTTTATTTTTTTTTTTTTTTTGAAAAACAATAACATTTGATAAATAACAAAAACAGTTTTGTACAAAACAATTACAAAAATTATAATATAATTTTCGTTTTTTAAATCTTAATATATATGTGAAATATATTAATTTGATAATATTTAATATATTATAATAATTTGTTTGATATTTTTTAATTATTAAATAATATTAAATATATATAAACAAAAAATTATAATAATTAAATATATAATTATACTATTAATAAGTATATAGATAAGCTCTTTCAAATATTTACATATTATAAATATTTTTAATATATTATTAATAATATATTTATCGTCGATTTAAATAATAATTATCCAACTTCGTAAAGATGAGAGTGCAGACCAACTTCTTTCACTGCATCGTATCCAAGTGTTCCTTAATGTACTTCGAATGGAACTAATTTCCAAAATTAAGTCCAAAATATATATATAATTAATTCTTTATGATTATTAATTAATGACTGTTAATTAAAAACTGATGTAAATTCAAAAAAAAAAAAGAATTTTAATTCACACAAATGAAATTTTACATTTAATTTAAAAAAAAATTTATTTAATTCATTATAATTAAAAATTTTATTTAAACAAAAATTTCGATTCAATAATATTTATTACTAAAAAAAAATGTTCAATGAAATTTTTCAAAGGATACTATAATGGCAGGTCATTGAAAATAAAGCTCTTTACGTCAGGAAGAGAGTTCAAGGAGCAGCCCCTACAACTCTGTAATACACATTTTATGAGCAGTTGCTATAAATATACGTATACATAATTTGCCAATTTCCTATAAATATTTATAACCTTAACACAATTACATTAGAAAAAGTTTTTTTTTATCACTCTTATTTTTAGATTTCAAATTGAAAAAAAATGTTAATTTATATATAATTCAAAAAAAAAAATAAATTTTTGATTCTTTAATAAATAATAAAATAAATAAATAAAATAATTTAATAAAAAAATCATTCTTTCGTTCAAATAATTATTCAATATTCTAAATAAAATATTTTTTTTGAAATATAATTTTCACTGTGAATTAAAAATTTGCATAATATAGGAAAATTGATTTTTTTGAGAATGGGATATTATTTTTATAAATTGAAAGAATTTAAAAAAAAAATTTAATTTAAATTTTAATTAACTTTAATTAAAATTTTTTTTTTTTCAACAAAACATTTCAATTAGGGAAAATTATATGATTATAAAATTTATAAGTAGGAAGGTCAATAAATAATTATAATAATTAGTTGCTTACCTCGACTTTGGCAAAGGCATAATTTCCACTGCCTGCATAACTTAATGAAAATGAGAGAAAAAGCAAAAAAATGCAAAGAATATATCTCACTGGAAACATTTTTTTTTTTTGTTTTTGGTACTATAAAAGTACGTTAATTTTAATTTACTTTTCTTTTTTATTTCTTGTACTAATTTAAACGACTGTTTACATAAAAATGAAATACAAATATATAGACGCAGAGAGATAGACGATAAAATCAATCAAATGATTTTAGGGTGGGATTTTACAATGACTCGTTTCCAGTAAATTTCCAGTGAAATTTCTCCTTTCTCATCTTTCGGAAATATAAAAAAAATCTTGAATGAAAAATTTGAATTTCCCGCCACAAGTATTTGAATGCAGGGTTGAGAAGTTAAAAATACAATAGTAAAAACGCCATTCAATTGGTTGGTATATTTCCTGGATATTATACCAGCCAATCACAAGGCGTATTTTTTTGATTCTCTATTTTCTAATTGGTTGGTAATGTTTCCCGGAAATATTGCCAACCAATCATAAAGCCTATTTTTTTTTTTTATTACCCGATAATATTTTCGTGAATATATTTTTCTTTTCAAAGAATAGTTTTTTTTTTAAAAAAAAGTGATGATTATTTATTAACATTTATTATTAAAATACAGAAAAAAATACAATTTAAAAAAATTAATAAATATTTTTTTTTTTTTAATATTAGCTTAGAGCTGTAAATTAAATTCAGTTATATCGGGATAACAGAAATATTTAAAATATCGTGAAAATTTCACGCACGTTGAGTTATTGTGTTTTTTTAAAAATTCATCAAGTGGCTCTAAATTGAATTTTTTTGTTTGAACTAAATGAAAATCCATTTCACGTAATTTTCTCCATAATAATTGAAAACCAATAATTGTTGTTGTTAAATCATTGAAACAAGAAATATGATTAATAATTGGCTTTTTTGTATCTCTATCAATAAAACGCATATGTTGAAGATATATTTTTGCAATTTCAAAAAATTCCCAATGAAAACTATCGTCTGTCAATATAGTTTTCAATTCATATTTTGGATCATTTTCCATTTTTCCTCCCATTAATGACTCGCAAAGTTTATCGAGAAAATTCAATATAAATGACGTGAAGAATCCTTCCGGTGGAATTTTTTCACCGTCGATATTTTCATTTTTATCTGAAAATAATAAAATAATTTATTAATTTCAATTGAAAAAACATTTAAAAAAATTATTTTTTTTTTTTTTTATTTCAAAAAAATTAGAAAGACAATTTTACTTGAAAGTTTATCCAAAGTTGCTGCTATTTTTTCATTAAAAACATCAAGAACAGAGTTGAAATCTGATTTTGTTAATTCCTTTTTTGTAATACTTTTTTCTGATAGCGGTGGTATTTTATTTTTCGATTGATCATTGTTGTTATTATTATATGCGAGTTCAATGTGTTTCCATGAAGCAATTAACGGGCTTTTTTCGCCATTAAAAATAAAATTTTCCCTTTTATGATCCCAATTTTCGGGTCTCTCTATCAAATCAACGAAATATTCCAAATCGTTTGACATCATATTATTACGAAAATCAATTAATAAATCCATGGGATTGATTAGTGGAACGATCTCAACGCCCTGAACGAGAATAGTACCAACTGAAATTATTTTTTGTTTATATGAGTTTTCAATCTATGTACTGTCGGTAATGAAGAATTTACGGCGCGAAATTTAAATCATATTTAATTTTCCTAATTACTATAGTGATAATAAATAATAATAATAATAATAATAATAATAATAAAATTATTATCACTATTATAATAATGATAATAATAATTAAATTATTTAGATTTTTAGATTATTATAATTTTAGTTATGATTGAACTGAAATTATTTTTTTCTATATGAGTTTCCAATCTATGTACTGTCGGTAAAGAAGAATTTTTGGCGCTAAATTTAAATCATTATTTTCATAATTACTATATAGTGATAATAATTAAATCATTATCATTTAAATTATTAAAATTTTGAATAATTAATTTTTTATTACTCACAATTTTCGGCAGTATCAGGTCCCCTTTTTTCATAAGTTTCTATTCGCAATTTATCCAACAATGCCTCGTACCATTCTTCCTTATCGCAAACTGTTGCGACAACATGAAATCCAGCTGATGTCAAATATTTCACAACTAATTTAAATAATTTTGTAAGACGCGAAATTTTTGGTATTTCATCAGCGAAACTATATGCAATTGGTAAAAACCAATTAGACTCAATTCCTCTAATTGCAAATACAAAACATTTATCGGCAATAATATCACGACGACAATTACCCCAATCCTCAAAACCAAGAACTTTATCTAATTTACCACTGTAATATAAATGTGGATTAATATCAATGGAGCCCAACATTAATGTAACAATTTTATCGCTAAATTTCATTGTTTTTGCTATTGTATATAATCGATCTATCATTGTCGATGTTAAGCCAGTATCAAATGGAATGGATTTGTGAAATTTTTTTAAATTCTCACAATTTGGCAGGGGAATTAATTTACTTAAATAATTGTAAACAATTTCCGATGTATTATAAATTGAGTGGCACATTAATTTTTCTTCTATTGAAAATTCACCACCGTGAATTTTTGTACGTAATCCTTGTGTGATTTGTGGAATAAATTTTTGTTGTTGTTCGGATAAAATATTTAATTTTGTTTTATATTCCTCGGACAATTGTATTAATTTGAATTCAATTATTTTTGTTCTACATTCACAATTACTGAAATAGAAATTTTTGTTTTGTTAACTTTTGAAAAAAAAAAAACAATTTTTTGGAAAATTAAAATATATTTACCATGAGCATTTATTTTTTCTGCGTATTTTTATTCTATTAGCTCTTAATTTTTTATGTCTCATTGTTCCCATAAAATCGAAAATTGGTTTAAAATATGTCATCACTGCTTTTTGTTTCCATGTTACGTGATGGGAAGTTCTTTTGATCTGAAACATTTTATTTTGTATTTATTTTTGTCCTTTGTAAACATGTGTTTATGTCCTCTAAAGTGACTTTTCACAATTTTAATTTTATGATTTATTATTTCAATTAAGAAATTAATAATTAATAATTAATAATTAATAATTAAATTTTTAGTATTGTAAAATTGAAAAAAATTTTTTTTTCAATTTAATTTTTGTATACAAAAAAAATAATAGTTTGTATTTTACTTACTGGCATCGAACTAATTGTCGTTGGATTTAATTTATTTTTATATGACAATTTGATATTAATCGTCGACATATTTTTTTTCTCGATATGAAAATTAAAATATTTACTTTTTTTTTGCGATAAACTGATAAATTAATTTTTCAAACGATTTTCTGTTCAGAAACTGAAATTGTACTGAAATTCTAATCTTTTGTACATATATATATATATATATATATATATATAGCTTCGAGTTGGGTGGGGGAAAATAGATATTTAAATTTATTTACTTCCAAAATTAAATTTTAATATAAGAATAATTTTACAAGGTATTTTATATTCATATTTTTTAAATATATTATTATTATTATTGAAAAAAAATTTATTTACTGTAAAAAAAATTATTGGCAAAATTGTTCCTGTATAGAATTAATTAACAATTATTAAAATAAATTAAATAATTAAAATAACAATTAAAATTTTAAAAAAAATCTTTTTGTATTAAAGCATTTTAAATAAACGCGCCTTTTCCTCCTAACGATGAGAGAGTTATGGCGGATTAGTTTATATTCGGTGACACGTTCATTATCAATATTTTCTCATTTCTAGCCGAAAAGTCCAGCCTTTTTGACTTGTTTTTAATTACTAATTAGGTTTTGACGTGTCAAAATTTTATTAAAAAATTTAATTGTTTGTCTTGAAATTTTGAAAAAAATAAAAATAAATTGTGTTTGAATATTAAAATACATTTTTTAAATTTATTCTTTTTTTTCTATTATTTAAATGGCCTCTTGTGAGTTTAAAAACAGGATAAAATGTGTTATATTGATTGGAGGACCTTCGAAAGGTTTACAAAAAAAAATTAATTTATTTATTTGTGTTAATTTCAAATAGAATTAATTTATTGAATTTATATTTAACAAATAATTTCTAAATTTCTCTAAAATTATAAATAGTATTTTTAATTTTTAATTTTTAATTATCAACATTAATAATAATTGTAGTAAATATTTTTTTTGCTAATTAAATTTTTTTTTTCAGGCACAAGATTTCGTCCACTTTCGCTAGATATTCCAAAACCATTATTTCCAATTGCGGGATTACCAATGATTCAACATCACATTGAAGCGTGTGCAAAATTAGAAAATTTAAGTGAAATTGTAATAATTGGTTCATATCATTTTTCAGAAATACTTGATTTTATACATGAAATGAAAAATTTATATTCATTAACAATAAATTATTCACAAGAATCAACACCACTTGGCACTGCCGGTGGTTTAAATCGTTTTTGTGGTCAAAAATGTGATAATACAGAATATCTTTTTGTAATGAATGGCGATGTTTGTGCTGATTTTCCACTTCAGGATTTATTAAATTTTCATTGTGAAAAAAAAGCATTAATAACAATAATGGCAACTGAAACAACACGACAACAATCGTCAAATTATGGTTGTATGGTATTGGATAAACATAATGAGGTTCATCATTATGTTGAAAAACCATCGACATTTGTTTCATCATTAATTAATTGCGGTGTTTATGTAATGCAAACGAACATTTTTCATGAAATGTATCATTTGTTTAGAACTGATCAGGAAAAGCAAAATGTTGGGTATGTTTAAAAGTTTTTATTTTAAAGGCATTTTTTTTTTTTTGTAAAATCCGTTTTTTTTTCTTTTTATTTATGTTACATTTAAAAAAAAAGCATAAATATTTTAAGTATATTTTTATAAGATTTTTGAATTAAAAAAGTAAATTTTAAAAATAATTTTTCAAAAAAAAGGTTTAAAAAAATAATGAAATTGGTAACATTTTAATTTGATTATTTTTCAGTGAACATTTAAATGGTAATAATAATGGTGCAGCATGCCTTTCTTTGGAAGAAGATATATTTACAAAATTAGTGGGTACTGGAAGAATGTTTGCATTACCTGTGAAAAATTGGTGGTCACAGGTAAAAACTGCAGGCGCTGCTATTTATGCAAATCGACATTATCTTTCACTTTATCGAGAAAGAAAACCAGATCGATTGACATCAGTTATAAATCATGAAGATAAAATTATTGGCGATGTTTATATTCATCCTACAGCCACAGTTGATCCAACATGTGTGGTATTTAAATTTAAGAATTATTTTGATTAAAAATTTTTTTTAATTGATTAATTTTTTTATTTGTAATTTTGAAAAAAATTATTTTTTAGTTGGGTCCCAATGTTTCGATAGGAGAAAATGCATTTATTGGTCGTGGCGTGAGAATAAGAGAGTCAATTGTCCTTAATAATGCAAAAATTCTTGATCATTCAATTATTTTGAATAGTATCATTGGAACATATTGTTTTGTGGGCGAATGGGCACGTGTTGAGGGTACACCTTGTGATCCAAATCCAAATAAACCATTCGCCAAAATGGAGAATCCACCATTATTTAATGATAATGGAAAACTCAATCCGGCGATTACAATTCTCAGTGAGTAGAATATAATTTTTTTGTTTAAAAGTAAAATTTTTATATTGAAAATTCAAGAAATCTGTTAATTTCTGACAAGTGAAGAAATTGAATTTTTACAAAATCCTATGGTTAAATGAAAATTTTACTTTATAAAAATTCTTTTTATAATTAAAAATTTACAATATCATTAATAATTAATTTTATTTGTCAGGTTCTAATGTGAATTTAGCAAGGGAAAAATTTGTATTAAATTCCGTTGTGCTACCACATAAAAAGCTCACGAGAAACTACAAAAATGAAATTGTTCTTTAAATTATAGATAGAAAAAATATATTTTAAAAAGTAACAATTTTTTTTTTCAATTAGAAAAAAAATATTGTTATTTATATTTGTGAGATTTTTTTTTTTTTTTTTACAAATATTTTGTGGAAATATTTATTTGTGCCAGTTGTTTCTTCCTGAAAATCAATTTATATTGACAGACTGTTTAAACTATATATTGTAAATAGATATTTTATACAATAAGTGAATATAAAAATTGTATTTGTATAAAAACACGAAAATGTAAATGAAAATACTCATTTTTTTTAAATTCTAATTTTTAAAAATTTTTCATTTATGTCAAATTGTATTTATATTTACTGAAAATATAACGAACGCACAAAAAAAATGATATAAATAGATTTTATATTTTTTTAAAAAAAAGGAAGTAACCGAATTAATTTTTTTAAAAATAAAAAATGAGTTTTTTCTTCTAAAATATTTTAGTATAGATAAAGATAAAAGAAATATATATATACATATTTGTTGAAACAATTTGTTTATTAATTATTATAATAGTTTTTATTTATAATTTATAATTACAATAATTAATAATTTAATAATTATTGTTGATCTTCGTATTTTTATCGATCTCTTTTTTTTTGGTCTATTTTTAATTAGAAACATTTTATTTGTATAATTTTCCCTAAAAAAAAATTGAGACGTTTATCTTAATATTTCGAGATACAGTCGAACCTCGCTAAGTGAGACAAGAAGCAATAACTCATTCCGATCCGATTAAATTCAGGATTAAAAAATTATTTATCGAAAGTTTTATATTGAGGTCACATTTAATTAGGTTTTTGACTGTATTTGAAAATTATTTTAAAGCAAAAATAATTAATTTCTCTTATCAAGTATCGTTTTCTCAATAAATGAGTTACAAGAAATAATAATTTTCAAACTTGGATGTTTTTTTAAGAGAAAATAAAAAAAAATGTTTTTTTTTCAATTAATTTGAAAGAAAAATATTTTTCGAGTGTTGGAATGCGTATATGAGTGGAAATTGTAAAGCACATTTCTCTCTCATATATATATATATATAATACACTTAACCCTGCGCAAGTTCAACAAAGCGCACGCTCTGCAATCGCAGCATCACAGTTCAATCTTTGCTCAGTACCAAAATTTCTTACGCTGAAAGAAGACAGGTCCTTACATCTCGTGTAAGACCTCTCTTTATCATGATTTTGTTCTTTTATTGTTCAATAGAATTCGTAAATTGTCATCAAATGTAAATGACAAAAAAAAAAAATGTTTGAATTACAGAAAAAATTTTAATAATTGTATAAATTGTGAATGAGGCAAGTGTCAATACGTTGTTTTTACAATGGCAGATCACGACCATATGTACGATGATGAGGTAATTTTTAATTACATGAATTTTTTTTCGAAATATACACAAATTAGTTTTCTTTTTTTTTTTTTTTTTGAAATAGGAAATTTTTTTTTTTGTTTTTTTTTGGAAGAAACCAAAAACTACAAGAAAAATTGAAATTAAAAAAGCCGGATAATTTTTTATTCAATTTTTTAGAAATTAATATTTTTATTACACTAGTGTAATTAAAAGTAGAATTAGTCAAATTTAGTTTTAAATAATTTTTTTTTCTAAATTACAAAAAAAATTTTAATGTGGAAAAAATATAAAATTTTGTATTTTATTTTATTTTTCAAAAATAATTGCTTGTTAAAATGATTATTAATTTTATATATTTTATATATTTTTTAAAAATATTTTATATATTTTTTTATATATATTTTATAAACTCTTTTTTGAGAATAAAAAAAAATAAATTTAATTCTTTCCCGTGAGATTGCTTTTGAAAAAAAGAAATGAATTTTTAAACAAGTGTTTCCAAGAAAAGACTATATCTCGTTCATGAATTTAAACTATTCCATTAAAAAAAATATACATATAAGTGGAAAAAGTACTTGTGCAATTTTTTTTTATATATATATTATTATATAAATTTTTTCTTTTAATTATATTCTTTTTTCAAACCGTTTAGAATAATTGTTGAAAAAGCTTTTCATTTCTAACAAAGAACATTTTACAAAAATTGTATATATATAAATTCTTTCACTTTTTTTTTTCCTAAATTTGTTTTTAGTTTTCATTATTTTTTTTTTTCACTTCACTATTTTTATTTATACAATTTAATGTTATATTTTTATCACATTAATAAAAAAAAATTCACTGTATTTATTTTTTTTTATTTAAAAGACAAAGAAAATAAAAAGAAAGTTGCAATTTTGAAAAAAAAAAATAATTTTTATTTAATTATTATTTATTAGTTTCGTTGATTGAGAAATTTTTTCTGTTTTTAGAGAAAAAAAAAAAAAAAAATTGCGAAAGAAAAAAAATAATTTCTTTTTTCGAAACAAGGGAATTTATTAATTTTTTTTTTTTATTGAGACACAAAGAAATTGTATGTAATATACGTTAAATAGGCCTACATTTACTTGGGTCCGATTGTCTATCTCGGAACACTCGGCTTGAACTTCTATCGATTTAAGTAGCAGTGCTAGAATCGAGTCAGCCACCGCAGCTATATACTTGCCTTAGATATATGTACATATCAGTGAGGCTAAAAGCTGCACGGAACATGTAAAAGGAGCCGTCAAACTTTTTACTGGACAAGCTCTTAATTTTTTTTTTCTTTTTCTATATATCCTTGGACGCTATCCAATTTATCGCTCAATTTTGTGAATATTACATTGTCATTTTTTTATTGGCGCAAATTTCATACAATTTTGAAAAAAAAAATTCCATTCATAAAAAAATCGAAAAATTATTACCAAAATAAATTAATTAATTAAATTAATAATTATTGTTTTTATTAATTAATGTGAAAATTAATAATTATTAAAATTATAAATATAAATTAATATTTATTATTATTATTATTATTATTATTATTATTATTATTATTATTATTATTATTATTATTATTATTATTAATAATAATAATACAATATTAATAATTATTATTTTTATTAATTATAATTAAATAATACCAATCGGAAAATTATTTATTCAAAATATACGGGCAAAAGAATTATTTATTTATTTATTTATTTTTTTTGATAATAATAATAATAATAATAATTTAATTCTATTAAATTCGATATTTTTCAAAATGATTGATCTCAGTCGCTTATTTGTGTTAACTCTTTCAATATATCGACTATTTAATAAACTGAATTACGTCTTTCTATAAACTTATCCTTCATATATAAATATATAAATTTTTTTTTTTAATATTTAATATCCTTAAAGTTGTTTACACAATGTAAAAGAAAAAGATTTTCTCAAACTGATTATTCCTGTATATAGAATCAATAGTATCTAGATTGTGAAAAAATAAAAAATTGCAATAGAGTTTACGTCAAAGATAAATTAATTTCTTACAATAGTTGACAAAAAGTGACAAATGCCCAATTCTACTATACGTATTGAAATGATAAATGATGTTCCACCCACAGTCAACTATTTTTATATAGAAATGTTGAATTTGATTTTCTTATTATAATATTGTTATCAATTTTTTTTTTATTTTATATTTTATACACTCTTTTTTTGGAAAAGGGTTTTTAATGTTTTTCATTTTTAATAATAAATAATATACACGAAAAAAATAATTATTTTATTCAAATACTTGGTTATTTAACTATATTATTATTATTATTATTATTATTAAATAAATTTTCTTTGAACCAATATAATTTATTTATTTAATTGACATAAATAATAATTAAATAAATATTTATTTTATTGTCAAGAAACCAATTATTATTTGAATTAAATAAATTTTTTACACAATAAATAATTTATATAAAATAATTATTATAATTATAATTAAAATTAATTAATAATTAATTTATAATATTAATTAATAATTAATTAATTAATACTGAAAGTTAAAATATTTCGCGTTATTAATAATTAACGAATTAATTTATATATATAATCTAATTTTCTGTTATAAATAATTTTTTAAATTATATGTAAATAATTTTAATAGACAAATTATATTATAGTGAGATTAAATCAAAGAATTATTTATAAATAATTTATAAATCAAAAACAGTGGCGTGGTTGAACAATTCATTATTCCATGAAACGTTCAATCATGCGATTGAATTAAATACTGCATTTCTGGTAGAGAATGTTGTTTTACTAATTTAGCGCCGGAGATATACGTTCGAAAGAATTTATGTAGATGAATTAGAATATAAATACTCTTTCTTCATTATATAATCATTATTTTCTTTTTATTATCATTGAAGAAAAAAAATATATAAGAAATTTCTATAAATAGTATTAAATTATAATTATTATTATTAAATTTTATTATCTTAAAATTAAATTACATTAAATTTTTATATTAAATAATAGAAATTTAATTATTTTAATTTTTTTTTTCATTCATAATTATTTTTTTTATTTTATAATATTTTATTTTTTTATTCTCTCAAAGGAATATTCTATATTTTGTTTTTTCTTCAATTAAATTTATATAAAATTATTTTATCAATTATTTAAAAAAAATATATTATATATAAAATAAAAATCTCTTTTGTATATATTGAAGTTTGCACAAGAGCGAGAAGAGGTCAGAGTTTTAATAGTTCCACAATATTCTTAATTAAACAAAATTAAATTTAATTAAATGTAAATTAATTTAACACTAAGAGCCTACAATTTGCGCGCAGAGGAGTTGAAATTTCATATGTATTAAATTTTAATTTAACAATATAAATACCCGCAACAAAATGGAACAAGTTTCGAGGGTAAAATACTTAAAAAAACATTGGCTTCTTTTTGGGTCAACAAACAGTAGTATGTTTTGTAGTGCCGCAGATATAGCACTGATTTTACAGGTGAATTTTTTATTTTATATTAAATTATTCTGCGGCCTATGTTGGAGAAAAAAATTTCTTTAAATTTACATTTTTTGTTTTTTTTTTTTTTTTTTTGTCGTGAAAAAATTGATTTTGCATGTATTTGCAAGTTAAGACAAAAAGGCTTTTTAGTGACATGCAAAAAAACTTTGGAAAAAATTCACCTTTATGTACATACAAAGTCGTCGTTTTTCACCCACAAAGCTCTTTCTCTCTGGCTCTCTCTCTCTTTCTCCCGCTATACGATCGATGATGACGTAAATCAGTTTTCATTTTTATTTATAAATATTACCAGTCAACTAATATGCAATATTTAACGTTAATTATGATGTAAATAATTATTATATAATTTTTATTTACTTTTTTTTCTTATATATTTGTGTATTTATTTTAAAATATATTTATTTATAATATATAGAATATTCTTCATATATAATTTATAATTAGCAATTTTTTGGAATATGTTAGAAATTTTTTTTATGTATTTATAAGTGGAATGTTTATTTGGAAATATTTGCGGAATTGTTAGCTTTTTTTTTTTTTTTTTTTTTTTGTTTGATAAAAAAGAAATAATATGAAAAAAAGTATTCTTTAGATTTATTGAAACAAAAAATAATTTTTATATTGTTTTATAATTTTTATTTTTCCTTTGAATATCATTTTTATATAAAGCTGTATAATTTTAAAATCGATGTTATAAGCACATTAAATATGACACGCAAATTCAATTTCATTGCATCATTAATTTATCGATTTACGATACTTGATTGCATTGAAATAACGCGAAATATTTTAACTTTTAGTATATATAAATGTTTAGAAATTTTATTCACTTTTATTGAAATTGTATTTTTTTCTAATTTATTTTAATTTTTTTTTTTTTTTTTTTTTGATCTACAGATCAACTGATCAATAATCTATGGATCAATAATCTACAGATCTATGAATTTATGATCTACTAATCAATTATATAGATCGATGATCTATAGAAATATACGATATTTGATCCATATATTATGCGATCTATGAAATGATCTACGAAAGAATAGATCTACGATTTATGAATCAATAATGGGCTTTGCCCGTATATTTTCAATAAATAAATAATCTATTAATCAATGATCTATAGATCAACGACGTAGGAATTTATGATCTATAGACTTACGATTTATTGATCGATAATATACAAATCTACTATTTCTGAATTTATTTTCTCTATATCAATGATCCATGGATCAATAATCTTCAATTTGATAAATTTATGATCTAATAATTATTAGATTACAGATCTATGGATCTGTATATATATATTCTACGATCTGTGAATTTTTGATCTACGAAATTATTTACCTACGATTTATGGATCTATGATTTGTATTTCAACGATCTATAATCTGCAGATCAATAATCTATTAATTAATTATCTATAGATCTACAATTTATAAATTTATGATCTATGAATCTATAACCTACACTTTATGGATCTATAATAAAGATCTATAATATTTGTAGATATCTACGATATCTATATATATCTACGATCTATAGATCAATGATCTACAGATCTATTAATCAATTATTTATAGATCTATACGATTGATAAATTTTTTAACTATAAATCTGTAGTCTTACTGTTTATGGATCATATATATAGATCTACTATTTATGGATTTATTTTTTCTGTATCAATGATCTATGGATCAATAACCTGTAGGTGTATAAATTCATGATCTACAGATAAATGATCTATTAATCAATGATCTATGGATCAATAATCTGTATACATATGTGATGCGATCTATGAATTTATGATTTACAGATAAATATTATATTAATCAATGATCTATAGATCAATAACCTGTAGGTCTATAAATTTATGATCTACAGATAAATGATCTATTAATCAATGATCTATGGATCAATAATCTGTATATATATATATATATATATATCTACCTATATTACAAAAAGATATCGCCGCCAACGCCGCCGCCGCTGTTCCAAGACTCTGAATATAGCCGCAAGTCAAGAGAAGGGGGGTAGAAGAGAAGGGGGGGGGGGACTTGAGGCTATATTCAGAGTCTTGAAACGATCTTAACCTTTAAATTTAGGGTAGGGGAGCGGAAGAGAGGAGGGGGAATGGGGGTTGGCGCGCGAAGCGCGCAGGGGGCATAGCCCCCTAGTATATATATATATATATATATATATGTGATACGATCTATGAATTTATGATCTACAGATAAACAATCTATTAATCAATGATCTATGGATCAATGATTTATGGATCAATAATCTACATATATCTATGATTTTTATGATTCACGAAAGTATTGATCTACGGTTTTATGGATCTAGAATATATAGATTTACTATTTATGGATTTATTTATATATCTACGATCTATAGATCAATAATCTAGTAATAAATTGATCTATAGATCAATAATTTATGGATATACGATCTTTAATAATATTATCTTTATTTTTATTGATTTTTAGATCACTATAAATGAATAAAATGAAAATTCTATCATTTTTATTTAGTCTTTTTAATAATTTATGATTTTCTTCTTTTTTTTTTTTAAATAGGAACTGGTGTCATCAAATCCAAATCAAAGAAACTGGAGAGGAATTTTAATAGCTTTACTTGTCATTATCGCCGTCCTTGCTCTTATTGTCACATCTGTCGCACTTCTAACACCTCCGGATGATTCTACTCGAATAAAAGGAGATCCTTTAACATTTGGACAGGTGAATATTTTTTGTTAATTAAACTTTTAAAAAAAAAAAAATAAATTTTGTAATTATTAAAACAAATTTAATTTTTTTTACTTCTCATTTAATTTATAATTGAAAAAACGTGTTGAAAATATTATTTTTTCAAGGAAAAAAAAAAAATTAAAAAATTTTTTTTTTTATTATTTTCTTGTAAATAAATTATGTTTTTTTTTTTATCTATTATTTTTTTTCTTTGGCCTACGATAGATTATGAGGGGGGAAAATTGACGTATTGTATGAAAGTGTGAAGAGACTTTATAGTCGTTCTGATTGATCGACTTAATGAAGGGAAGCCAAGGAGTTTCCGAACATCTAGATTAACGGAACAATAGAGATGAGTGGTGGAGGAGGTACTTGAGATTTATATATATATATATTGTTCCTTTGTCTTTTTTTTTCATAGTTGGTGAAGGACTACTTATTACCAAAGTTCTTTAACGGCACTTGGGTGAGCAATCAACACATATGCTACAGTGATTATTTCGGTGGTATTTCGTTAATGGATGTTTCCGATCCGAATAGCAGTTCACGAATTTTGATGCCAAAAGAAATAGTCGTATGTGAAACAATTAATATTGTGACACGATCTGAAGAAGGGGACCTTAGAAATAAATGAATTATAGGTTATGTTTATAAAAGTTTATTTTTGTTTTTATAAAACTGAAATCAATTTTTCATGAATATTTTGCGACCTAAATTAGTTTGCATTACGATTTGAACGTCTTTGTGTAATTTCACTTGAAAATTTCAAAACGTAACCTATAATTTTTTTTTGCTTCTAAAGTCCCTCAAAAAAAAATTTTTATAAACGAAAACATATTTTACTTTCAGGGCAGTTTAAATCCAGCAAAATTCTTTCTTTCGCCGGATCATAGATATTTATTATTAGCTAAAAATGTGAAAGAATTGTTTCGATATTCATATTGGGCTCAATATACAATCTACGATGTCAATACGCAGTGAGTGACTATTTTTTTTTTTTTATTGGCTAAAAATTTTTGATGTGACGCTTCGGGATGAAAGGGCCATCAGCTGCCAAACAAAATTGTAGATCAAATAATATTTAATTAAAATCAAAATTTTTATTCAATATTTAGGAATTTTGTACTTTTTGTTTCACTCTAAGTCACATAACCTCAAAATTGGTAGCTAATGTCCCTTTATAAGCGTGTGTGAAATTAATTTTGAAATTGTTTTTCTAAAATAAAATTGAAATAATACTTATATTTTTTTAAAAATGAAGTTTATAATGACTTTTCTTTCTGTAGTGATACGATACCATTAACTCCATATCCTGAAAAGGATCCTCATCCGTATCTAATGATGGCAAAATGGACACCCCGTGGACATGGTATCGTAATGATACAAGATTATGATATTTACTACAAAACTGGTCCTTTAAGCAATATGGCATATCGCGTGACCAACACTGCAGTACCTGGTATTTTGTCGAATGGATTACCTGATTGGCTGTATGAAGGTACTGTATCAAAACAATTATTCTTCATATTTCTTATATATTTCTAAAATTGAAATTTTATTAATTTAACGGGGTATATAATTAATGATTGATATATACATTTTGGATCATTTATAATTTTTAATCCATTTTTTGATTTTTGATTCAATTTGATCTAATTTGATGAAAAAGAAAACATTGCCGTGCGAAACTAAAAACTGTTTTTTTTAGGTTATGTTATCTATTTATTAAAAACGATAGAAACACAACGCAATGAGTTAGAGAAGGAGAAACAATATGTTTATCCTTCTTTAACTCATTGCGTTTGCGATTTCCGGTTTCTATTCGTTTGATTTTGCGCATGTCTGAAACTTTTGGCGTCTGCGCACTGAAAAGTAATTTTAAAAAAAGTCTATTTTCTTCTGTTAAAAAAATGTAAAAATTAAAATTATAGAGAATTTAATGGAAATAATTAAATTTCTACTCTCTATGAATATAATTTTCCATTATTTTATAATCTTTAGATAAAATTTTTAAAAAGAAGAAACATAATCTAAATAAAAAAGAAGTTATTTCAATTTTGCACTGTATTATTTTAATTATTTTAATAGATATTAAGTTTTTTCTGTAAAAAAAAAAATTAGTAAAAATTCGATTTCGATTTTACAGAAGAAATATTACATAGTGCAGAGGCTGTATGGTTATCAAAAGATGGACATTTGATGTTGTATGCCTCGTTTAATGATTCTCTTGTAAAGGAAGTGCATAGTGTTAAATATTTAGATAATCAATATCCCACAATGCGACATTTACGATATCCGAAGGTAAATTTTTTTTTTTTCAATACCTTTATTTTGAACTTAAATAAATATTTTAATATTTCTAGCCGGGAACACCAAATCCTACAGTTAATCTTTATGTTGCTGATCTTGCTGATCCAAAGAATATCAATATAAAATTGATTAAACCACCGACTGTTATTATCGATCACATGTGAGTATATTTACTTGAAAATTTTTAGTTATTTATTATTAATTATTAATTATTAATTATTAATTAATATTTAATATTTCAATTTTAATATTTCGTATTACAATATTAATTTTTAGTATTATTTTACTATTTAATAAATATTATTTATTTTAATAATTGAAAATTTGTTTACAATTTCAGAGATTATTATTTTACAACCGCCTCATGGATATCATTAACGGAAGTTTGTATCACTTGGACAACACGATCACAAAATATATCAATTATTTCCGTTTGTAAAAGTCCATTATGGCATTGTCAGGTTAATTTGATTATTTGCACTAAAAAGAATTCTTATTAAAAAAAAAACTAGAATTTTGAATTAAAAAAAAATTTTTTATTTTTTAGGAAATACAGAGAATAGGAGGTGAAGGTAGAGGTTGGGTCGACACTCCAGCTGAAACACCTATTTTTTCAATTAATGGAAGTAGTTATGTGACAATTTCTCCTGTTCAAAGTGGATCGTCAGGATATTTCAAACACATTGTATGGGTGAATGTTCTAAAAAAACAAGTTGTGCCTTTAACACATGGAAAATTTGAAGTTGTCAAAATACTTGCATGGAATCAGAGCAATGAAACAATGTGAGTTATCCAATTATTTCAAAATAAATTAATAATAAACGCATAATCGCATAAAAAATTATTAAAATTTTCCCAATTTTCATTTTAAAGAATTTTTATTAGAAATAATTATTTTTTTTAAATCAAATTAATTTAACGGAATTTCTTTTTTAATACGAATTTTTACATAATAAAAATTAGCTATATCGAATTATTTGTCAGAATTAGAAATATATAATTTCAGAATAAAATAATAATAATAATTGTGACAAATGAAGAAAGGTGGTAGGTTTTAAGACAATTTTTTTTTTTGGCAATGTTTCAGATATTTTATTGGCATACCACCTTCACATCCAGGGCAACGACATCTCTATCGTGTGAGTTCAGTGCCACAGCAAGGTGGCAAGGTGCATTCAGCAGTTTGTATCACTTGCACTGATTCATCCAAAGTGGAGAATCGTTATGCACTCGCCGAGGGTCAAAATAATATTCATCATTCGGAAATTAATGACAATTGGGTGAATAAAAATAATTGGAACGAACAGGGAAATTTTATACAAAAAAAGGAACAATTACACGATGAACAGGATAATGATATTGAGAACAAGACAAATTCACAAAATGAATCAAGTTAGTCTTTGTATTTTGAATATTAAAAAAAAAATCGTAAATTTTAATTTTTTTGAAATATTTAATATTCGTAATATTTTTGCAAATTTCATCAGAAAATTATTTTTCTAAATTCCTGATATAAATAGAAATTTCATAGGACGTTACCATGGTTTTCACAAAGGAATACAATTCTCTTTTTAAAAAAAGAAGAAAAAATAAAATGGTATTAAAAAAAAAATGTGTTTAACTAAAAGAAAATTTAGAATTTTATAAAAACAGTTATAACGTGATTCAATCATATTTAAATATTCAATTTGAAATTGTATTTTTTTGTTTTTTTTTTCATTTACTAATAAATTATTGTCTTTTTAGAAAATCAAGTTGCTTGTCAATATCACAGTGCAATATTTTCACCAAGTTATGAATACTTTGTACTGGAATGTCATGGACCCTGCATTCCTTCAGTGTCATTGTATAAAACAGAAATGCCAGCGCCTCGATTTATTGCATTGCTTCAAAATAATTCCCTACTTCACGTGAGTGAATATTATTCTATTAAAATGTTTTTAAAAATTAATTTTTGTTAATAACAGTACGAATTAGTTTTGTATTACTATAAAAATTCAAATTTTTATTAAATTTTCTAAATTCAATTAAAAAATTAAAATTTTGTTTTTTTTTTTTTACAGGAAAGACTTGCAAAAATAGCTCTTCCGCAAATCAAAACATTCCCCGTTCAGATAAGTGGCGGTTATGACGCTCAGGTGAAGCTTCATTTGCCACCAGGGTTGCGAGACGAAGAAATCACTCGCTACCCAATGGTTATCCAAGTGTACGTAAATATCGTAAATAATATATAATCAAAATAAAATAATATAGATTTAAATTATTTTTGATAACATTTTATCTATTTTGAAAAATTTTCTCTTTGCTTACTTTTTTTTTTTTTATTGATAGAAATGGCGCACCGGGAGCTCAGTCAGTGAATGAAATTTTCAAAATTGATTGGGGAACAGTGCTGGCAAGCGAAAGAAATATGATAGTCGTGGAAATTGATGGTAGAGGCAGTGGCGGTCAAGGTTATCAATTGATGCACGAAGTTTACCACCAACTGGGCACGGTGGAAGTTGCTGATCAATTGGAAGTTACAGAGTATGTACAAAATTATATCTTGACGCTCACTGAAGAAATGTAAAGACTATAGATTATGTTTTTATTTTGAAATATTCAATAGAAACTGATTTTGATTTATTTTTATTTTTTTTATATATATTTTTAAAAAGAAAATTTTAATAAAAAATTGGAAACATAACATAATTGTTGAGTCTTTTTCTTCAGAGCACGTCACTATATTTATATTTATTTATTTTTATACTAATTTATTGATAATAATTAAATTTAGGTATTTGCGGGACTCATTACATTTTGTTGATAAGCGAAGAGTTGCAATTTGGGGATGGAGTTACGGTGGTTTTGTAGCAGCTCACGCATTGGCTGTTCCCGATCAAGATGTCTTCAATTGTGGCATTAGTGTTGCACCAATTGTCAATTGGGAATTGTACAGTAAGTTTTTGAAAATTAAAAAACTAAAAACAAAATTAAAACTAAAAACAAAAAAATGTTTTTAGATTCAGTTTACACGGAGAGATACCTGGGTTTGTTGAATAAATCCGAGGCCAATTACAAGGGCTATCAAGATGCAAATTTGTGTAATAAATTTAATTCCCTAAGTGAACAGGATCAGGAGAAACAAAGAGATCCGGAAAAGCAAAGGAAAAAGAAACAAAAGAAAATGTTTTATTTAGTTCATGGAACAGCTGATAACAATGTTCAATTTCAACATTCAATGACTCTTGCCAGGCATCTTGCTAAAAAAGACGTATTATTTCAACAGCAGGTTAAATTTTTATACGTTTTTCTTTTTTTTTTTAGAAATTAAAATTTACTTTTTAATTTTTGTGAAATTTTGAATTTTTTTTAATGCTAAATAAATATTTCAGGTGTATCCTGATAGTGGTCATCATTTATCAATATACAAGAAACATTTATACGAATCAATGGCAAATTTCTTGAATGAATGTTTTCGTAAACAAGTACCTGCAGAAACAAAGTCTGGTTTAAGTAGCGGTGGCTCTGTACTTGATGACGATGATGAAAACGATAATAAGGCACTTTGAAAGAAAAAGGTTTAAGTGAAGAAGAAAAAAATGTACAGTGCAGTCTTAAATAACGTCTCCAAATTGTGTTCCGTTCAATAGAATATATTGAAAAAATAGGGGATTAATATAGGTGCGTTATTTTCTTTTTAAATTTTCATCTATTTATCTCTAATTTTCTTGTGTACGAATCTCGTACAATATAGTTTTTGTCTTTCTAAAATAGTATTACTATTTTTTTTTTTTTTGTTTACTTTTTAACTATTTTACTTAATTTATTTTATTAAATTACTTATTTAAAAATGCAATCAAATTCCAAAATTAATTTAAAAATAAAATTTAATTATTCGAAAAATATATTAAAGTATTAATCAAAGACTTGTTGAAAAGGGGTTTTTATTTGAAAAAAATGTGTCAGTTGCCAAATTCAAAGTGGGAAATTAATGTATTGCCAAAAAAAAGGACAATCCGTGCAATTTTTTTCGAAAGATAATCATCAAATGAAACTTAGACAACTCGCAAGTGAATTGGCAATCGGAAATTTTTTTTTTTTTTAAATCGTGTTAACAATTTGTTTTTAATTTTAATTGTAAATAATATACGATAATCGCGCTGATAAATCTATTTAAGTTGCTATATTAAAAGCAATTATAAAAGAATCTAAAAATATATATATTATATACACTTCTAGATAATATATAAAAAAAATTGCCTTTGAGCTGATGTAGAACATTTTTTTCTCGTATTTTTTCAATAATACTGTCTTTCAAAATTGCTATATATATATAGAGATCGGAGTAAACTTTCCTAGACGCTTCTTGAAAACATAACAATTTCCATATATATTCACTCAAAAAATATATTTGCAGAATTTTTGAAATATAAAAATTTTCTTTGAAAAAAAAAAAAGAGAACAAAAATTACTTTTAACAAGCAGTGGATATGAAAATTCATTTTCGGAAATAATTTTTTCCGTTTTGTATAGAAAAATAAAAAGAAAAGAGGCAATCGAATAATTAATTAAATTTTTAAAATGTAAAAAATATTATTCAGATTTTTAAAAAAATGACTAAAGTAATGATAAATTACTTAATTATATTAAATTAATGATTTAAACTATTAAAATTAAATTTTAAAAACTAAATAATAATTTGCATAATTTTTTATTGACTATTTTATCTAACTATATGAGTTGCTTAGAAAATTTGTTTATTTAAAAAAAAAAAAAAAATTGAGCATACAGTTTTCTTCTGTATAGTGCAAGAAGCTAAATAAAAATTAAAAATTTTTCAAAGTTGAAAACAAATTTTTGAGGCACTATTTTATCTGATAAAAATATATAAATAATAATTAAATAAAAAGTACCTCTATTTTAATATATAAGAGACTTTTAAGGAGGAATTTTATGACAATTATTTTATATTTGACAAAAATATATTTTTCATAAAAAAAAAACTATATTTAAGAGGTCGATAGAATTAATTTTATTTCGTATCTAGGCTTCTTACAACATTCAGAAAGAAATTGTGTTTTAACATAAATATTATATTTTTTACTAAACAGTGAATGAAGGAAAAAAAAAATTTGAACTTTAAAAAAAGACAAAGTTGGGATAAAAAAAGATACAAAATGTAAATAAATGCGTGATTCTGTAAATTTGAAAATTACTAACTTAAAAAATTTTATTTCAAATTAATTTTAATTTCAATTTTAGTAAAAAGTAGATTAAAGAAAAAAATTTGCCAAATAACAGAGGTTTATTGTAACATAGCATATTATTTACTTTTTCATAATTAATTTATTCTCTAATTCTAAATAAGTGAAATTTCATTTATTTAGATTTAGAAAATAATATAATTTCTATTTGCTTTAAATTCACCACCAAAATGTAGTCAACTAAACTAGTTGTTAAAAATGAAAAAAAAAAATTGTTCTTATTCTATGAAAAATACTATATAATTAAAACACGAGAGAATATTTAAATAAATGTTTTAATGTTTTTTCTAAAAACTTTTTTGATAAATCTATAGACTTACTATATATATAAATAAATATTGCCACTGCTTGTAATCAATTTGAAAAATTGACTATAATCGATTATAAATTATGCTAAACTAGATTATTATAAAAATATTGGCACCAGTAATCGACATTTTTATCGTATATATGAATTATGTAGAAAAAAAAGTTAAATAGTTGAATGTGTTTTATTCCAATATAGAATAGTGTAGTAAAATATTATTCAAAGTAAAAAATTAGAATGAGAAAAAAAAAATTTCCTTTTGACTACTGGTGCGTTTACTTATTTAATTTAATAATTTTTTTTCTAATATTATTTTTAACTGTAAAAAATTAATTTTTAATCACTCATAATTGCAGGAAAAATGTGAATAACTATTGATGTTCGTTTCGAACGATAATTAAAAAAAAAAAAAAAACACAAATGTATGAAACGTCATATAGAATGCTGAATGCCTGAGTCAGTTTTGATACTTGATGCACAGCTGAAAAAAAACTCAGGTTTTTTCTGTGTATATAATATACACTTATAATTTATATTTATTTAATATTAGAACCAGAAAAGACCATTAAGAGACTTATATGTTAATCCCATATATATATATACAATCTGTGATAGACGTAAAGTATTTTTCTTTTTTTTTTATTATAAATGCACGAATATTCTTTAAATTTTACGTTTTTCAAATTTAACACTAGAAAAATAGAAAAACAGAATTTAAAGAATATTCACTGGTTTTTAGTTTTTGTTTTTTATTTTCTCTTTAAAAAAAAAAAAATTTTTTGTCTAAAGCGCAAAAAAACAAATCACTGAGATTTGCTGAATTATTATTATATCGCAAAATCTCATTCCCACTTATTGTATTAAAAAACTAAAATTTATAATTGATATGCATCTTTTAATGAAAGACTCTTTTAATTTTTTATTTCGTCAAGAGAAAAATAATTTCCGACGAAAAAAAAATTATTATTCTTAAAATCTCTTCGAAAATTAAATATGATTGCTGGTAAAAAAAAACACCTTTTACTTCTAAATATTTTTCAGTGAAAATTATTATACATAAAAAAGAACAAATCAATTAAAAAAAAAAGGTAGATTATTTTTTAGTACCACAATCATATTGTACTTAATATAAACAAAAAAATAGAGAAATTTCTGCACAGCTATTTTTAAAAATTAGATCTCATGCGTAGAGAAGTTAAAAACGTACTTTATTACTTCGATAGTCTATACTTCTTGTTAGAAAAAATTTTTCGGAAATTTAGAATTTATTTTTCAAAAATAAAAATTATATGTATAAGGAATTCGCGTACACTAATTAACTTTAGTGGAAAATTTCGATGAAATGTAGAATATTTTAGTGTAAATTATAAAAAATCAACTAATTTAAATTAGTAGTAAAATATACTACTAATTAAAAGTAATAAATACTATTGAATATTATTCAGTACCAATAATAAAATTTAAAAAAAAATTAATTACTAAGAAAATAAGAATATTAAAAAAAATAACATCTGTTTTTATTAAAGTCGGTTAGTAAACGAATTCCAAATATTTCAAAAATTTAAATTTATTCAGAAAGAATTTTTATTATTATGTAAAATTCGAATGTTTTAAAAAAAAAGTGAATCTGTAAAACAAATTTTTATTGTTCACATAAATATATACAAATATATATATATATAAAAATATGTTTTGAATATTGTGAATAAATCTATTGTTTATTTCAAAAACTATTGTTATTTAAGAAAATAATTTAATCCTGTAATATATTTTTTTAAATTTAAATATTCTGAGAAAAATTAATGGAATTTACTTTCTAATTTTGAATTAGTAAAAATGTTAACTAATTTAAATTAGTGATTCACTTTTTATTTCTAAATTAGTTTAAATATTACTAATTCGATAGTAAAACAAAGTTTATCATTAATTAGTTAAATTTTACTAATTCGATAGTAAAACAAAGTTTAATATTAATTAGTTAAATTTTACTAATTCAAAAGCAAAAAGCGAGTCACTGCTAATTCGAATTAGTTAAAATTTTTTATTTTTTTTGTTATTTAATTAATTTTTATTAATTTTTTTTTTAAATTAATTTTTATTCATTTTTTCTAAATTACTTTTTCGTCACTGCGTGAACTTTTATTATGGTAATCGTTCCTATGGTAAACTGTTACCATGGCAACTGTTACTATATCAATATAAATATCCGAGAAATACAGGTCTATGATGATAGACGCTCAATAAACTGTTTTATTGGTTAAAGAGCAGAAACTGAGACCGATATAAAAAGGATATTTGAAAAAGGTGGTGTATAGTTGAGAAAAAGAAGATATTTATATCAATATATAACATTTATTTTGTCTTTTTTTCTAGTACAAAAAAAAAATCTCACGAACAAAAATATTGTTCACACATCATCACCGTAAATTGAAATATTCAATCTATAAAATATATTTTACAATTATTCAGTATTACAGCATAATAACAATATTGCAAATTAATATCATTAAACCATAGATATAATTTTTTTTTTATATAGCTTCAAATTTCGACATTTTAAACGCCAGTGAAAGGACCTTAAGGGCATGTCAAAGTCGCGATACTTTTTACAAAAAAAAAAAAAAATGGCTGACAAGTATCGACATCTCCTTAAGGTGCAAAAAAATTTTAGGTTATGTTTGGTCTATCATACTAAACATAACCTACAATTTTTTTTCTACAAATCCCTTTCAATCAAGTAATAAAATAATTTCGATAAATTGACCAAAAATAATCTATTTTTAGAAAATCCCTATTAAATAAGAATTCAAAAATTTTGTATCTCCATGAAATTAAAAATTGTTTTTTACAGGATCAAAAATTAAAATTTTTTTTTTTTTATTTTTCAAATAATGCAGTGAGAAATACTTTTCCAAGGTGGATCGAAAAAGTTTTTAAAAATTATTTTATATTTTTGGTCTTGTGAAAAATAATTTTTCGACGCCAACTTCATGGAGGTAATTTTGTTATTAATTTCGAAAAAAAAAAAATCGTTACAAATCGGGCAAAGTTTTGATAAATTTTTTATTAGCACATCGTCCAAGATGTAAAAGCATGTGATTTTTAAGATTAGTCGGTTTACTAAAACCACGACTACAAATATGGCACCTAAATGGCCATAGTCCGTTGTGAACGTACATGTGGCTCTTGAGATCCCCGGGGGTTGGAAACGATTTTGAACACTGGGAGCATTTGTGCGGTTTCTCCTGTAACAAATTGATAATTTATATTCCATCAAAAATTATTATTTATATATATATATATATATATATATATATATATATATATATATATATATATATATATATATTGGAACAATCTACATAAATTACGCGTTTCATATGTGTGCGATTTTTTTTTTCAGCTTACTGTATCGAGCAAAAGTGAGAGAGCGATTAAATATTCGTGAAAAGTAAAACCGGTATGCACACCTCTCATTAGGGTGTAGGTCGTATATGTTTTATATACGTATATATTGCATATACACGCACGTTAACATAATTGAAGATAAATCCAATGATAAGAATTCAAAAACAGGATTGGATTAAAAACATCTTACTTGCTATTTTTGTAAATATTTTTCCATAAATGAGATAATTGATCTTGATTTTTAAAAAAATATATTTACAAACAGAGGGTAATTTTTTGGGCTAAATTTGAAAGGCCGGTAAGATAGATTATATATATATATATATATATATATGTGAAATCAGAAAAGTGGTATGGAAGAAGACACGGCGGCAGTAGCGAAGAATTGCCCCGGGGTACATACGTTCTCTGTCTCTCTAATTGGATTGCATTCCAAGCGGTAGCAAGTAATGGGCCAATTACAGTAGCTGATGGCAGACCAACCTATATGACTCCAGAGATATCATTACTTCGAGGGATTAGAGAAACTCATACGGTTTCCGTTCCAATAAATAAAAACTCCTTCTAGATACATAAGCCCCTCCTATATTATATATATATATAAAAGCCATCACTTCGTTACCACTTATGATTTCTACTTGAAAAGTTCTACCAGGCTTACGCAGAAACACGAGAAAAGAGACCAAATTGCGCGTATATAAAAGTAGACGCAATAAACTTTGCGAGCTTCACCAAAGGACGTTATTATTGCTTTGCTACACGCACTATCAGACACATACTGTTTCAGTTTCTCTTCGAGTTTTAATGCTTAATTGGCCAACCTGCCTTATTTTCTTCTTTTGATAAAAATTTTTCTCGATGATATCATTCACTTTAAAACGAGCATTGAAAAAAACAAAAAACGCGTTCTGAAGAAATAAGAAGTTCGAGAATTATAGGTTATGTTTAAGTTCTATCTTTCTTCAGAGCGCGCGCGTCACAAAATAATATAGTAATAAAAGTATATATGATCTCACCTTTATATGTGTCATGCGATGGTAGTAAAGATTCGAGGATGCTGTGAACTTCTTACCGCAGACCAGACATTGATGGGGTTTTTCTCCGCTGTGTATACGCTTATGCGTATTTAACGAGCTCGAAGTTGAGAAACCCTTGTTGCAAACCATACAGACATGTGGTTTCTCCCCTTCAATTTAATTCCACTTGAATTACTGTCAGTTCTCCATTTTGCGCGTAATTTGTGAACCAATTTATATATGCGTGCGTAAAAGGGAAGGGGGGGAAAAAACAAAAACAAACAAAAAAAAAAAAAAAAAGTAGCTCTCTGATGCTTCAAGCATGCATATTTATCTCACACGAACGTTCATCCAAATTGCAATTTTCAACCATTCAAGTTTCATTCTTTCAATGTGAAACAAAAAACAATATTTTTAGAATATTTTTTCTAATTATTAAAAAGTCTCGAATTGACAGAATTTCAGTTAAATTAAATAAAAACTGTTGGATAAAATTTTTGGAACATAGAGAAATTTTCATTCAACAGAAATGATGCTTAACAATTATTTCTTACTTGATCGAATTTTTATTTTTCAGAATATCAAAATTTTCATTGGACGCAGAATAAGCAGTTTCCAATGGGCGAGTTTAACTGAACAAAATTTTGATTTAATGGAATTTTTATATAACGAAATTTTTAAATAGCGGATTTTTCATTGGACAGAATTTTTCATCGAATGAAAATTTTCAATAGCAGATCTTTCATTGGACAGAATTAAGGCTGTTGGAGATACAATGATATTTATAAATATTTAAGGTTTTAAGTGAAATTCAGATGGAAAGGGAAAACCAGGTACTTGAGGTACCTGAGTGCAATATTCCGGGTTGAAGAATTTTGTCAGTCGTGCTATTATAGTACTACGGATAGCATTAAACTTTGTACGGCTCACTTAAAGAATTCAGTAAAGAATCTACATTAAAGTTAATTCTACGTTTGTCAAATTAACATTATAATTGTTCAATAAAGTCTTAATTTATCTGTTACAATTTCTTATCTTTCATCTTATACGTGTTTTACTTCCAAATAACCTATCCAGTTTCAACAAAGGCAAATTCTGTCCAATGAAAATTTTGATATTTCGTCAAAAAATTCTGTTAAGTAGCAATTTTTGTTTGATGAAAATTTCTGTTCTTTGGGTCCAAACAAAGTTCTGTACAATGAAAAATTTGATATTAGAAATTTTTGATTTTCTGTACAATGCAAATTCTGCTTCATTCTGTTGAATAAAAATTCTGTCAGAGGTGAGAAATTCTGGTTCAATCAAAATTGTCTTCAACAAAAAAATGTTTAACGTGAAATTTTTTGTAAATTTCTGTTTTGGGAATTTTAATTTTACTAATGTTTTTTTTCTTTTATAATTCTAGTTAATAGAAAAGCAGAAGTTGAATTGAATTCTACCTGTATGAGTTCTCATGTGCCTTTTTAGAAGCGACGGCCGATCGAAGGACTTTCCGCAGACCTCACAAGGAAGTAAAACCCTCTCTCCACGTTTAATGGTAGTCAGAATGCTGCAGTCGAGATTATCGCCAACCAACGAAAGTGTTGACGATGACGATTCTTCCGATGTGGATTCATACTCGTCGACCTCGTAAAATGAATTTCGAATCGACGATGAGGAATGTTGTGACAGCAATGCCATCGATAGATCCAAGGGCGACTCTGAAAAATAAGGAATAAATTTTCTTTTTTTTACCACTAATTGTCGGTGCTTTTAGAAGGTAAATACAGATTTTTTTTTTTTGTTTTCAGCTTACATCTCAGAAAGGCGTGCCTAAGAAACATGTATACGCCCGTACTACTGTAACATTGAGAGCAAAGTAATCGCGTGCGATCGGAAAGAAAATAATAAGACCGCCTTGAACAAATCTGAAATGCAAATACGAGGCGGAATTTTTGTCGGTCAGATATAAAGGTGGCCGCGCATGTGATTCAAATGTGTGCAGCCCTCACAAGGAATAAAAGACAGTACAATGGGCGGTGGCAGCTAGGACGGGTCCTTAAGCTGGCATGGTATTTCTTATATGAACTTTCAGTATAAAAAGAGGCAAAAAAAAAAAAGGGTGAAGAAAGAAAGAAAAAAAAAAGGAAAAGAAATTGAAAAGACAAGGGAAAAAGAAGAAGAAGAGACACCGCCAAATGGAAATCCGAGAGAAGACGAAGTGTCCCTTTTGAATCCCTTTCCAAAAAAATCAACGAATAATGTCCTCGCCAAATCTGGATCGGCCAAAATCTACTGGAATAAAATTTGTAGCTTTACCAAAAAATGTAAATAGCAACAGATAATCAAATCGTAAAAAAAAATGATTTCAATTTCCTCTGGAATTTTTTGTTTTTAACGTACCATCTAAAATTGAGTCAATTGTACATCTGTATATTGCACTTCTTGAGCATACATTATGCGAGATAAAGAGGAAATCTTGTTCACTCGCTGGAAGAAACCAGGCGACTAATTCAGCATCTGGTTGTACATCTTTTATTACTTCAAATATTGGTTCACCTTAAAAAATAAGATATTTTTAGTTTTCTTCATTAGGGGAATAAAAAAATTATTTCTTTATAAATTACAAAATTAAATACCTTTAACTTTTGTTCCTATTAAATTCACTTGATCGTTGTAGGTTTGTACAATTCTCAAAAATCTTATCCAATTGCATTGTCTTTTATTGAGATTATAATTTGTGAATGATACCTCATCATAGCAACCATACTCTCGTCTAATCTAAATGAAAATTAAATTTTTATAATTTAATTTGTTAATGTTAAGAGAAAAAAGAAAATACTCACATCATTGTCATCGAGAAGGGAATACAAGTCAATCTTGTCGAACCTGATTGAGCCTTGAAATGGATAAATAAGTGTACCCGCTGGTATAAAGACGTTAGACCAAACTGATATTCGCACGTCTGTCACTATTTGATTTGTTTCATTTTTAATATGATTCTTACAGGATTTTTGATCGCTCGCAAGAACAAGGGAAAATTCTTTAGGTATCAAAACGCAAGTTTCCATAACAATGAAAATTTTTCAATTTTTTGAAATTAAAACATTTTTGCCTCACGTTCAGAAGTTCACTTAATAATTTTAGCACTTTTTTTGTAAATTTTTTTTAAAGACTGTAAAAAAGGTGCAAGGCCCTCAAAGGCCCTCGGCTGACTGGATGGGATTAACCGACTGATCTTGACCTTGCGACGGGTTACCAGCATTTGCTACCGAATGGGTAGCCGGGACCCCACCCTTTCTCTCTCAGCCACTCATCCTCTGGACCATCCTACCCGCGCCCCACTATATTTGCTTCCAAGTTGATATACGAAAGGTATATCTATATAGAATTATATATAGGAGGCAAGTCAGCCACGCATCTCGCAAGGAAGTTGGCTTTCGTCCTTCTTGGTTCGCCGCCGCGAAGAACCCACGTGGGCGACTCGGCACCTGTCGTTCCAGCTTTCATTCCTCTTTTCGATGCCCGCATCACAAATTCTCCTCTTCTTATTCTTCTTCTTCGCTCTATATGTTCGACTTCTTCATATGTCACTAAATTTAACGAATTAAAACGGATCTGTTTTCTATTTTTGTAGAATCAACATACTGATTAATTATCAATATTTTGAATTGAAAAAATTTTTTTTTAATATTTTAGAAAACATCGGGGAAATAGAAAAAAAATTATTGTTGGATAAAGCGAGTTTATGACTGCGAGAAATAATCTGATGTTTTTATTTATTTATTGCATCCGCTGTTCTACTGCGGCAGCATCCGATATCATAATGCCACTATTTCGACCTTAACTTGTTGTTGGGATTTACATCTATCGAGTATGAATATATATATATATATACTCGATCTCCCCTTATGTCTTCCGATGCAATTTTCATTCGCATCTGCTGGCGAGAGGTTTTGCATTAACATGCATATGTGTCCTTGATATATGTATTTCATCCTCATGCATATATGCGGTTTGACGATTACATATTCAAAAGTATACTATTTTTCTTTTTTAGTCTTGGCATATACGTATATATATATATATTCACCGTTTATTGGCTTCCTTCTTTTTACAAAACCACTGTACAAAAACAATATTAGTTTCCAGTTTGAATAGTGAAAATTTTTAAAAAATAAAAACTAGTAAAACATTTTGTGTGACAATTTTTATAGAAAAAAATTTTTTTGATTCAAATAATCAGACTATAATTAACTAAATATTGTAAAATTATTTTTTTATTAAATTAAAATTTTGTTTTAAATAGATAAATATTTACCAAATAATATTTCATTGAGTCAATTAAATTTTATTTTGGTTCCATAACAAAAATATTTCCAAAATAATTTTTCTTTGAGACAATTAAATTTTATTTTGGTTCCATAACAGAAATATTTCTAAAATAATTCTTCTTTGAGATAATTAAATTTTATTTTAGTTCCATAACAGAAATATTTCTAAAATAATTCTTCTTTGAGACAATTAAATTTTATTTTGATTCAAATACAAAAATAGGATTTCGAAAATAATTCTTTTTTAAGAAAATTTTAATTATTTCTATATATGAAAAATTCGTGCGCTCCGATTATTTGAATCAAAAAAATTTTTTTTTTTTAGAAATAATAAAAATTAATCATTTTTTAATGATACTCGAATTTTCTAATTATTTTTAATCATCAATTTCACTTTTCTCTGATGAATTTTTTCTATCTTCTTCTGTGATTAAGGACACAGCTTCTTCTTCTTCTTCTTCATTGTTTTCTTCGTCTTTTCGAACTGCTTTTACTCTTAAACTATCTTGAAATCTATATACAATTAAATTTATTTATATAAAAAATTGAAAACAAAAAATAAATTAAATAAAATACCTTATAAACCATGCAGCACCTGCCACGATAAATATTATAAAACCTAAAAATATTAAAATCGCCGATATGGCAACAAATGTTTCATTTGGCATCCATCCAAAAATTGGTTTTGTTAATTTATCTTCCATTAAATGTGTTCGCCAATTAGGTGCTCCTAAAACTTGAAATTTTTATATTATTTTTTATTATGATTTCATTCAAAAAAAAAAAAATAAATAAAATAAAAATACCTTCAACACGTAGAATATTAGTAATCCATTGAAAATTTAAATCTTCTTGTTTAACAATACATTCCCATAGACCATTGTGAGATTTATTGACTGCTTTCACAAAATCAACATTTATCTACTTATAATTATTTTATTATAATTTGTCTACAAATTGAAAAAAATATTTTTTTAATTTTTAATTTCCAATTTTTTTTACCGTCAATGGAAGAGTCGTGCCATAATTTTTCCAAACACTTTTATCCAATTTCCAAATGACTTTTAAATTAGAATAAAAATAACCCAAAGTAGCGCAATTACATGTAATTGACATTGGAAGTGTTTCGCGAATAGTTATAATGCTATTAATTGGATAAACAGCTAAACTTATCATTTTAATAATTAAATATGTTTCATCAACTCGTCGCAATGTTAGTGTATAAATACCAGAATCAATGGGTATAACTTGGTTAATTACTAAAAATTTAATTAGAAATTTAATTTAAATTAATGTATACACTAAAATTGAATTTTCTTAATTATCAGAAAATTAAATTCTATAAATAATAATTATTATATAATCTTACCAATTTCATGTTTTTCTATTCTAATTCGATTTTTATCATTCTCGAGATGCATTCCATTTAATGACCATTTCATAACGGATTTAGGTGATTCAGAAACAATACGATCGATGATATCTTTGTCCATTGATATTGTCACTGAAAGACCTTCTTTTATAATTAAAGAAGTGTGATTCATTCTACTTCTTCGTTTTATTAATTTTACCGTGTCTGTAAAAAAAAATCATAAACATTAATAAATTTCTCAATTTAAAATTAAAAATCCAAAGAAATTATAGATTATGTTTGCAACAGTAAAAATTTGTATTTATTTTTTCTTATATGAAATTGAAAGAAGTTTTTATTGAATATTTCGGATATAACAAAGAATTAGAATTAAATTAGAAGCATTTATAGTTTAGCGATAAATTTGTCGATTACCTTCCAGAAGATCTCCGCAAATAATTGTATTACAACGACCAGTCATAGTACTGGGACCCAAACATGGTTCACCTTTTACATTTGGTTCTGGATTATTACAGAAACGTTTTCGGGTTCCAATTCCACCATTACAACTGACACTACATGTCCATTCACCCCATTCTGACCATCCTCCATCTCGTGGGTCTCCATCAATATCTATCAAATAAAAAAAGTAAAGAAAAAAAAAAAAAAAAAAAAATCGAGACAAATTGTCAGTTATTACCTGAAGGTAAACAATTAGCCGTCCAAGTAGCCCAACTTCCAGCATCAACAATGACAGTAAAAAAATAGAAAAGAAGAATATTTGTATGTTGATAGTGAAAAATTTGTGTTTCGTTGCGAAATATCGATATTATTTTATTGCTCCACCTAATAATAGAAGATAATAATTAATTAAAATAATAATTATTGTAAATTATAAATCATTATAATTAATTATTGTTCCATCTATAATAAAAAAATATATAATTGCGAAAAATAGAAATAATAAATTCGTTCATTTTAAAATTGTTGGAAAAAAAAAATTTCTTTTCTCACTTAATTGTGATATTTGTCCATGAATCATTTGTAAATATTAATCCAGGTGCTTTTTGTTTATGATAAATTCTTACATTTGGATGTACATTTTTTGAGAAATATATCCATTGACCTCCTTCTCCCAATGATACAGTATAATATCTTTAATATGATAAAAAAAATTTATAGCACATTTCGAATCAAAATTAAAAAAAAAAAAAAAAAAAAAAAAACAATTGAATAAATAAAAATACCCTGGAGTCGCTGGCAATAAAATAAGAGGAATTAAAACAACACCTTTGGCACGTATCATCAATTGTACTCTATCAGGTTTTGATATTACCTGAGAACTCCATGTTGAAAGAGGAATTATTCTTGTCATTCGATCTGTCTTTGTGTTTTCAATATGACATTCTGTGAATCAAAAATTAATTAATTATTAATAATTAATTACTAATTCGTGAATTAATTTTTTTTTCGAAAATACTAACTTGAATTACAATCAAATGAAACACCAATAGCATAGCCATATTCACTTTTATAATAGTAATAAACAGGTGAAAAGGAATTTGTCAATTCAGATTGTTCCCATTCAAATAAAGGATTTATTCCACCTTCATAGAACAATTGTACTTTTCCCCTTGGAATTCGTATTTTAAATTCACTCCATTTTCCAAAATGTAATAAATGATTTAATGTCTTTTGCTTCATTAGTTTTAAATCTAAAAAATTAATTTTGAAATTTTATTTATTGTTTAAAAAAAAAAATCATTGAATGCAATGACTTACCTTCGTTTTCTGATTGATAATAAAGAATAACTTCTTCATTAATATTGGCACCAATTTGAAGAATATATTTTGATTTAAAACCATCGTCTGCCATAAATACAAATGATATTGAATCAGGTTTATCGGGTTCCCAAATTTTTATTGAAAAATGTAAACCCTCCGATCGATATTCTGGTAAAATGTAAAATCGTCTATCGATCACATGACCATTTATTAGAAATAAACATTCTTCTGTTGGGGAAAAATTAATATATAGAGAGAAATTTTTTTTTTTTTTTTTTTTTTTTTGATGAAGAAATAAATTCATTTACCTGGTTTATCGCAATCTTGTATATCACATAAATCTTGTGGCACTTCTGGATCAGTTGTATAACACCAGGTGCCAGCGATATTTTTTGAAGGGTCTCGACAATAATTACTAGCATTATAGACACTATTTTCTGGATAGAGACTATCATTAAGATACGCTGGATTAATTTTAGGAATATAAGAAGTTGTAATTTCATTAGAAAATATTTCTGTTGTTGTATCAAAAAGTGTTGTCGATGTGAAAAACGAAGAAGTTGTACTGGCCTCAGTAACAGTAGTAATATTAGCGTAATTTTTCTTTTTTTCTTTTTTGGTTTTCTTCTTTTTTTTCACACTCCATTTGGTACAATTTCTCCCCGATCGTGTTATCGACAAAGTTCCCACATAATCATTAGCAGTACCTGCATTTCGGCATTCTAAAAAAAAAAAAAAAAAAAAAAAAATTAAACATTATTTCATTTATGAGAATTCAAGAAAAAATTTTTTCTCAAAAACATTACCAAATGATCTACATGTTCGAATGTGACAATAACTTTTCGAGACAAAGGGAATTAATTCTTGTGAGAGAGTATAACAATAAGGACCTTGAGGATCCTTCAAAGGATTTCGACATTTATTTAATGCTTTTATAATCGAGCCATCAATAAAAGAGTCCTCCTTCTTCTCTTCGTCTGGAATCTTAAAAAAATAATTTCTATTAAAATAAAGTTTCTTTATTTTCATAATTAAAAATAATTTTCTTAATGGAATAATTCGATACTTCTTTTGATGTCCAAGGAATACAGGGCGATTGATTTTCTCCAATCCATTGAGAGCCATGATATTGATAATCAATTAGAGATGATATGCAATTAGGAGATGTTGGTAATTCAACGGCGTCTAATTCTTTACAATCAATAATTACTATATTATTGAAAAATAAAATTTTTTAATTATCATTAAAATTACCATTAGGAGTACAAAAAATAGTCCAATGTGCAATATTTTGATCACTACCGATACTAAACCATCTTAGGGAACTAAAAAAATTATGATGATAATAGAGTATTTCTTCGTTACCATATTTCTTCTTTGCAAATAATCTCAAATGAGGTCCAAATATACTGCAAATATATTTTTTCTTCAAAATTTCTATTTACAATTTTTAAAGGAATTTTTTTTTTACCTTATTGTAAATTCATTCCAAATCCAATAATTAATTAATCCATGGCTAGGCGAAGTTTTCAAATAACGTTTCGTTGAATTTTCCGACTCTTGATAAATTATCGATAACGTATCACCGTCTCCTATTGTCAACTATTAATTAAATTGAAGCAAAAACAGAATAATAAAAAAAACAAAAAACTCACCATGATACATGGAAATTGAACAGCAGGTGTTTCGTAGAATTTTATTGCAATATTCAAACTTGATCGCACATTAAAAATAATATCATTGGTTCCATTAGTTTGTTGAAAAGGCCAAACTTTGATAAATTCACTGCCATACGTTGTATGAATTTCACAATCTGAAAAATAAATTCTATTTTCGAAAACAGAAAAACGAATTTATTATTATTTTCGATAATTACCTTCTAAACAAAAATCACAACTCCAAAGAACGTTAGTTCCAATCACACCGTAATAGAAAAAATTTTCCGGATATAAACTAGAAATTGTATTTTTTTGTTTATATTCATCAATAAATAAGGGTTTCATTGATCCCACTAGACCAACTGAAATAAATCCTCCTCCCCAAGTGATCCATAAACCAGTCCATTTGGAACCATGTAAAATATTTGGCGATTCTTCAAAATCATGATCTTCCAATTTTGGAAATATTTTCCCACTTCCTCGATTTGATATTTTCAATTCCACTCCCGCTTTCCATATATCTGCTATTAATTTTCCATCCGTTGGTATTGGAAGCAGACTAAATAAAATTTTCACTTCCGCCTTGATAAAGAAAAAATATTTTTATTTCAGTCTACCAAAAAAAAAAAAAAAAAAAAAATTTACCTCTCTTTCGTCCAATGGATTCCATAATTTCATCCAAAATGTCACATTACTCGTGACATTTAATTTTGTTATCGTCGAATAGATAGAAGAATTTCTCACAAAAATTAGGCAATCTGTAAAATTTTGAAAAATTTTAATAAAACTAAATTAATTAATAAATTAATTTTACCTCTATCGTCACAAAATGAAACATCACAGAATTCTTTTTTAACAAATTCCAAATTGTCTTCTTCAACATAACACCATGGACCACCTAAACTATTGTCTGGATTTCGACAATATTTTTTCGCTTTATTTCGTGAATTATCGGCAAATTGATTAGAGGAAAATTTTTCAGTCTAAAGGACAAAAAAAAAATTAATTTTTTTTTACCAACTCTAATTTATATAAAAAATTAATTTTTTTTTTTACCTTTATTATTGAATTAAGTTTGTATTGATGAGTCCAGGATTGGCATTTTTTTCCTGTTGAACTAATGGATTTACTGCCACCATATTCTGCACCGATACCTGTTATACGACATTCTGAAAGAAATTAATTTCTATAAATAGAAATGCGGGTAAATTAATTTTTAATTGATTGATTTTTAAACCTCCATAATTGCAAAGTGGTATGCCACATTCGTCAGTTATAAGTGATGAATCCATTGTATAGCACCAAGGACCTTTAGAATTTTTCGTTGGATTTCGACAATAATTTTTCGCTTGTCTCATTGACATTTCAGGAAAATCGTCATCTTTTATTGAAGAATCAATCTGTTAGAGAAATAATTTAAATTAAATTAAATACAAAAAAAAAAAAAAAATACAAAAATAGATAAAATATATTAAAAATTCTAAAATAACCTTATGTAACGGATATCTTGAATTCCATGCTTGGCATCTAACACCTCCGGCTGTTGTACTCTTAAATCCTACATATTCAGTACCAAAATGTGTAAGTTTACATTCTGAACTATCAAATCTTGTTGTGTTATTAACTGAAATTTTTTTAAATTAAAATCGTTAATAGTCAATTTAGCAAATAAACAAAATTTCAATTTTACCTTTTTCACTGTTCACATAAAAAATATTTAGAATAAAAAAGAAATAAAACATTATTAAACTTTACACTTAACAAAATGCACAATTTCTTAAATATACGAACAATACTAAATTTTCGCTATTTTGATTAATTAACAAAAAAAAAAAACGTGTGAAATTACTGACTTCAGATTTAAAATTTATATTCAATTGATGATCAATATTCAAAATATTATTTTAAATCAAATTTTTTTTATATTTAATAACAGTAATATTTATTTATAATAATAGAGGAAAAAAGTAGAATAATAAATTAAAACAAATTTCAATTCAATAGATGTCGTCAGTTTTATTTTTATTTTTATACTAATTTTCACTTTTTACATATTAAAATTAAAATTACAAATTTGAAATCAAAAATGAAGGTAACAATATTTTTTTAACAAATTTTTATGAAATACACAAAACTATATTCACATTTTACAATGTAGCTAGAATCTTTATTGGTAAAAAAATATCTCTACGCTAACTGCAATTTAATTAGAAAAATGTAAATTATTTATTTCTCAGTCGAAATTGAATAATTTTTTTTTTTTTTTTTTTTTGTATAAAAATATCAAGAAAAAATTGCGGTATTAAAAAAAAAATGTCTATACAACTTTGAGATTGTTTTTTTAAAATTCAGTAATTTTATGATGTTGTTCTTGGTTTCATTTCGTCGTACGATGATCGTAGGAAAATGTGATTTTTCTTTGCTGGATTATAAAATTCGTGTCCCTGTAATAGAAAATTTTTTATAGAATGAAATTTGTAAAAATTATAAATTTTTTTTGCTTATTTACCTTTGACCAATCATAGGAAACAGCGTAAGCAAATATTTGACCATTGTGATTAAAGCAACAACGTGTTATTGGCTGTTCCATTGGCTCTGATGGTTTCAATTTTGTACGTGCATCCTTGTCCCAAAAACTAAATGTTCCATCACTACCAACTGTTGCCAATGTTCCATGAACGGGATGAAATGCAATGTCATTCACCTGTAAGAAATTTCATTTTTTACAAATTATTTAATTTGAAAATTGTTGATACGTTTTTATAAAAAAAAAGAGAAGAAAAATATTTTTAGAACGTACCGCATAAATATCTTGATATCCATTTGGCGCTCCATTTGATCGATGACATTTAAATGTGAAATTTTCTTTTGGATTTGTAGGATTTACATATTGAATAGCAACTCTTCCTTCGACACTACCCAAAGCAAAACCAGTTGGCTCTTTTTTCTTATCGCGAAAAATAGCGAGACAACGATGTTGATATTTCAAGGGCGATTCAACTCTTTTATATTCATGTGGTGTTCCTTCCAATTGATAAATTATTAAACCCCTACCAGCAGTTCCCACAACTGCCATTGGATAATCCTAGAAAAAAATTATTTATTAAATCTATGTCTATAGATTTTAAATTCTTTATTACATACCGCATCAGCACAATAACATCTTTCGGGTAAATTGATTGTTAACATTGGATTTGGACTGCGAGTATCCCAAAACTACGAAATGAATTATTAATTTCAAATTTTTGTTAAATTTCAATTTTTTTATTAATATTTTCAAAATATCTCAAAAAAATAACCTTTAAAGTTTTATCCCATGAACCAGTCATTAAACAAGAATAATTTGTCCCTTTAATCCAGTGACATGTCATAACCGGTGCATCGTGAGCAGCAACTTGAATACTTTGATTTGAACCTAAATCCCAACATTTTACCATTTTGTCACAAGCTGCCATAAATACTTTTGTCCCGTCCTAATAAAATTTGTTATAATAAACAAATTGATCATTTTATTATCAAATTTTCTTTTACTGTAAAGATGTTTTAATTAAACGCTGTAAATTAAAACTTACATCACTCCAACAAACATCAAGAACAGGTCCTCCCATTGTTTGCATTGATTTTGGAATTGTTTTTCCCGTTTGTTCAACCTCCCAACAACGAACATTACAATCCCATGAGCCAGCGACAAGAAAATTTTGCGGCAATGTCGCTGGACTGAAGGCCAAACTCGATATAGAATCATCTGGTGGTGATACAACTTCAAAATCTTTCATTGGATTTGAAGACGACGTTGTCGTATTCCCCAATGTTGTACTTTGTGTAAACATTTTCTTTTTTGTTTTATCTTAAATTATCTTAATACAATCTGTAAATTGAAAACAAATATTTTTAAGAAAACAATTATTTTTTTTTTAGGTTATAATTCCAGTAATTTCTAGGTTAATGTAAATTAAATTAATTACTACCATTAATAATGGTTAATTAAAAGTTACATACCTAATAATGAAACTATTTTTATAATGTACCAATTAATTGCGTTTTTATTTGTACAATTATAATTTTAAAAATATATTTTTCATTTACGAGGGAAATGAAACAAATGACAACAGATTCAGAGTTGGGAAACTATTAATAATAGTTAATACACGTTAAAATACGGTAATCATACGTAACGGGAAAAAGGGTTCTGTATTTTACCTACACAACTCTGATAATTGTTTCCCAGCTCTGAAACAATACAGTGACAGATTCCGAGTTTTCGACCAATTGATAATTTACAGTTGTATTAAGTATAGAAGATTGTCAATCACAAATGCCACGTTTAATTAAAAAAAAAAAAAAAGAATTTTTTCACTTTGCCAAACAATTATTTTGTCTAATGGAATATTTTGAATTATGTGATTGTTTACATTTATGAAATTTTTGTCATAATTGTGGTCTAGTTTACAATTGTGATTTAATCAATTATTCATTGTTTTTTTTATGAAACATATTTATGTATATATTCAAATTTATCAGTTGTATTTTTTTTCTAAAAATCGCGTATTAGTAATATTTACAATGACATAATAAATAATGTGAAATTAAAGTGAAAATAACAATGACATCAATAAATTGGAGGGAAATTTTTCCCGGAAAATGGAGTATAATAATATTTATATTATATATGGCTCTCTTTGTAAATCAAGGTAAATATTAAAAATAATTAATTATGGTAATTATATAAAAATGCATTTTGAAAACATTTTTTTAACCTATTGACGTTTATTTTCTTTTGTATTTATTTATATTTTATACATAACAGAAAATTATTATTATCTTTATTTTTAAACATTTATGACTGAGTATTATAAATATTAATAGGTTTTATCTGAGTGTTTAAAAATTATTACAATTTAAATAGTATATTGTATAATGATGAAATAAGATTGTTTCTTTCATTATCTATATGATAAGTAGAGCGAATTTAATAGATTAAAGTAGAATAATGACGCATTTATCATTTAAAAAAATATTTTTTAATTTTTTATTATAGAAAAATTTAATTGAAATTTTTGTTTTAGGAATTTTGGTAACTTGGTCACAACACGATAAGGAATATAATTACAATACTGTATTAGTAGTATTAATGACTGAAGTATTGAAATTAATTATATCAACTCTCTTATATCTAAAAGAGTAAGTTGGTCATTAATTATGTAAATTAATTTTCAAATTTTCATTAAAAATTAAATTTTATAATAATTTATTTTTAATTTACAGTAACCAATTGTCTTCACTTTTAAGCGAAATAAGTAAAAATCGTAAAGGTAAATAAAATAATGTTATGAAAAAATATTTTTTCAGAAGTTATCAAAATATTTATTAATTTTTCTTTTCTTTTTTTGCAGTGTTAGTACTTTACATGGTACCGTCGTCTTTATACTGCTTATACAATAATTTAACATTCTTAAATTTAGCAAAATTCGATCCTACTACTTATTTTCTTCTTCTACAATTTCGAGTTGTTATAACTGGACTTATATTTCAGGTAATTTAATTAATATTTTATTAACTTTTCTTCTTGAAATTATATTATTACAAATGTTATTTAATATTTTTGTTTTAAAAAATTTCTTTAATCATACTTTATATTATTCCGTTATCATTAGAACTAAGATCTTTCCGGTGAATTATTTACTTCCTGTATAAAAAATAGATAAGAGACTTATATGTCGTATAATATATTTCGTATTTTTTAATAAAGTCTCTAAAAATTCTATTTTAAATGAAAGAATTTTTAAAACTATTTTTTATAAAAAAAAAAAAATATTTTTAAGTTTAATAACATAATTATTAAATTTATTAATTCTTTCAGGTTGTATTCAAAAAGAAATTGTCCGTTAAACAATGGGTTTCATTGATTATCCTAACTATTGGATGCATGGTAAAACATTTAAATCTAAATTTCAATAAAAGCGCATTAGAAACAAGTTTCACGCTAAATATTGATGTGATACTAATATTTGTTCAGGTATGTGTTTTCCAATATTTTATTTATGTTTCAAAATAGTAAATTTATTATGCCGTAAGAGAAAAATATTGATTTCTTTAAATTAAATAAATATTTTCCTAGATAATTAAGAATTTACTTTAAAAAAAATCAGACTATAATAATCTGATATATTTAGAGAGAAATAGGAAAAAAAAAATTAGCGATATTTCTTTTAAATCGTCAAATATTACAAAGGTTTGAGAAACTATAAATTAATTAATATCAAAATTTTCATAGCAAGAATTTAAATTTAATTTCTAGGAAAATGTTACAAAAAGTTTTGAAAAGGAAATTTGTTTGCCTATAAAATTGTCAACTGTGAAATATTAGATATTAATCAATTATTAAACTCATATTACGATTTAATGGTTATGACAGCTGATAAAGATTATATTACAGTTTTTTTTATTGATTAACGAATGTTAGTATTATTTTTTTAAGAAATATTTTTCAAAAAGGGAATCATTTTTTTATTTTAATAATTTTATTTATTAGATTTTAGTTAAAATTTTTCTTAAAGTTGTTTAAAAATTTGTTTTTAATAAATATTTTAATGTTTAGGTCAAAGATTAGATAATTTAGCAAAAAAAATTTCAAAATTACTTGACAAAGTGATTTATCATTAATTTTCTCTTTCAGACAATCTGCTCGTGCTTAGCTGGTGTTTACAACGAATATCTGCTAAAAGGCGAAGGAGCAAATGTCGATATGTTCTTGCAAAATATGTTTATGTATTTCGATAGTATTCTTTGTAACGTTGCATTCCTTGTTCTTCAAGGTGATTTTAAACACGTTTTTGATAATGCCGGTAGCAGTATCTTTTTTGAGCCAAAGGTTATATTAATAATGTTTAATAATGCCGGTATTGGCATTGTAACGAGTTTCTTTCTTAAAAATTTAAATTCAATTGTAAAAAGTTTTGCCAGTGCCTTAGAATTAGTTTTTACAGCAATTCTTTGTTGGTTACTTTTTAATATTCCAATTTATTTAAATACAATTCTTGCCATTGCCATAGTGAGTTATGCGATTATTTTATATTCACAAAATCCCATTCAAAATGTGAAAACAAGATTACATGAGAACTTGAATGAGGAACAATGTAATTTGAAAGATAATGTCGTGTAATAAAATCAATATTTAAAAAATATCCAACAAAGCAAAATGTTAGAAATGCTGGAAATTACTTTAATTCGAATTTTTGAAAATTCTATAATTTTATCGAATAATTGCTAAAAAAAAAAAATTGTAGAAATATTGAAAATATACATATTATTTTTATTTTAAGGAAAATTTTTTTTTTTAAGAATTATAATGGAATGCCTTGAAGATATTTTTTAAACAGTTAAAATTGAAATAATTGACAACGAAGAAATTAGTGAAACAATGAAATATGTTTATTGTGATACAAATTTAAGCTTCGAGAATATCTGAAAACTTTTTAATTCTTACAACGTGTAAATAGAAATGTAAAATGACATTCGTAGAAAAAAGACCTTCATGAGCGCTAATATTTTAAGTTTTCTTATTTATTACTCAAATGATTTTAAGATCCATAAATAGTTAATTAATTGTAAAATATTTTACAATTTTTCAGTTCCTTAATAAAAAAAAATAGCTTGAAATTAATTGAATCTTGATATCTAGAATTTATCAGAAGTGTAACAATGATTCAGATAGATTTTAATATACTTGTCAATAGTTTTAGTGTGACAAGCTTATGTTTAATTTTGTGATAATTCTACCATGACTGATAGATATTAGTTGAAGTGAAAATGTTGAACTTGTTTCTCTTCCGAAGATTTAGAAAATCTTCTCTCTCTCTCTCTTCTCTTTTTTGATACAATCAAATGTCAAATTTGTCACAAGGATATTTAAATAATGCAAGAACCTTGTGCCAAATTATAATGTTTCTAAAAATGCAAATTATTGAAAAATATGTTATGCAATTATTGTTTAATGTTTGATACTATAATCGTAAAAAAAAGGCAATATTCGAATATTGTTATAGTGTATTCTTGGATTTTAGAATACATAATTATAGTATGTAAATGTTGATTTTTTTATGTTGATCTTTTTATCTTACATTATTGAAATAAGTCGACTGAAATTGTATAAATTTCACATTTAGAAATATTTTAATGCAAATGTTCTTTTTTTTTGTACAAATCAGTTTTTATGAATTTAATTCATAGAAAAGAAATATAGAACAATTTATAGTATTTGTAATTTATTATTGTCCTATGCAAATTAATTTGTTTTTCATTGATTTTATTCTATATCATTTTTAAATTAAATATCGATTGAAAAAAATTAAAGCTCTTTGATTAGAGCTTACGATACGTTGACAACCCAGTGAATAATGTGATTAATGCTTAAAGATAGTATAAACAAGTGGGTCACCGTTAGTCACAAGTCTAGTATTTCCTTATATACATATATATATATATATATTTCTTTAAAGGACTTGAACTTTATTTGCATTTTTCACGGCACGATGGAGGTTAATGACCTATCCCTATATTTTTATTCTTGAAAAAACAAATTTTTTTTTTCCTCTTGCATGAAAGGTAATGGTTTTCGGAAGTATTATAACTTTTTTATTTCCTCCACTATAGTCAACCTATATTTATCTATTGTATAGTTCAAAGAAAATTCGATACATGTATATATATAGTTAGAAATAAAAATATCCTGGGAAAATTTATCCGCATAGTTAAACTAAAAATTATGCGCGCAATTTAAAAGTAAACGATAGTTTGAAATTAATAAGCATTTATTTTTAATAATAATAATAGTTGATATACAGTCATTTGATAAAATTAATGTTAAAATTATATTATAGAGGAAAAATTAAATCGCTGACCAATTAATTTCACGTGTAGATTATTTTGAAAAAATCGATTGCTAATTAATTTCTTTAGTGAAGTAATTTAATTATTTAAATTGTCCGCAATCAATATTTTTTGTTTTCTTTTACAACAAAATTCAAGAAATTTTTATATTAATTTATTTTTATTTTTCTATAGATATCAAAAAGGAAGAAAAAAGGAATTCAAAGGGAATTTGTTGAACGAAAATTTTTCCGAACCAAGAAATCAAAATTGGGGTAAGAATTTTCAATGTTTTAAATTTTTGATTAATATGAACTTGAAAATAATTTTCTAATTTTTGAAAATTTTTCTGTTAAATTAAAAAAAAAAAAAAAATTATCTTTGGCAGTATATGAAAAATTTCTATGTAAAAGTAGGTCGGAAATCAAATCAATATTTTAGTGTAGACATCAGGAGTAGAGATGATTTTGCTTGAATAATTAAATCACCTATCAATCAAGATTCTGGCACGACTAATTGTTGACTTAATAATTACACGACCTCAATTTCATAGGCAATCTTCGAGTCATTGATATCTCTTTTTTTTGTCACTTATTTTGGATCTTTTAAAATAAAAAGTATAATGCAATTTTTTTTAAATATAAACAATATCACCCCCAGAAAAAATTGTTAGAGATTAAATTTTTTTTTTCTATTCTGTTTTATATTTTTTACACTTTTAAAATTTTTTTTCAATTACATTTTACCAAATTATTTAAAAAAAAATTTTTTAAATTAAAAAAAATTACAATGACAAAAGTGCAAATATTTAAAAAAAATTATTTTTTATTCTTCATATTTTGAAAATTCTTTTTAGAAGCAGTTGCTTTTCTTCACTGATGCAAAAAGTGTAGATTTAAGTGTGCCCTAAATAGTGAACTTTCAGTGTTTATGGTACATCGACTTAAGAACCAATTGCAGGTTATTATGTTCAGGCAAGCTTTATGCAAAAAGTTAGAAAATTATTACTTATGTATATATAGAAATATGGCAAACAGAGAGAGAGAGAGAGAGAGAGAGAGAGAGAGAGATGTAAAAAAAATATCGTATATCAATATTATTGAAAATTACATTTTTTTTTTTTGGAAAATTGTTTACGAAAGTAAATCACGATTTTTTTTTTGGAAAATTGTTATTCTATTTATCAATTATAGTTTAATAATACATTTTTCAATGGATATTGAAATAAAATAAAATTTGGCTGTCATATGATTTTTTTTGCAAACGATCGATTTTAATTGCGAAAATAACAATAAATTCAGTACCAAACAATCTTCAAACAGTTACAAATCCTTTGCACCTGTTAAAACTTTACTTCAGGTAAAGTGGGGGATGGGGGTGGTCGATATTGAAAGCATTTCGCCTTGCTTAGTGAAAAGGGGCAACAGTCACATGCTAACTGCGGTCAAGTGAACTCGACACTCACTCTTTTTTTTTTAATCTTAAAAAAAACACCGCGTTATTTATAATTTAAAAATCATTCACTCGGTGTCAATTTTCAAAAAAAAAAATGTTTCCTTTTATATAACAAAAAAAAAAAATTTTTTAAACTCTATTTTATTCTCAAAAAAAAGGAAAACTATTTAAAGAAGTTATTTATTGATAACAATTCAGTAAAAAAAAATTTTTTTTTTTATCTGTGTTGCATTGGAGGGGAAAAAAATTAAATGATTCTAGCATAAAAAAATTTTTGTATATTTAAATTATTTTTCATACTTTTTGTTTTTTGTGTGATAAATTATAAATTCAATTTTTTAATTATAAATAGGTAACGAAAATTTAATTTTTAGCAAATGATTCTTAAAAATCTTATTGGTTTTATTATACATAAAAAAAAACGCATGATGTCTTTAGACTATATCCAATGACTTTTCGTGCGATCTACTTTTCAAGGGGTGTTCGTGTCGCAAGATTTATAGAGATAAACTTCTTATTTCCGCGTACCATGTCGCGATTCATCGTATCGTAGATTTCAAAATTCATCGCGAAACTTATCTAATTAATCTATTTAAAATTACAAATTCAGCTTTCTATTTTATTTTTTCATAATTATTATAATTTTACTAAAATATATTTTTCATTTCCTTTTTTGATAATTATTATAAATTTTTGTAATTTTTTATTTTATATATATATTTAATTTTATTTCCAATATTAATTTTTTTTATAAGACATTATAGAAGTGTTATAAATTTAATAAAAAAAGAAAGTACAATTTTGTGTTTTCTGATAAATTACATTTATTACAATATAGTTCAACAGTTATATATATATATATATATATATATATATACATAAAAGTCTTTACACTTGCTACAACAACCGTGACTTTCGATTCTAATAGATATCGAATTTATTTTACCTTGACAGTGTACCTCGTGGCACTTTGCACTTTTACATAGACTAGAATAGGGGGAAAAAAATTATAAGATAGTTTGATAATAAAGTTATTATATGTCTCATATAAAATTGAATTCTAGACAGAAATTACATTCTATGACAAAAAATATATATATTTATAAATTATATATATATTAAAAATATTTTTCAATTTAAAAATTGATAATATCAATTTTTAAATTGTAAAATTTTTCTTATAAACTAATCTTTTTTCTTTAATTTTTATTTAGGTTCTATGTTACGAATTGGAGAATTAAAAAAAAGTACAAGATGTTGATAAAAAAAATATTATGTTGTGATTACGTTTAAAAACAATTTTTTAAATTTCACATAATGAGAGAATTATTTCAAACATCGAGTGATGAAACGTAGAAAAACATGGAAATGTGGTGTTTTCAACATCCATGACAGGAACAATAATTTTGGGGCATTTGGAGCCCCAAAAAAATTTTAAACACCTGTCGATGGAATCTTTGTCGAAAAGCAGTGATTCTGATAATAATTATCAGCATACCTGGCAAAAAATGACATCCGCTTCTCAACAAGGACAACCAATACAATTGACACCACTTTGGGAATATGTGGTATGTATATATTTTGTTTTTCAAAAAAAAATAATTTGTGTATCAATTTATTTCTTTTTCCAGGTGCGAACAAGAAAATTTCCATCAAACATTGATATGCAAATGACGTTTGACGAGATTTCGGAAAGATTAAATGATCCAGAATGGGAGGTTCGACAACATGCACTTCGAGTTTTAATTGATGTTTTACCAACTTTAGAAGGCGATACAGTTGATGAATGCATGAAATCTGTAATACCAGAATTAGTAAATAATTTAGGAAATTCTGCACCTGCAGTGAGAAAAGGATCTCTCGATGCTTTAAGAGTATTTCTTCTTCACAGCAGAGATAGAGACACAATGATTAAAAATGTACGTTAATTTACAATTTACAAAAAAAAAAAAAATTTATATATATTTAACAAATTTTCATTCTTTTCAGATTTTGCAAGAAGGATTAAATCGTCCAAATGCTTTAGACAATTTCCAAACAAATGTAACAATTGGCGTACTATTGAGTATTCCATTATTACTATTTCCATCGAAAGAAATTTCACGACCATCAAATGAAATTCTCAAAGAAGCAACACATTCACTTCTATCACATTTAATACAAATAACTCATCAAGAAGCGGCACTTAAATCTTTAATAAAAATTCGTGAATTCGTTGGCGTTGAAGAATTTGAATTCTATTTACAAGGGACTGATAATAAAATAAAAAATGATTTTGAAACACTTTGCGATATCTATAGAATAAAATCGAATGCAAAAGATGATATTAGAAATAATTTAATTGGTAGAAAAATTTACAGTGCACAAGATTTTAAAGGAAAATTGAATTCACTTAATAAAGAAACGTGTGAAAGTGGAAGTGATACATCGGGAATTGTTGAGGAAGATGATGAAATTTTATCGAGTACTATACCACCATCACGTGTTGTACTCGAGACGGAAATTAAATTCAATGAAGAAACAGCAATAACAATGACTATTTTAGAGGAAAAAGATCAAGATAGCGATGAATCAGACGAAAATGATTCTGAGGAGGAACACGAGGATTGCAGTTTAGAACAGGATTTTTCGATAGAGGAACTACATAAAACCCCCAGGTGAATTAAATAAATAATTTCGTAATTTTTTTATTAATTTATTTCAAAACTATATAATTAAAAAATTTCTATATTATAGAGATTATTTTATATTTTATCATAAACCTTTTTTTAGGATCCCTTTATTAATATTTTTTTTTTTTTTCTTACAGACGAGTACATTTTGGTGGCGAAGTGGTAAAATTACGCACTCCTGATAGCGATGACACAACTCTATCAGTGAAAGAAACGCCAAAAACAAGAATTCCACTTCCTATATCACCAGCAACAAAAATGCCAAAATCAAATGATGTAAAACCAAAATCATCATCACAGCCCAATAGTCCAATTCATAGACGTTTTTTGAAACCACATCGTTCACATTCAAGTAGTCCAAGAAGAGAAATTTACATACACAATGCAAATCTTAGTCCAAAAAAAGGAATACTAACGAGAACCAATAGTCCAACATTTATTTCTGATTTTATTGATTCAGGGAGAAAAATTTCTGCAAAAAAAAATCGTAGCGATTCAATTGAAATGAAAAGAAATGAAATTTATCGTCAAAATGAGGGAAAAGCATTTCACGTTTGTCCTGAGACAAATGATGAAGAAAATTTAGAAAGCAAAATTAGATTATCGCGTAGAAAAAGTGTTGATGTTTCTACAATAAAAAATGAAAATTCAATTAATGGAGAATCAAAAGAAAACATTGATTTAGATTCGAAAAATTCAAGTCCAACGAGAGAATCTCCAAATCGTAAAAGGTCTTCCAGTTTTGAAGTGTTTCCACGTCAAGAGAGAAACTATATTCTTATGGAATTATCAAGTCCGGTGAAACATAAAAAAAAGGATTCGCCACGTGACGATAATGATGATTCTCCTTTTGGTTCTGTTGTTAAACCTGATAGTGAATTTGATTTAATGAATAAAGAAGCGGATGTAAAATTGGTAACGGATGAGAAAGAACTTCCATTAGTCGAAGAGAAATTGCCCGATGAATTAAAATCAGACGAGAATAAAATAGAGGAAAATGTTGATAATTTAACAATTGGAATAGCAAGTGGTGAATCAGTTTCCAGTGAACTTAAATTAGAAAAAGTGTTACCTAAAGTGCCGGATTCGAATTTAGAAGCTAAAAGTGATTTAAAAAATAAGGAACGTAATTGGGAAGAATTAGATTTGGTTGATCAGGAAGTACTCCAGGATTTGCATAATAAGGTAATTCTTCTTTTTCTAATTTAATAACTGGAAAATAATTTAAAAAAAAAAAAACAATTTTAAGTTTTGAAAATTAAAAAAAAAAACATTCCGTTCGTGACAGAGAAAAAATAGTTCATCATTATTTCTGAAACTAATTTCCTCTTTCTTAATTTAATATTGTTCCATGAAAGTTGATTCCACGCAATGATTTGCATTGATATTAGGTAGGAATAATAAACCAATTCCACGCATAATGAATAACATTTGCATTATGACATTAGATTTGAAATTATTATAATTCAAAAAGAAATTTGACAAAGAGTTTTGGAAATGATTTCACTGATAGTAAGTTGTTGGAAAGTAGGACAATCGATTTTACGATAAAAGAAAAAAAAAAAAAAAATGTTGTTACGTTGAAGACAAGTAATTTGGAATTCAATTATTGATTTCATGAAAATGTAGCAATTAGAAGTACACGCACACATTTATATTTTCAAAATAGCATCAAGTTCGACAATTTTCTTTATTACACAAAAAAAATTGTCTATTGACCTAAAAATATATTTTTTTTAATTCTTTTAGAATTGAGATGTTGCATAATTAAAATACTCATCAGGAGAATAGTCAAATAATTCAAAATCTAGTTGAAATTTTTTGTAGAGTTTGTAAACCATATCTTTGTTTAATTGACTGAAGTAAATTTTTGACGCGTTTGTTTGTCCATTACTATGCCTCCAATGTGGTTTGATTTTTTCATCTAATTTTAATTTATAAATGGTAAATAGTTGATCATTCCAAAGTGTTTCTACCTGTGGAAAAAATTTACATGAAAAATTTATTATGATACTAAATATTTATAACTATATAATAAAAATAAAATAAAATAAAAATATAATTAAAATGAAAAGAATAAAAAATATAAATCAATGAATTAGAATTTAGAAAATTTAGTTATTTCAATTGCTTGTTTTCTATATTTAAAAAATTGAAATCATTCATATGCCCTTATGTATTAATCGAAATAATAACCTTGGCAATAAAGTCATAATTAAGTAAACATGGAGTGCAATAAAGATAATATGGCATCCAATGGTCGTCGGCATAACTGCCAAGATCAGTGTTAATCAAATAGTCGATGAACTCACGCCACGTGGGTTCAATACCTGCGGGTGCAGGTGTGTCTTTTTTTCTTATTACTTGATTCGCTTGAATTGGATGTAAATTTTTATCTACGATTTAAAAAATGTCATTTTATATTTTATATAGTTCCAAAGTCAAAATAATTCCAAGACTATAAAAATATTTTTTTGTATTATATACAAAAAAAAAAAAAATAATTTCAAAACGTCGAATTTTTTTTTTTTCAATCATACCTCGATATTTTTGTACAATTATCTTTCCATATTTTTCATAAAAATGTAATGTACCATGTTCCCTTCCAGCAACAGAATTTTCTAATTTATCTCTATAGGCACTTAATAATCTTTCAAAAGGATGTCGTACAACTAGTAATTTTGCTGTTTTTCGTAAAGCCTACATAGGATAATATTTCTTATAAATAATTGAAAATACAATTTTTTTTTCAAAAAATTATCATTGAGAAAAAAAATTAGAAAAAAAAAATCGTAGAAAATATATTTTTTACAACCTCTTCGGCTTCTGGATATTCTAATTCTGGAATTACTCTTCTTGCTATTGATGAAATTTGTTCTTTTCCATTGGAAAGTTTCTCATCGGAAACATTCATCAATAAACATAAATTATATATCCATGTTGTACTTCCTGATTTATATATTGGACAATAGGAAATATTGTGTGATCTATGAAAAATTAATTTTCCTGTATTTTTTATTATATTTTTTATTTTCCTTTGATTTTAAAATTTTTGTTACCTATCTATATAAAAAACCGTGTACTGTGGTGCTGGAGGATGTTTAAATTTAGATGGATTTTCCGCTTTTTTATAGAAACCTAAATTATATTTTTCACATGTTTTCTTCACTGTTGCAATTCGTTGATTATTGATTTCTTCCACTTGATTCTTTAATAGTGAGAAAATCAAAAACTTATTGTTAATATTTTTTTTCAACGCAAAGATTAGATAAGATTTTATCTAAAATGTAAATATTCATACTTACAATAGATTGTTGTAAATTTTTGAAATTAGAAATTTCTTCCTTTTCTTCTCTTGTAATGATTAGAAGAAATTTCAAAATTATATAAATACATCCACATATTAGAAGGAAATAAAATAATTTTGTTAGTTGTCTTTTATAAAGTCGTGACATCGGGATTTTTTTTTTTATAGTAAATTTTTTAGCTTTCTATTCTTTTTTGTACTGAAATTAAAAATGAATAGTTAATTCATTTCATTTTTTGGAGAATTTAGAAATAGTATTACAAAAAATCGTATCTAATAAAATTCGTAGGAAATAATAATAATATTTTAATAATTTATAACTTACATAAAAAAAATATTTCCGTCAGTTTGATCATCGTGTTATGATTTCAGATGAGAATTAATTGATATTATTGATTAATATATACTTTTTTTAATATTTAATTCAATTACTTATCGATATATTTAGTAAAAGTAGCGTTTGTTCAGATGGCTGAAGACAGACTGGTTTCGAATAATATTTAGGCGTCATCTCACCTTGAGAGGCCATTGATCTATCATCCTGTATTAAATGCAGGTTGACAAAGAAAATTATATTAACAATAAAAAAAAAGAATTTACCATTGCCATGATTTTTTTTTTTGGTTTTAATTTTAAAAATTTTCTGTTATGCTAATTTTTATCTTAAACAATTTCTTATAATAATTTAATTTTGACAATTTTAATATATTTAGTAATTTAATAAATTAATAATTAAAATTTTAAAAAAATTAATTTTTTAAAAAGTTTATTTGAATGCAAATGAATTAAAAAAATAATCAATAATAGGATTTATTTTTTTTTTATTAATGATTACATTTTTTTTTAACAATAATAGAGAGAAATCTTTTAGATGAGAAATGATATTTAAAAATGTTTATAATTGAGATGTTGCATAATTGAAATATTCATCAGGCGAATAGTCAAATAATTCAAAATCAAGTTGAAATTTTTTGTAGAGTTTGTAAATCATATTTTTATTTAATTGACTGTAATAAATTCTTGATGCATTTGATTGTCCATAATTGTTTCTCCAGTGTGGCTTAATTTTATTATTTAGTTTCAATTTATGAATTGTAAATAATTGATCTTGCCAAAGTGTTTCAACCTGATAAAAAAAAAAATATTTAACATTTTTAAATAATTTAATTAATATAATTTTCATTTAAAAATGAATTTAAAGAGAAATTTTTAAAATGAATTTAAAAATAGTTATACCTTGTTGATAAAGTCGTAATTAAGTAAACATGGAGTGCAATATTGATAATATGGAATCCAGTGATCGTCACTGTGATAACTGCCAAGATCAGTATTAATTAAATAGTCAATAAATTCTCGAAATGTAGGTTCAATACCTGCCGGTCCAGGTGTTTCTTTCATCCTTATTACTTGATTTTCTCGTATAGAAGGGAAATTTTTATCTTTTTGAAAATATATATATTTTTTTCGTCAAAAAGAATAATATTTTAAAATATTCTGAATATTATTATAATTTGGAATATTTTAATTATACCTCGATATTTTTGTACAATTATTGTTCCATATTCTTTTTGAAAATTTTCCCTTCCAGCTAAAGTATTTTCTAATTTATCTCTATAGGCACTTAATAATCTTTCGAATGGATGTCGTACAACCATGAGTTTTATTGTTTCTTTCATTGCCTGTAAAAAAAAAATTTCTTATAGATCGAATGATTAAAATAAAATTTTGATAATAAAATTTTATTTCACTTATTCATTCTAAAGTTATATTTAAAATTTTCAATTCTTTTTGTTATTAGATTTAACATTTTTTTTTGTGAATTTTAGAAAAAAAAACCTTTTCGGCTTCTGGATAATCTAATCTTGGAATTACTCTTCTTGCTATTGTAGACATTAATTCTTTTCCACTGAGAAGCTCATCTTCCGAAATACCCATTAAGGAACATAAATTATGTATCCATGTTGTGCTTCCTGATTTGTATATTGGACAGAGGGAAATATTATGTGATCTGTGTGGTTATAAAAAATTATTTTTTAAAAATATTTAATTTATTTTGGCTTTATATTAAGTTTTTTTTTCGAAAGTTAGACCTACCTTTCTATGTAAAAAACCTTATACTGAATACTTGATGGATGTTTAGATATGTTTTTTCTTTTGTCATAAAAATCTAAATTATATTTTTCGCAAATTTTTTTCACAAGTGTAATTCGTTGAACGTTAGTTTCTTCAATTTGATTCTTTGAAAAAATAGTTTTTTTTAAAAAATTAATTCAGCCACACATAAAAAATATTATTCATACTTACAATGAATTGTTGTAAATTTTTTAAATCAGAAATTACTAAATTTTCTTGTTTTCTACTGAGTAGAAGAAATTTTAAAATTATGTAAATTCCTCCACATATTAGAAGAAAATAAAAAATTCGTACTAATTGTGATGTAAAAAATCGTGACATTTTTTTTTTTTTTAAATAGATAATTAATAAATCTATTCTTTGTATACTGAAATCAAAAAAATTAATTATTCTTTTTTTTTATATTTACATTGTTATTCTTTGCCAAAAAATATTTTATGCAAGATATTTTTTATCTGCACAGCAATTTTTTCTATAAAAAGATTTATTCTTGACACATCAACGAGAAATTTATTATTCAGTAAGGTCTAAAGAAATCATATGGTGAACCTAGTTTTATTCACATTTCAAGATCGTCAATTACTATATAGATAGCCTTATTTGTCAACCTTGCAATGTCATATCTGAACTATTGTATATACAATATATGCAAAAGAAAAGACATTTTTTTTTTTTAATCAATATATTATTTATTTTACAATAATGTAGAAGAAAAATATATATTTTCTTATTCGAATCAATTTTGCGTTTTTATATATTGATTTTTTTTCCGAATTTAAAGTGTTCTTGGCCTGGTATTTTTTTATCCTTCTTATATTTAAATTTGCTATTGACCCTTATTATCGATTTTTATTCATTCACTCAAGGTTACTTATAGCTTATAATAAAATTCTTCACTGATAATAATTATTTCATTGTACATAAATTATTTGTGTGAATTTAAATAAATTTCATCTTTGATTAATTTTTTTACTGATTTTTTTTCAATTATTTCATTGTACATTAATTTTTTTTGGGGTTTTTAAATAAATTTCATTTTTTTTTACTAATAATAATTATTTCACTGTACATAAATTATTTGTGTAAATTAAAATAAAAATGTTTGATTAATTGCACAAAAAAATGAACTTACCATTGATGAGGGAAGAGATATTAAAATAGAATAGAAAAAATTTTTCCTCTTTTGAAAAAATAATTTAACAAATTGAACGCATAACAGAAATAAACTATTTCTTCGACGAAAACTTTAAAACTAGTTAACAATTCAGATAAGAAAATTTACTTCTACATAAGAATTATGCGTCGCATAGTAGAAGAAATTTTTTTTTTCCTAAAAAATAATATTCAATTTTGCTTATTTGGCGCAAGTTTATTTCAAAAAAAAGAAAAAAAAAAATTCATGAAAATATTTTTCAGATTATTTAAAAAAAAAATATTTATGCAGTTTTGGTATTTTAAATGAAACTCGGAACTTGAATATATATAGATATAGAAGAAAATAATCATGAAGAGCTTATTGCGTGAGACAAAGTAGAATATATTTATACTATACTGGTTCATATGAATAGTACACACGGTAGATACTAAATACTTGAATGTAAATCTACTGCAAGGAGTTAAGGACATTATCCACAATTTACCTGTCGGACACCTTTGCCACTCGATCTCTCTTGTGTTATATATTTCCTTGTAATATTCTCCTCATTCGTGAATAATTCTTTTCTTCTTAAGAAATTCGATTATAATTTTAAATTTAAATTCTCTTTATTTTACTATTTCATTTATAAAAAGTAATACACCTCTCGCCATCTGGCTATTGATTGCGGTATCTTTATTCCATTTCTACCGGTAATAAAAATTCTTTATTATTATAAATATTGAATTTGAATATTTAAATTAAAAAATTAAAAGAGCCATTTTTTTGTGAAAAATCATGAAAGAGGTTTTTTTTTTATTATTATTTTCATAAATTCAATCATAAAATATTATTATCAACAATAAACTTAAAATTAAAATTATTATTAATATTATAATTAATTTGTATAATTAATATTATAATTATTTTTTTTTAGGATGATTGGCGAGCTAGAGTTCGGGCATTGGAGCGAATTGCATCAATTTTAAGAAGATCATCTGCGTTGGTTGCTATTGAACCAAGATTAGGATCACTTTTGCATGCTGTTCTTGGAGGAGAAAGAAGTTGCAGAGTTGCTGCAGCTGGTCTTGATGTTGCACGGGTATTATTATTATTATATTATTATAGAATACATATTTTTATAACTAAAAATTAAATTAATAGTAAAAAAAAATTTTTTTTTTTGTAATAAATTAAAAAAAATTGCATTTTGCAAAAAGAATTAATTCTCTAATTTAGAATTAATTAAATTGAAAATAATTCTAGATTTTTTTTTTAATTTTCAGGTCGTACTAACTGGAGTTTCTGAGGATGCTCTCAAACGAAGACTGTCATTAATTGCTTGGGGTTTGGCACGACAAGGTGGCCCCAATGCTGCTCAACTTGCAAGAATTGCAATGCTCAGACTGAGACCTGCACTTTTTTTAGAACAATTAATGCAACCACAATGTATAGGTGCTAGAAATGCAAAGGTTTGTTTATCATTTTTAATAATATTTAATAATTTTCTTTTTTTTTTTGGTTTTTAATAATAAAAATTAAAATTATAATATAATGTTCGTTATTTTTCAGACGAGAGAAAATACACTGCAATTGTTAATTTTTTCTTTAGTAACATTTCCAAGTACTGAATTTAATGTGAAAACACTTACAAATAAAGTTGTAAATATGGTTGGTGATCGACGACGAAGAGTTCGACAAGCTGCTTTAGATACGTTGGCAGTTTTGGCACAAATTTACGAAACAGAAGTAAAATTGCATTTAAAATTATATAATTTTATGGAAAATCAGTTACTGAAAAAAAATGTGATATTCTGTTATTTTTTTTTAGGATATATTACAAGTTGCAAAAGAAGTAGTTAAAGATCGACATGATCGATTGGCAATAATTGCAGCAATAAGAGCTCGTCTTGCTAGAAAATCATTACCCATGGTTTCAGCTGATGGACTTGTTGTTTATGGATTGCAAATTTCACCAACTGCCCAAATAACAACTGGTATGTTTTAAACAAAATTTGATCAAAAAATATTCCATTCGTTCTTAATTAATTAATTAATTACTTAATTAATTACTTTCAGGTGCTGACGTAGATTGGATTGTAGCAGGAAGTGGATCTGTTTCACCAGGTACAGGTCGAACAAGGGGACAAATAATTGCCACCTCAAAAGTAGAAAACGAACGAATTAGAAGGTATAATGTGACCACATAAAAAAAGTATCGATTCTAATATTTGCAGTCTAAATCTTTTTTTTATTACAGATTAATTTTCTATTGAATAAAACAATAATAATTCTTACACAAACAACATTTTTTCCATTATAAATTTATTATTATTATTATTTTACATTTTTATTTTTATTCTAGAAATGAAGAAGCAAAAAACAGTGAAAATCGTTGGGCAGAATCCGCAAACGTACAAGCAGTAGTTAGTCAAAATGAACAACTTCCAGGATACAGGCATAAGGTAAAATATTTTTTTTTTGTTAACAAACATTTTATTTAAAATTTTAATAAATTATTAACGTTATTTTTAACTTTACAAAAATGTTTTTTTTTGAGAAAATAATTTAAGAAAAAAGTTTATTGAATTTTTTTTTTATTTTTTTATTTCTATTTTTTTTCTCTGTAAATAATAAAATACTTTCTTTGTCAGACAAAGACAAAGAATAATAAATAAATACCTAACATTTTCATGTCGTAACGTAAAATATATGAAAACGACAAATTATTTACGTAACATACTGATTATTCATAAGAAAAAGTTTATTAATGTCCCATATGAGATCTCTTTTTACTTTTTGTTGTACGGTGCCGGTAAATAAAATTTTGTCATATATTTAAAAATAAATTTCTTTTACACATAGGTTATAACAAATTTTGTTTTTGTTTTTTATTTTTGTAAAGGTTAGAATTTGCTGTTTCGTATAAAGTTGATTACTTCTAATATTTCTGTTTCTATTTTTTTTTTTTTTTAGAGTGGCAGTAGATTTCAGAAAAGGATTCGACATAAGGAACACAATAATATTGGAGAAACGCTTTTCAGCGAAAGTGGTAATTTAAAATTTATTATCAAACGAATTCAAAAAAAAAAAAAAAATATAGAATATTTTTTATAAAATGAAATCATATAATATTTTTATTGTTTTATAAATTTCAATTTTAATATTTAATATAAATTTTTTATAAATTTTGTACATTTATCGTTACTTAAAACTTAATAATGACATTTAATTTGTTTTTCAGTTATAAATTTTGAAACTGATGAAAGGTTAGAAGGTAAATGTCGTGAATTGTGTTCAGCACCAGGTAAAATTAACGAAACTTTGATTGACGAATCTGTGAATAGTGAAAAACAAGATAATCTAAATTCCTATAGAATTGAATCGAAATCTAATAATTATACACCTGAAATTGATGATGCATCTGAAGAAAAGGTAATTTAGAAAAATTATATTTTATTATTCTCATCTTTTCATAAATGTATTTGATTTTTTTTTTCAGTTTCGTATGAGCAGTGCACCTCCACAAGAGAAAATTAATTTAAAATTAGAATCTAAAATACCGATTTTAAATTCCCGAGGCAACGATATGAAGGATTCTTTTAACATACAGAGAAGAAAAAGTGGAAATCAAATTCACGAGAAATCGAGTATAATGAATGAAAAAAATTCGAATAATCAATTTGAACGAAATTCTAATAAACTAATCGAACATAATGAAAGAAAAAGGTATTACATTAAATGATTTTATAATTATTATTCGACTTAATAAAAAAAAAAAAAAAAAAAATGTTCTCATCATTTCAGATCTGGAAATCTATACAAAAAACGAAAAAATTTATTAGCGTCAAGTACAATTCAATCACAAGTTCAACCCTTGGCAAGTTATACCGTAAATTATTCTTTCGATTCAAATTATACTAATTATTTATTGCCATCGCAAGTTATTCCAACTCCAATTAAGGTAATTATTTAAATTCTTTTACTTTTTTTTTTTTTATGAAACTAAAAATATTCTTTTTTTAATTCAGTCTATAAATAACGAAAGTAAACATAAATATTTAATGGAAAAGAACAAAACTACAAATGATTTTCATACAAATTCGGAAAAAACAACATTAAAGACTCCGGAAAACTTAAAGTACTCAAAAAATGATTTGAAACTGACTTCGTTTCGACCACAAACTTATGAAGATACGTAAGTTTTTTTTTTAAATAATTCAAATATTTTACAATATATAAAAAATGCGATGTTTTTTTTTTTGTAAAATTTTTAAAATAATTTGTTTTTATAGATATTCTGCTATTTATCAAAGACAACTACGATATATGGAAGAAAGTTCAGTTCGAAAATTACAAAACAGATCTGGCACATTTCGAAAAAGTAATTTCGAATCTTTGGGCAAAAATAACATTTTACGAAACGATAATCTACAGGTGAGAAATAATTTAAAGTAATTCCATTAAAAGAAAATTTCAAATGTATTTTTTTTCTAATTTTCTTTTTATGATTTTGCAAATCAAAATTTTTTTTTATAGCCAAAATCAGGTCAAGAATTAAAAGCAAGTTCCTCTCAAAAAAATACTACTGAACAAGCGTCAAGATTATTACAAAATGTCAATAAATCATTGGATGATGATAAAATTTTTCCCCCAGTTACATTCGGGCCAAATTTTAATTCAATGTATAGTTCTTCTTATAACAGGTATGTTTATTATGTATTATAACATTTTTTTTTATATTAGTCTAGAATTAAGGGGAAACAATTTTTAAGGAATAAATTTTTATTTGTAAAGATTATGTCACAGATATATTCTATAGAAAAATGAGGACAAACAATCTTTGTAATTTTAAAATTCGGTCAAATGGTCATTAGATTTTTTTAAAAGAATTTGAGGTTTATCAGACCATGAAATTTATTAATCTTTAGAAAATGTATTTGACTTTTCAAAATATATTACACGTGAATAGTGTAATAGATTAATATTACATTAGTTTTTCTCCCCTAAAAAAGGGTAATTGTATATCTATTTCCAAAAATAGGTCAATGGAATAGTTTCCTTTTTTTTTTGAAGGGTGATGTTAGTAGTTCAAGGTCACATTTAGAATTAAACTTATTTCAAAAAGGGTTTATATATATAAAATGAAAAACAAGAACGTGTCAATACGATCATTTTTTGATTTCGATAAATTTTGTGTTTGAATTTTTATTTGATTTAGAAAAAGAAAGAATTTAAATTATAAAACATTTTTAAATTAAACAATTATTCTCTCGGTTTATAATAATTTTGCGCTATTTTTGTCTTATTGTAGTTTATATAAATATAAATTAAATCGTAAAATTGTTTTACGCACGATCAAGTGGCTAGGGGAGATAGGATCTAATTGCGAATGTAAATTAGGATTTGTGCGTCGTCCATTATTCTCGCACACATTTTTTTTTTAATGCAAATGCCTTGAAAATATTCTAGACGCAATGAATAAGGGGATTTTTTTTTTTTTTTTTTTTTTTTTTAAATTTAGACATTAAGTGAAGTAATATTGATCCTCTGAGAATTTGTGAATCTTAAAAATTTATGTTAAGAGATTTAGAAGAGGTGACATTTTTAAAAGCTTAAATCGCTAGAAATATTTATTTTCAAAATATTGAGGAAAATATATTCGTAGAACGAAATTTGTCACTGACAAATATTAGAAAGAAAACGTGAGAAATTTGAACTCGTAAAATTTCTTTGTCAGAATTTTTACGTTTGCGAACCAATTTTACCAACAAATAACAAATATTGCGCCACACTGAATTTTATTATTTATTTTTTTTTTTGTTGAAATTATACACTGTTCTAGAAAATAAAAATTTTCTTTTTGTACAAATAGAACGAAAATTGAATATAATCTTCGCTTTAAATATTTATATAAAAATTTATTTCGAATTTAAAATGAAAAGCAAAAAAAAATACAATATTTTGTCAGTTATTAAAAAATATAATTATTTAAAAAGTAATTTATGTAAAATTAATCCATTATTATAAATTCGTTGTTATCGGAGTTGATGAAGCATTTTTTTTCGCGTTGAAAAATAATTAAACCTTTGAGTAATGTTTTTAATTATTTATAGAGTATGAAACCAATAAAAAATAGTCATTTTTATCATATTACCTAGTAGCAGTGACAGTTTTTGGATAAGAACTCCTCATGAACCCGCAGTTATGCTAAAATTGACTTTATCTAAAATCAAGTATACATTTTGATAGTTGAATATAATTTTTGCTATAATAGAATTTATTTACCGTTTATTCTTGAACGAAACATAATTTTTCAAAATAAATACAAATTTCAAAAATTTAAAAAAAAAAAAAAAATTAATTTTTATAATGCTATAATAATTTTCAATTATATAGTGTCAAAAAAAAATTTTAATTACAAACATTCAATCTAATAAATAGTTTTTTATTATTATAGGAGTGTGTTAAAATAATTATTTTAAAACCCGCATAAAATGAATGGCACGCACAATAGAAGCTAATCCATAAAGTAAAATAGCGATAGCGTGACTTGCATGAAAATTTAACTGTTTTCTTCAGAATGTCAAAAAGAATAATAAATAATTAATCGTTAATAGGGTTTTTTTTTAAAGAAAGAAAATCGGTTATATTATTTTTATTATATTGAAAAAAATTGCATATTTTTTTTTTTTTTTGTTGCCTATTTTTCAAAGAACTGATGCTTAATATAAGAAAATAAAAATTGTTATTTAGTGTTCAAATTGATAAATAATTATTATAGATTTGCATTTCTACAAATGTATGATTGATGTATTTCCTAGGAAAATTGTATATATATATATATATATTTGTAAATTGAACGAAACATGAATATATTTTATGGAAATGGAAGGGATGGTAGCGGTCAGCGTCGCGACGCCCGTCGTTTCATGAGGGCAGTCTTGCGTGCGATTGCCTCGTGAGTGTTTCGGTTGAGTTTCCTCAAAATCAAGTAATACACCGGCAACATGCGCGTTAAATGATAAAACACCTGCGATTTACATTTAATTAATAAAATTAATTCGAAAACAATCGAATAGTAACAATAATAAATTCAATATTTTTTAAACTATTATTTTTATTATTATTTTAATTATATTCTATTATTACATTTTTATATAGACAATCAAACAAAAGTAATTTAAAAAAAAAATTAACTTCTTGATTACGTTTTGTTTTAAATTCATGAAAAAAAAAATTATTAGCAAATTTTTTTTTTTATAATTTTCCACCTACGTTGTATAATAATTTCTTACTATTTGATATATCAATAAATTAGGATCGTTTATAAGTGAACGAAAATTTAGTAAAAAGTATAGTCTCGAGTCAACACAAAAATTAGGTCAATTTCTTTTTAATAATGTAACGATAATTATTAACTGAATATATATATATATCGAATCGTACATGATATATTATTCATTTAATTTTGTGTTCAATAATGGTATTCGGTAATTATTGCTATTTGTAAAACTAATTTGTTTTGTTTTTTATTATATTCAAATACAAGAAACGTGAACTAAAAATAATTGTTTATTGATGCCATTAATTTAAAATTCGTATACTTATAAAGTGCTCTTGAAAACTCTTTTCATACTTTTTAAAAAGTTTTTTTTTTTTTTTTTTTTTTTTTGTATAAAAGAACCTTCAATTTATTACAATTTTCTTTTCCTATTTTACATATAATAAACATTAATTTCTTAATAGTTTTCCAAAAGGTACATGAATAATAATAAAAATAATAATAATAATTTTTAAAAATAAAATAAATACAAAAAAAAATTTTTAATTGTGCGTATTATGTTAAAAACAGTATTTCGAAAATTATAAATAATAAAGACTAATAAACCATAAAATAAATAATTATGGACCTATAAAAAAAAGAGAAAAATGTTTCTAAATACGGTTGAATGTTTTGTTTCTAAAAAAATCAAAGAAATGCGAAAAATGAGAAATTTTCTCTCATTAAAAAATTGTAAAATGTTTACTCGTAAATACGAGTCAATGACGTGAAAATGAAGTCCGATGATCAATTTAACAGCGAATAAAAAAATAAAAGAAAATGATTTTTAAATATTGCTCATGGCCATCTGATAAAGAGGATAGTAAAATTATAACAAATGAAAATAAAAATCGAATAAACGATAGTGGGGGAAAATTTACTGAAAGTATATTACGTTGTTGTCCATGTATTTTTCGATGTCGACGAGCAATTGGAATTGGCAATGATAATGCACAAAAAATTTCTACCGAATTATCAAATCAATTGGAAACTGTTACACCAATTATTGCATTGGGTTTAAATAGAAATTCAGAAACAATGTATGTTCTCCAGTTATTGTTTCTTTTTTTTATTTTCCATATGCTATTAAATTTTTTCACAATCTCTAAAAAAAAAAAAAAAAAATTACATTTCTTCCGAATTTTTTGTCTCTTACAAAAATTTTTCATTAATAAAAGACTTAAAAGTTAATAATTTTTTTTTGTTTCAGTGAAAAGACTGGGGCAAATGAAGAAAGTTTCATTGAAAGAAATAGGAGAAAATTGTCAACTCCAAGTATCAATTATGTTGAACATAATCAAGAAGAAAAGACTCAAAATCAAGGTAAACTTTTTTTTTAAGCAACTGAAATGGAAATTTTTTTTGTTTTGTGGATAAATTTTCCTATTAAAGACGACAACTAGGGTCACATGTGTTGGTATTTAATAGAAATTACACAGATTGAAAAGAGAAGGAAGTAGGACGTGAGGTTCTTAACCTCCAGTGTTAGAATACATTTTGCACATAGAGATAGAGGGAGAGACACGATCAAAGTTGAGCTTACGTGCATAAAATAATCAATATTTAAAACTGGTCAAGTATAGTGTACACATTTTCACAGAAAGCTTTCGATTTATCATTAGTTTTGTCACAAGTTATGAGCGGGAGGGAAAGTGTTATCCAACCGATGTCCATTCAGGTGGTTGTTAAATGTATAAAAAAAAAAGAATCGAGTTGCAAAATAGGAAAGAAAAAATAAATTCCTTTACGGAACTATAATATCGATCAGTTTGAACTAGAAGAGTATTATTTTTGTCGCAGCTTACTTTACATATTTTGCTTATATTTTCAATTTTAAATACTAATATATAAATTAAAATGTTTTTGAAATTTTCTAAATTTAATTTTTTTTTTTTGTACAAACGAATTTTTTGAAAATACATTTTTTATTTATTGACTTCTATTTTTTTTTCAAGTGCCAAGCATATCACGAGCAGCTAGCGCGACTAGTTCAATATCAAATGTGTCAATTGATAACAATCAGAAAATTAATATTGAAAACAATCTTCATGATGAGAATGAGACAAGTGTCATCAACAAAAATAGTCGATCGCCTTCATTAAAAATTTTAGACGATAAAGCTTTTGATATTATTTCCGAGAAACTAAATCCAAGTAGAAGAAATTCATTTGAATCGTTTATTGTAAGTAGAGAGTCAATTTGAGAATGAAAATAAAATTTATTAAATTAAATAAACATTTTTTAAACGACTTTTTAGATTTCGGATAAAAAATCTCCATTGCCATTAAAAGATGAAAATGTTGACAAAATTTTAAGTTCCGAAGACGAAGAAGAAGACGATGAAAAAGAAGACGATAATGAATCTACTGTAAAAAGAACGGAAAATTTTAATGAAAGTGAAAATACATCAGAAGATGATAATTTAATGAGAAATATGGTTCGCACAAAGTCAGCTTCTTCTATTTTATCAATGAAAAATACATTAACTGAACGAACATCAGTAATGACAAATTATGCTCTTCTTTCCAGTCAATCATTACGTGAATTAAATGAAGTAACACCATTAAATAAAACCTTCAGTTCAAATAAATCGAATCCAAATTTTTCAAATCGTTCTTTAATAAAAAGAAATTCAGCATCGTCTTTGGAACGTATTCGTAGTCCACAAAAAAAGGTTTTGATTTTATTTTCATCTTATTAAGATAAATAACATTTTTTTTTCGAATATTTGTTAAAATAATTTTCAATATTTTTTCATTGTATTTGTTATAAGTTCACATTTTTAGATTTTATTTATTTTTCAGTGGGGTTCAAATACAATTGACGAAACTGATGGAACTGTAAATGCTTCCTATTCTCTGAAAAACAGTTCCTTTGAGACACTTGATTTTCGAAATTCCCATATCGATGGTACAAATTCAAATGCAATTATTGCAATGTCTCGATCTCAAACTCCAGAAATTTTTGAAAATTCAACGAGAATTGTTGACTCGAGCAGTTCAGAAAATACACAATCGGTATTTAAAAAAAATTTGTTTTGTAAAAAATATTCTTTTTGTTAAAAAATAATAATAATAATAATAATAATAATTTTTTAATATTACAATTTTCAGTCTCAAAAATCTCCGCAACGTTTTATATCTGATGCAATGTCTATTAAAGAAGATACTTCATCGACTCAATCAACAGGTTCAGAAGAACCCACTGAAAGCACAAGAAATGAAAATAATGCAAATCTTCACATTGAAGTGAGTGTATTATTTATACCTAATTTTTTCTTTTTTAAATGAAAAAATAATAATAATTTTTTTATAGACCACACCTTCTGGTTATCAATTGGCATCTCGAAAGCAATCAACAAAACTAAGCATGAAATCGCGGGGAAATGTATTAAGAGGATCTCGAAATTCTGATAAGGATAAAGCTAAAATACACATGCAACAATGTTTCTCTCAACTTGAAAGCAAAGACTGGTAACGATTAAAATAGTGATAAAATATAAATAAAAGAGAAAAATTTATTCATATAAAAATTTTATTATATATTTTATTTATTCAAATATTTAATTTAAATATTTATTTAATATTAAAAATATGATTGATTTAATATTAATAATATTTTTTTCGAATACAAATTTTAGTTTTTATTTTATATTTTTTTTTCATGATTTATTTATTAAAGGCAAATTAGAATTTTTTCTTCTTTTTATTTTAGGGAAATTACAATGAAAGGACTTCATACTTTATCGCAAATTGCAAAACAAACGCCGGAACAATTAGATTCTTACACTCCTGGAATGATTGTTCGATTATTAGGAAAACATGTACGAAATTTGAGATCACAAGTCTCGAGAGCCGCATGCTTGGCAGCTGGTGATATTTTTTCCTTACACATACGAGGAATTGATCAAGTAATAAAGAATTATTTTCTCTTTTTTGAATTTCTATTTTTAACTAAAATTTATATTTTGAATTTCTTTTTTTTTGAGGATTTGGATGTACTAGCTGGACCATTACTTAATCGAACTGCAGATACAAATAAATTTCTTCGTGCCGACAGTAATGCTGCATTGGATCGTATGGTGGAACATCTTCCTCCTAATCGAACAATTGGAATTATTGTAAATCATGGTGCTACGTGAGTAATTTTATATGTAACTTTTTTTTTTTTGTTCTTTCTTCTAAAAAAATTGAATCTCTTTTATATTTTTCGTCGTTCTATCGCATTAAATTATTTGTCACTCTTACTATTGATTTTTATTAATCCAATAGATATTTATAGCATACATAATAATGATCTTTATTGACAATATCGTTGCGTGTTAGTTATTAATCAACAAAAAAGACGTGCGTGTTTTTGTTTCTAAAATTTCTTTCTATTTTGACACTAAAAGATTTGAAATAATAATCTAAAATTGTAATTTTTAATTATGATTTTAAGGCATCAAAATGCAATTATTCGTGCTGCGACAGCAAGACTTTTATGTGCAATCGTTGATCGTATTGGTCCAGATTATATAATGTTTCTACCTCGAGATGTACGAGACAAATTACTCAGCGCTGGAGCTAAACTTCTCATTGATGGAAATTTAAATGCTAGGCGAGGATTACATTTAATCAAATAAATTAAAATATAATATATACCACAATAATAATATTTATTATATTCCATAGGAATCACGCTAAAGAAATTTTCCGACGACTCATTCGCTGTGAGGGATTTAAAAAAGCACTTTCCGAAGCTGTGCAAGAATCGACATTACGACATATTGAAAAAACTCTTAGATCTCTTTAACAAAGATGATCGTGGGACGTTTTTTTTTTTTTAATTCAGTTGTTATCGCGATATATAGTGTGATTTTAACAGAAATAGAGATTTTTTTTATCACACTTGGTAAATAAATTGCACATTCGTTTGTAATCTTCCACTTTTACTTGCGAACGCAATTTTGTAAGTAAGTTAATAACCATTTTTTTTTGGCAGTATGATTCAGTAAATAGAAAATCGCATGAATGAAAATAGAAATTGAATTTCATCCAGAATGACAAAAATTTTCGTTTTTCATGATAAATATAATTTTATTTAAAGAAAATTTAGTTCTACAAAATATAAATGACTATAATTGATAAATTGACACACGCAAAACAATTGCGTAAAAATTATATAACAAATTATTTCTTTAAACAAAGACTGTTTTAATAACATAAGAATTTTATCTCTATAAAATAATGCTCTTTTGCAATTTTAAGCATTATCCGAGTGCCTTTTTAAATAATGAAATTTAATTCTCAACTGTACGTATTATTTAAAAAAAAAAAATTAACTCTTTGGAAAAAATTTAATAGAGAATATCAAGTTATTATTAACTTGAATAATTACCATTAATTTTTCGCAAAGAGAAAAAATTTTTCAGGGTATGTGATACATTATAAAACATGCATTTATTAATTTTTGAATAGTTTTTGTGCAATTTTTATTTTTGGAGCATAAATATTAACTAATAATAGAATTTTGTTTATTTTTTTTTTTTTAATAGACAAATTACGTTGTCATGGATAAATGATTTCATAATGTCTTACATTCCCTTGAGAAAAATATAATACAAAAGTCTGAAATGCAACAGAAATATTGACTGACATTCAGATGTAATTAAAAAAAATCACTATAGAATGAACAATAATTTTCATGCATTTGCACAGAAAGGTAAATTTCAGTTTTTAATATTTTAAATTAAATAATTCAAAATCAAATTAATTCAAATTTGAAAAATTTGTTATTTGTTAATTTTATAAATTAAAAAAATTTGTTTAAAATACATATATATTTTTTAAATTAATTTTTTTCTAAATTGCACTAAAGTTAGAAAGTAAAAATCATTTTAAAAATTTTATTTCCTAAGCTCGATAAAGTCCTCCAAAACTTGTATATAATGAAAACTAAAAATAGTTCACATTTTCTTAAAAAAAAGAGTGTTTTATTAAAATCAGTAATAATCAAATTAACGATTAATATAAATTATTAATCTCAATATTAATTAAATAAATAATACGTATTATTTAATAATAATATACAATTGTTTGTCAAAGGGTTAATATAATATTATTAATTTATTACGATTAACATCGAATCGAATTGCTTTTTACGCACATTTTCATATAATTTACTTTCATAAATTTAAATATTAGGTACTTATATATTAATTTATTAGTTTTTAATTTATATTTTAAAAATAGTTTATTTTGAAAAATTCTCATATTTAACAAAATAATTTTATGGTGCTTAAATTTCGATGAAAATTTATATTTTTAATTAAGAAAAATTTCAGAATTTTTTTTTTTTAATTATAATTATATAAAATTTTTTAATCAAAACTTTCAATTTGTTAATTTATTGTAAGTTACTATTAATTATTTATTATTTATTAGAAGCTTCTATTTATTGGGACATAATTGTGATGTAGATTTAAAAAAAAGGTATATATATGTTTCTACGGCAGAGTTAATTTAAAAAATTATTTTACATTTTAAATTTCAAAATAGTCTATGAGCTCAAAAATTTCTTGAAAAATAAATGTAATATTGTTGATAAAAAGAAAATTATATTTCTTTGATAACACTTCGAAATTTTATACATGGAGATTCTCCCATTAAGTGCTTCATCGACTCTATAAAATGAGTCGTAAGAAGTGAAAAAAAAATATTCTGAAATAGTGCCTACAATTTTACACAAATTAAAAAAAAAAAAAGGATTGCATTGCTTTTGGCAATGGGTTTTATTCCTGAAATTAGAAAATCATTCAGATTCTTTTCAGACAATCAAAAATAATTTTTTTTTTTATTATTATATGAAACCAAGTTTATATAAAAATAAATTTAAAAAATTAAATTTGTAAATATTAAATCTAAATAATATTAAAATATTTTTTTTAAAGAATTTAAAAGAAAATTAAAGACATTCGAGATTTTGATTTTTTTAATTTAGTTTAAAGATTAAAAAAAATTTTTTTTATTAAAAAATGAATAAAATCTGTCAATGAAAAAATTAAATATTCTTCCTGATAAACTATAAATTACTGTTATATATTAATTTCCATATATTTAAAGGGCTAAATATTGAAATTAAAAAAAATGGTAAAGTCTCCTTTAATTAAAATGATAAAATAATGTTTATTACTATTTTTAAATTATACGACTTCGTTATTATGTGCTGAGATTTATTATTATTGTCGTTATATTGATAAAATTAATTCAAAATTTTATATCAATATTGTTTCAATTATTAAGAGAAACAATTATCTTAAAACTTTAAATGAACCTTGATGTCAAGATTATGAATGAAAAATATTTGAGAAGATTATATTTATATTTGTTATAGGCATTCTCTACGTTTATGAAATATATATATATAGGTATATATATAATGTATATTATATAAGATTGATAAAATATTGTCAATGTTTTACATATGTGGTTTTTTTTTTATTTTATTTACTTTCAAAATCTGAATTGACTAATAATATTTTTAGTAAAAAATATTGTGATTAATTCAAGAAATTCAGATTTAAAAAGTAAAAAGAATCTTCCTATTCCATTCCCAAAACATTGTGGATTAAATTTGCTTTTTTTAATAAAATAATTAAACAATTGAAAGTAATAGGTTTGCACTTGTCATAAAAAATTGGATTTGACGCAAGTAAACATATTTTCCTTTATTTAACGATACGTTTTATTATTAATTTAATCATTAATATTATTTCAGAAAAAAATACTGTTAAAAAAAATATGGAAAATGAAAGTGAAACTCATATCCCCATTGATACAGAAATTGAATTAGTTATTAATAGTATTGAAAATTTTGTAAGTTTAAAATTATATTCATAATTAATTTTTTTGAAACAAAAAATAAATTTCTTTAATTTTATTATTTGCAAACCATATTAGGAACAAAAATCATCGTTTATAAAAATAATAGTTGAACATAATTCTGCCATCTTGGGAATCAGTCCTTCCATATTAATAAATAGTGATGAAAATAAAAAAGAGTTTGAAATTAATTTTACTGTTAAATTACCAGTATCGTTAGAAAATTATCAAAATATTTATGATCTTGTTTCAACTCCAATTCTAAGTAATTCATAATTTAAAATTTTAATTTAGTTTTAGTAATAGTAAATAAATTATAAATAATTTAATTTACAGTCAAAGTAATTGAAAGTTCATCCAATGATATAAATTCCCATCGAGATGATTTATTATCAGAAAATAAAGAAAAGGAAAAAAAGTCCAGTTTTATAAAATTCAACTCTACTATTGGAATGTGCAATCTTGATGTGCAACCTATATTTTTAGGTAAAATTCAAATTTTTTCTTATCTGTAAATTTATAATTATAATTATTTTTTTTTTTTTTTTAGGAGAAAGAACTATTAGAGAAAAATTAATAATTGAAGCACCTGTTTTATTATTGAATAGTTCTATGATATCATGGCGAAATCTTCCATTATTATCGGTTACTGTCACTCAATTAGGTCCCGATTTATTTCCAACAGAAATGGAAATTAATTATTTAAATATAACTATAGAGAGTATCTATAAACTTCCATCGTCATTTACTGATTCTTTAGAATATAAATGTGGCACTATTATTTATATCGATACTGAGGTATATATGTGGAATTTTTTTTTCTTTTAATAATTTATTTCTATTGGTAATTTTTCAAGAGATGTTTTTTTTCAAATTGATAATGTAAATTATTTACGAACAGGTCACCGAGAGGATAATATTTGAAAGTGGAAAGTGGAAAAAATTTCACGACATTGAAAACAAAAAACAGTGGAAAACATTGAATAATTTGAAAAGTAGAGCAAAATTTTCAAAATATGAAATTAGTTTAGATTATGAAAATGTAAAGAATTGTAAAAACGAAATAGACTTACAGGTATTAAAAAAATATTCTTATTAAAATTACCTTATTATTACATATAAATTATTAATATTAAATTTATTTATATTAAAACTTTTTTTTTTTGAAAATTTAGAAAATTGTGAATTTAGATATTCCCAGAGTGGAATGGAATTACGTTAATCGTAATTTAATAAGACGTTCAGGTGTTGAAATTATGCAACAATTTATTGAAAAGTAAATATTTTTTTTAATATTAATATTAGAAAAAAATGTTTCGAAAATAAAAAACAAAACTTCACATTTTAAAGATACAAATATTGGCCCTTTCAAATAATTGTATGTGATAAAAATTTTGAAACTGGAAAGACTAAGGATATGAAGAAACAAATTTATCAGTGTTACGTTGATTTAACAGAACTTCTTTATCCTGGAAGTAAGTTTTTTTTAAAAATTTTTTAATTATTTTCTTTTTTAATTATCTGAAAATTTTAGAAACACGAGTTCGAGTAGCTGCTCAATTATTTACGTACAATATTTCGGAGATGATACAAAAAACTGGTCAAAATGGAGATATTTTTTCAATGAATTTACAAGAATCGTTCGATAAGGTAAAATCTACTCTAAAATAGAAAATATTTGATATGTTCCTCTTAATTAAATAAAATTAATTCTATAAATTTTTAGTCACCAAATAGTGATCAAAATCCAAGTATCCCATTGACAAACGATAATGGTGAACCAACGATTATTTTAATTGAATTTGAATTGAATCAACCATTAAAAAAATCATGTTCTAACCAAGAATATTCAGAAGAGTAAAATTTATATTATTTTACAAAAAATTATTTTAAAAAAATATTAATAATAATTTTTTTTTTTTAAATACAGGATTGCGAAATTAATTGGGAAACGAAAACCTCATCGACCCTATATTTTAACGAGTCATTTAGCGGAGGAGCAATTTTCCGATTGTATTAAAAAACTCGTAGAAATAATAACTGAAAGATATCAGGTAAATAAAATTATAAGAGAAATAATTGAAATTATTTTAAAAAATTTATAATTATTAAAATAGTTAATAAAATAAAAGTTTGATTTTTATAGAATTTTATTGATAAAAATAAAAGAAAAGAAGATAAAGAGAAAAGAAAAAATGTTAATGAAAAAAGTACAAATTCTCAAAATGATGAGGAAAAATATGATAATTCTAAACATGAATGTTATTATCATTATATACCGGTAGGTTAATTTTTGTTTATTTTTATTGAAATTTAAATTTCAACTTTCATTAAAAAAGTTAAATTAAAAATAATTAAATTTTTTTCAGGACGAATTACAATGTTTTATTCAACATTTACACAATGCTGGAGAGTACACTGATATTCGTAATACTTTAAAAAATAAAATTATCACTCTATTGGATCAAAAATTTACAAGTGATATTTATAGTTGGGATAAAAAAGAAAGTCAGGTTTGTAGAAAATAATTTTAATTATTTTTTAAGTTACATAAACTTTTTTTTAAAAAACATTTACTGACAATAGAAGAGAAAAACACTTTTAAATTATTTTCTGAACGAATCACTTACTTTTAATAATTAACTTTTTTTTTTTTAATAGAATCAATCTTTTTCCAAAGAACCATTTTTTTAGTTTTTGAGAAGAAAAAGACAAAACAAAATTTTAATACATAAAGATTGAAAAAATGTCATTTTGAAAAAGTAGAATAGTAAAAAGATATTTAGATTAGAAAAAAAATAAACTTATTTTGATGTAACATTATTTTAAGAGAAGAATATCTTTAAATTTTAGTCATTCCAACAATTTCTTAATAATTTTTTGCTTGATTAAATGCTTTAGAAAACTCTTGATCAAATTTATATTCACTCATTCGTTTTCTTGTATAATAATCCCTGTATGTTTTACACGCAACACCTGAAAATTAAGAATTTAGATGATTTAAAAGAAAAAAAAAAAATATTGTTATTTAAATTCAATTATAATTTACCTCGAATACATTGAAAGAATTCTGTATTCTTAATAAGTACTTTATTCGGCATTTTTTTTAACGGCGTAAATTTTTGAGTAAGTTCTCTAGTTAAATATCTTCTTATTATAATAACTAAACATCTTGCCAATGATTTTTCATTGTCCATTAACGGATATAATGAAGCAATCTAAAATTTATAAAATGTCCTTAAGTATTCTTTTTTTTAATTTAAATCATATTTATACTTACAAAATCATTTCGAAATTCTTCTTTTAATTTTAGATTATGATTGAATCGTTTAAATTTCGTTTCTGTTTTTAATGGAATATTAAGCTTATATTTCTTAATAAACTCTTTCTCGGTTATTTTGAATGATTTGATTTTTTTAATTATTGAAACAACTTTCTCAATATTTTTTTCAATTGTTTTTAATTTAAATTCAATTTTTTTCAATGTTGATAATTCATTTTCGTTTTCTAATTCATCTGATGATGAATCCGAATTTGAATCCAAAATTGAGTCACTGTCTGATAAAATAAATTATTTTGGTATAAAATTATTGAGAAAATTAATAATTTCAATTTACCTTCAATCATAATTTCATTTGATGAGGAACTTGAATCATCAGAACTTGAATCAGAACTTGATAACACAATTTTTTCAATTTGCATTGAAACTTGTTTTTTAACCTTCTTCATATTTGAATGTTGAGATGTTTCGTCCTCTGACGATGAACTTGAATCCAAATTTTTTGTTGTATCTGGCTTTTGAGAATTTTTAAACTTCGAATTGTTTAAATTAATATTAGGCACTGAATTTGATTTTATAACCTCACTCATATTTGATAATAAAAGTCTCAATGATAAATTTGTCTCTAAACTTTGAAGAGGATTATTTATTTTTTCTTTGATTCCTAATTGTTTTGATGCTTTAAAAAAAACAAATGTCTATCAATTTTCTTCAGTGTTTAGTTTGTAACTTTTCCTAGTTACTCAGCCCTGGTTAGTTTACCTCCAGTTAGTAAATTCAAATTTCAAACTAAAAAATTGAATTCTATTATAATTATAAATTATTAATGATTGAAATAAATTTTCTCTAGAATTACATAGCAAAAGCCTATGTTTATTTAGTAGAACGTATACACATGGTTCTAAATAGTACAATTGAAAACCAATTATTCACAAAAAAATTCGAATCAAAAGAATTGGAAAATTTTTATTTTTACGCTGAAGAAGCTTACATTTTGGGAAATATTGATGAAGCAAAACATTATTATGTAAATGTAAATATGAAGAATGAGATCTAAAAATCATAAATATTTTTAATATTGAAATTATTCCACTTGTTTTAGTTAATAATTTTTTTTTTTTTAATTTCAGATAATATCAAATAATTCAAAAAATCCAAATGCTTGGATTAATTATGCTATTTTTCTCAAAAAAAATTCAGAAATAGAGAAAGCACTTCAATGTTGCAGAGAAGCAATCGCTTTGGATAATCGACACAAAATAGGGTAATAAAAATTTAAAAAAAAAATTCTATTGAATAACAATTTAAAAATTAATTAATTAAATTAGATTATTAATGTATGGTATACTTCTTACTTCGTTGCACAAATATCGAGAAGCACAACTATTTTTAGAATCACTTACTGCATTTTATCCACGATTTGCAGAAGCTTGGATTATTTTACATTTATTTTATCAACAAATTGAATATCAACCAGGTAACAAATTATATAAAAAAATATTTCAATATTAATTCATAATTTATTATAATTTTTTTAAATATAAAAAATATAATAAAGTAATAATTTACTTTTTAAAATTATTTTTTTTTAGGTTTAGATGTGACAATCAACAACGCTGAAAAATATTTTCAAGATAAAACACGAGATACAGATATTTCATTACAATTTTTTAATCAACCCTTAGCTTGGTCAATGAATTTTTGCAAGGAAACTGAAATGTACATAGTTACTGCTACACTACTCATGAAATTGAGTCTTTATGAAGTAATTTTGTAATAAATTATCAATTTAAAAAAAAAATTAATACAAGACTAGCGATTATTATAATTACAATTTTTTTTTATTAGTTTGCAGGTTTGGCTTTAGCTCAAGAATTATCATTAAACGGCAGAACAATTCCATTTTTATATTATTTAAGTGTCGATCATTTCTTGCGAAATCAATATGAAAGTGCAATTCAACATTTAAAAGAAATTGAAAGAAATTACGGTTTGGTAAAAAAAAAAAATTAAATATTTACAAAATAACATTAATTAATTTTTTTTTTTAGGATTATTCTACAAGTTCTTTGATTGGCCATTGTCTTTACAAATTTGGCGAATTTGATGATGCACTTAACTATTACGAATATGCGAATGTTACATTTAATCGACCCAATAATATACATTTAGTTCATTTACTGTAAATTTAAAAAAAAAGTTAATTATCTTTCAATTTTTACATAAAAATAATTAAATTAAATTTTTTTTTTCAGAATGGGTTCATGTTATGTGCGCAAAGAAAATTATAATTTAGCGAAAAAATTTTTTTTAATTCCTTGTAAAATTTCACCAACATGTGAAACATGGCTTGGACTGGGAATTGCATTGTATCACGTAAGATTTAATTATTCTATTTTTTTTTTCTCTCAATTTGCATACAAATTTTTTTTTATATCAGATGAACGAATTAAAAGAAGCTGAGATGGCTTTTAATGAGGCAAATGAAATTAATTCACGTAATGCAATCACGTGGGGCTATTTGTGTCTTTTAAATATTTCACTTCAACGATACGATGAATTTTCACAATGCTACAGACAAACTGTAAAGGTAAAAATAAGACAATACATTACAATATACTTTTAAAAAGGAAGCAAATTAAAAAATAACGGACACAGTTTGAATAAAAATAAGAACCCTTTTTTTTTATTATTGAAAAAGCACTACAGTTTTATTAACAACGTTTCTCTTTTTTCTTACTTCTGCTACAGAATAATCTTAAAAATAGTAAATTATGGCAGACTATAATAGACGCTATGGAAAAAATTGGTTATTCATCGCCAATAATTTCTACAACTGCGGAAAACATAAATAGCACATAATATGAAATTTCCTTTTTTTTTTTTTTTAGTAAAAACAAACTAAAATATTTTAAATATATTTTCATATATAAATATATATATATTATATAGCGAGAAAAATTACATTTGCTCTTAAACATTCCACTCTGAAAATTAATTAACAAAATTTTTAATAATTCAACTTTTTGACTTTGTAAAAAGTTTCAAAGTGTTTACAAAAAATTTCTATATTCAAAAGTAAATATATCAAAAATAATTTCTACAAGCGAAAAAGAAAAAAAAAAAAAACATAAATATATATATTTGGCATTGGGTTTGGTATTAGGAAAATATGTTTTTTTTCACACAAAGTTCGATTTAGATTTTGTTAAATTATAAATATTCAATTAGCTAAATCAAATTTTATGTTGAAAAGTAGGTAATACAAATAATTTCCTACTTTTTATATATTATAACAAATATAAATAAATATATTGAAAAACATTTTGTATTTGTTAAGAGTTCGATTAAAAAATAAAATTATAAATCTGCCAATAATGAAAAATTGTACAAATACAATTTTTTTTTTTTCTAAATTTGTCAAAAAATAATTTGCGATTTTTTCTAACTTTGAAATACTTATATTTAATTAGAGGGTCCTCATTCACGTTACATTGGTGAGCCAAATATTAGTTATAAGAATATTATCCTATTATTAAATTGAATTGAAATGGATATTACTCATTTCCTTATATCACAATGCATTAAACGCAATTTACTAATGCATTTAATTTTTTTTTTTAAATTTTTGTCCTTTCAAGACGATAAAAAAAATATTTTTATCTAAAATTTTTAATGTTTAATTTAGATTCTCAAATATTTTATAAATAAAAAAGAAAAAATTTTTTTTATCGTCTGAAAGTTTATTCATTTATTTTGCAATTACAAATTAATTTGCATCTCTTTTAAATAATATGGCTTCGATGATTCTATCGAATATTATATAATATATGAAAGATATAATTTTATTATGTACTTAATTATAAGATTTTCATTCTCCGATGTATAATTTTTAAGAGAGAAAGAGATATATCGATAATATTTGTTCTCTTTTTATTTTGTAATTATAACTAGATTAGCAATAATTATTCAGTTTAAGGGTATTGAACCCATTGACAAAGTTTTATATAAATTAACAAACAAAAATATAACAATAATAAAACTAGTCACAAAATATTTTTTTTTTCAAAAACTGAGTATATAAGATAAAATTTTCAATTAAACAAATTTTTTTTCTTAATATTACCTATAAAATAATAAATGTAAAGAAACAAAACAAATTAGAATAAATAATTTAAATGTATATAATAACTGAAATATTTAATAATGTTATTTATTTCAATATAATAATAATAATAATAATAATAATAATAATAACAATAATGAAAATAATTATGAAAATAAATGACTAAAAAAAAATATCTAATAAAATAAAGATTAGGAAAACGTAATTAAATAACATTATTAAAATAAATAGTCTATTTTCTAAAAAATATAAATAATTTTTAAATTTCCTTACATTTATAAAAATAAAACTTTCTTTTTTGTTAATTTCGGTTTTTGTCAATGAGTTAAAAATCCATTAATCTCTAATAATTTTTTAAAAAATTTATTAACTATCGACATGAGCAAAGACAATGAAAATTTTTATTAATATTTTGTTTATTAAATTTTCATGAACTTTTTACTAAATTATTTTTTCAATGACTGATATTTTTTTTATAATGAATTTTAAATAATGCAAATGAAAATATGAAATCTACGTAATAATTTAGAATAAAGAATAATTTATATTAATTAAGCTAATTAATAATTTTAAATTATTAATTAGATTAAATACTGTTGATTTTATTTTTGTTTTCTAATTTGATAATTGATAATTTGATAATTTTCAATAATTCATTAAATTCTAAATATGTTTCAGTCTTAAGATAAAATTTTTCTGAGTAATTCAATAAAATAAATTATAAAAAATGGATTAATTTTGAAAATTAATCAATTTTTTTTATATTTTATTTAGGTAATTGTAAATTTATATTGTGATTTTATAATTTTTAAATTGTTTTTGAAACAATTTAAAAAAAAAAAATGTTACTTAACAGAGAAATTTTTAAAGGAATATATTTAATCTCCTAAGGCTCATTTGTGTCGAATAAATAACCTATATAAATATACGAGTTATATTACTTAAATTTATCATCACACACCGGGTGCATTTTTCATAAAACTTTTAACAAACAATTTAACCAAGAATTTTTAATATCACTTGGTTTTATCTTTTTACAGGACGACATTATGGCAATTCTGCAATTTTTTTTTAGCAGGACCAAAGCAAAATAGTTTGCTTTGATTGAATATAATTTTATTTGAAAATAATAAATTTGTCTAAATGCATATATGAATAAGAAAAATTCAAGTTTGACAAGTTGTATGAAAATTGCGTAATTATTAAAGCAAACTGCCGAAATTTTTTTTTCTTTTTATCAGTAATCGTCGAAGAAAAAAAAAAAAAATTTTAATTATTAAATTTTACCTATTCACTAGGTATGTAAGAGGCCTCGTTAGGAATCTCAGTACTTACAGTTTTCAAAGTGTTGTCATCAGATTTAATTTCTAATTCGCGTGTATTTTCTTCAACGCTTTTGAAATTTTCGATAATTTCCGATTTCAATGTAATTTGTTGATCTTCAATTTTGGTTTCATTATTTTCACTGGAGCAATTTTCTATTTTCGAAAAAATATTTTTTGCTGAAATACTTTCATTAATGTTTAAAACATTTTCTGATAATTTTTTATTAGTGTCAACTAAAGGATGTTGATCGACAATTTCATTTTTTGGTGTTTCTTCCTTTTGTGATACTTCATTTTTTTCAATTTCTTTTGCATCTGGTTCATTTTTTTTCGTCTCTGGTTCGAATTTTTCTGTTTTTCTTTCCTTTGGTTCAATATTCTCTATTTCTTTATCGATTTTTTCTTCTTTTCTTTCATCTCGTTCAATTTTCCTTTCTTCTGATTCAATTTTCTCTATTTTGGTTTCCTTTAAATCGATTTTCTCTCTTTCCTTATCCTCAGGTTCGATTTTTTCTTCTTTCCTTTCTTCTGGTTCAATTTTTTCTACAATTCTTTCTTCTGATTCGATTTTCTCTATTTCTTTTTCCCCATGTTCGAGTATTTCCTTTTTTCTTTCCTCTGGTTCAATTTTTTCTTCATTTCTTTCTTCTGATTCGATTTTCTCAATTTCTTTATCGACTTTTTCTTCTTTCCTTTCTTCTGGTTCAATTTTTTCTACATTTCTTTCTTCTGATTCGATTTTCTCTATTTTGCTTTCTTTTGAATCGATTTTTTCTTCTTTTCTTTCCTCTGATTCCATTTTATCTATTTCTAGTTCCTCTGTTTCAATTTTAACTGTTTCACTTTTTTCAATTTCTTTTTCTTCTGATTTAATTGTCTCTATTTTTATTTCAATTTCCTCCTTGCCTTCAATATTTTCTATATCAATTTTCTCTGTTTCATTTTTTTCTAATACTTCATCTGTTTTCAATATTTCACTTTTTTCCAATACTTCACATTTTTCTAATAGTTCTGCTTTTTTACTATTCTCCAATTTTTCATTTTTCTCCAATACTTGAATTTCTTTTAATACTACATTTTCCTCCGTTTCTTTATTTTTCGTTATTTCCATCTCGTCAATTTTTTTCACCTCTATTTCTTCATTTTTTTCGAATTTCTCTTCCAAAGATTCATTTTGCGTATCACAATTAAAATCTTGAACAATCGCTTCCTTTATATCGTCAATTGAATTTTCAGCTTCAATTATCGTAAAATTATCGATAATTATTTGAGGTTCGTTATTTTTTAAATTTTCATTAACGTGAGTTTGAGAAAATTGTTGAATATCATATTCATTTGATTTCACAACATCAACATTCGTAGATTCTAAATTTGAATTATCGGTACGACCCAAAATTTTAATCACAGTATTTTTTGCACCATTGAAACGTGTTTGACCGCGACCACGCGATGTAGAGGTGAAAAATTGCATTTGACCCTGTGGCGATTTTTGTTGTTCTTTGAATTTCTTTTTTTGTGCCGACGGCGATTTTGCAGAAATCGTTGCCTCATCACGTTTCACATCCTTTCGCTGTAAATACGGTGATTTATTATTATCCTTTCTTCTTGTTGCAAATGGACTTTTTGGTGTATTTGTTCGCTGTGTATTATTGAAATGCATTTTCTCATCAAACGATTTTTGCCGATAGAAATTGTCAATTTGATGAGTTGAAATTTCACTCTCCGCATGACTCGAATAAGTGACACGTGATTTTTGTCGTGGTCCAACTCGGCCAGTGCCCGCAATACTTGGTGCGTTCACTTAAAATAATTATTTCATTTTGTCAAATTTAATTTTACAATAAAAAAATTATTTAAAAAAAAGAATTTATATTGTTAAATTAAAAAATAATTAGAAATTCTACCTTTAACACTCATAACTGGACCTTTAACCGGCATATTTCCATGATTCACAGTAACTTTAATATTTTTATCAGTGGCAATCACAGTTCTGTCATCGTTTGGCGATAAAGGTCCTTTAACCAATGATTCCGAGAAATCATTTTGATTATCGTAATGACCGTGAGTTCTTGGACCATGAGAGCCACGATGATTGCCTCCACGACCTCGACTAGAGTGTTCAACTTCAAAAATTTTCACACTTTCAGTACAGTAAAAAAAATTTAAATGCATTTTTTCTTTTTTTTTTTATTATTAATTTTTCTCTTTATACAAACCTTCGAATTGATGTCGCTTTTCAAATTCTTTATAATCTCGTCTACTTGTATCGCCTAAAGAAAATCTCGGATCTTTTTTCGATGATTCTTTCTCAATATTAATCTGAAAATTATTTTTCTATAATATTGATGGCTTTGATTATTTTTTTATTTAAAAAAAAAAAAAATTTCTAACTTCTATAAATTTATAAATTATTACTTTATCATTGTCCCATTCTCGACGCCAATTGCCCTCTGCTGTGCGCTGTCTATTTATTCGTGCTTCATCAATTCGATTTCGTTCAGCTCTCCATGCATCGTATTCCGGTAAATATCCATCTCTTGAAGTTGGCGGTACTTTTCTATGATCCTAAAGCATTTTTTTTTTCAATTATTACCGGGTATTTTATTTAAATTATTAAATACTTTATTGAATAAATAATAATAACCTTTTGATATCCATCTCTTCCACCGCCTCTTTTTCTAGGACCATTTCGAACATATTTATTTGGCGCTTTATGATTATCCTCATCTTTTTTAATATCGACATTATTTTCCTCCCTTTCAGAATCGGCTAAAAAATTGTATTTTGGATCCGGAGGGGGACCGTCTCCCTAAAAATTTTCCAAAAAATAATTATGCAATTATTAGAAAAAAAAAAAATTGTAAGAAATATTAATTTTGAAAATTACTTGAGCAAATTTATGTATTTTTTTTCCTTCCACTCCGCCAATTACATATTGTTGAGGACGATCTGAATGTTCTTTAATGGATTTCGATTTAACATTACTTTTATTTGTTTCTTTTCTCGTAAATTCCGGTGGCTCTTTACGTTCCGGCCAATCGCTCGATGGGACCATTTTAACAAGTGCATTTAATTTCGCAGCATTTTTCTTATCAGCTTCAACTTCCTAATAAAGCAAAATGTAAAATATAACTCGTATTTCTTTTTTTTTCATTTAAATTAAACAAATTTTTATTTACCTCGTATCGACGTTTAATTTCTTCATTTTGAAGTCTTATTTTATTGATTTTCTCCTCTAGAGCATTAGCTGCCATCTGACAAATAGATTTTTTTTTAATTAAAATTTGAAAAAAGCAACTGTTATTGGAGATTTTAATCACAAATAAGGGGATAAAATATAAAATGCGTAGTTTTCTGAATAGAAAGGAATATTTTTTACCTCTAATAAATATTAGTAAAACTTATTCTATTGAACTGAGCGAAATATTTCTTATTACGAAACATAACTTCTGTATAACGGGCCATTGCCCTCATTTCAAGTAGTACATCCATAAAAAAAATTACAAAAGTATAACCAAAACAATTTTCATCTATAAATTAATTTCTAATTTATAAAATAAATGTCTTTTTAAATAGAAAAGATTTTTTTCCCAATAAAAATTGAATGCAATTTATTATAAACAAATTGACCAAAAAAAAAAAAAAACAAAAGTGAACACGATGGAATTGACATTTTTAAGTAAATCGTGCAAAAAATATATATGAAATTTATATCATACTTTAAAAAAATAAACAAATTACAAAATTATTATAATTAGTGAAACAATTACAAATACTTATAATTTAGTTTTCTTAACCTCAATTATAAAATTATGTCATTTTTACGAATACAGAACGTATATATATTTTTTTAAATAAAATAAATATTCCAAATTTCTTATCAACATATAAAGATTCAAAACCTAAATTAATAGCTATTTATATTTCAATATTTTTTAATGTCGATTTTTTTTTTACTCCAAGTTCTAAACGCATTCCAAGTTAATGAGGTAATAGCAAAATATATTTGAATACAAACATTAACCTTGCTTTTGGTGACGATGGACGTTTTTCACTTTTATATTTTGAATAAATTATTATTTTTCAATAAAATTTCTTTTCCTGAAAGAAATTTATCTCTTTTTTCTAATCCCTTTTATTATTAAAATACTTTCAACTGTGAATGTCACCTGTACTTCCGAATTCCTAGATATCGCCAAGGTTGTGTAGTTGAAAAAAGAAAATCCGTAACATTTTAGAGGTTCCCTTTACGTAAATTTGTCCACTGTATATAGTCCACAATGTTAAGCTTAGTTCATATGACTTTCATAGTTGGATAGCGCAGAAATTTGGGTTCACTGGAAAAATCATAGATGTCGCTCATAAAGAATCAATGCTACCAACAAGGTCACATTAAACTAATTTCAAATTATACTAAGAAAAATTGTAAAAAAAAATTAAAATAAACGTAATTACATATGTAATATTATTTATATTATTATAAAAAAGTCATATAGTTTATAATATTATAAATTAAAGTAAAAATAAAAGTGTAATTTGAATGAAAATCGTGAATATAACGGTTTGCCGCCGAACGCTTTACATTCAGCCAATCAGAGACAAGCAATCGTCTCTGTTCCAATCTGCCTGTTACTTGTTGGAAAGAAGCCGCAATGGATGGCAGACTTGATTCATCGGTGCACATCACTCTCAAAAAGGTATGTTTTTTCATGTTTTCTTTGCAATTTTTTGATTTTATTCGTTCCTCAAGCCGAAAGGCATAATATTTTGTAATAATAATTATATAAATTCATGAGAAAATGGTTAAATATGTTGATTAATGTCTTGTGTTCATGCCGGCCGGCATTGTTGGCACTCGTCTATATTTGTGAAAAATTTCACAATTTTTTGGCAATATATTGTATAATATTGCAAAGAAATATGTGATATACAACAACAATAATATTGTAAGACTTAAACTTTTGTTGAATAATTGCTGCATCAATGAGAAAATTGCAATTTTACATTGACATTTTTTCAAGATGGCGGAAAATAAAATTTTCATCGTGACAATATTTAACAATGAACTTTTTTTTTTATTGTTGTAGAGTGCTCCTGTGGTGTCAAAATTGATTGCAAAATGGACTCATTTTTATTTGTTGCTTGAAACTCGGTCTTTTTGAAAAGTTACACTTCATTTTTTTCCAAATTTGAAATGTATAATTTAGAAAAGGGATCTCCGGGGATTGAGTGGCGAATAAAGTGGCGTCTTGAGCATTCTTTGCAGGAAAGGATTTTTCATCATGGTAAGTTGAAAGTTATTAATGATATTATTTCGTTTTTTCTCAATGTGAGATGAAAAAATTGAAATCATTAAATATCATTAGTATTTAGTTGTAAATTATTGTGTGTTCCAGATCTTTTCCGAGAAACACATCATAAGGAAATTGAATCTAAGGGAGCTTTCTCATGGCGTTGTGTAAAAAAAAAAATCTTTTTTGGTAAGTTTATTTCAATATGTATTATTATTTATAATATATTATAATAGTTTCAATAAATTGACGATATGAGGATAAAATTGAAACTTTTTACTTCTTAGCTTTACTTTACAGTTTTGAGGTTAAAAATGAAAAAAATTGAAAAGAACTAAATTATTAACAATTTAGTTTTTATTTTTATATTCTAATATATTAATTTTTTTCTTTTCAGGATTATGTGAGGGAAAAGGGCACAATTTTTGAAAAAAAAGTATTGTTATATATGTAAATTCAGTGATTAAAAAATTTTTTTTTTATTTAAAAAATTAATAAAGTGATTTAGTGATATATTAACGATAAATTCAGTGCGTGAGAGTAAAACAAAATATTTATTTAAATAATTACAGTTTTAATAAATTAAATAAGGATCAATTTTTCAATACTTGATAATTCAATTTTTGAAATTCTTTTTTTTTTTGTAAACAATTTCTATGCATAATACAAAATTATTATTTATAAAAATTATGTGGAGAATAATTTTTTCTTAAATGAATTCATCAGATTTTTGTTAAATTGCTTCTCTTCTTTGATAATGAAGTATAAAATATTTTTTTCAAGTATATTAAAAATTTTTCATTTTATGTAATTATTTAAATATTTTATTTTATTAATTTCGTGTGATTTTGGTGTTTCTAAATTTTTGGAAGGATTCCAATCGGGCGACTTCAATTTCATTGTGAGGTAAAATTTTGCAAATTGATAAATATTTTGTAAAATAACTTTTTGATAAAGATTTTAATCTATTTTTATTTATTTATTTGAATTATTAATTTATTCATACATATAATGAATTATATATAAAATAAATATAAGTAATATAATGAATTAATTAATAATTTAATTTTTATTGAATTCAAATTCTAACGTCTTTTTTTGTACTTCTACAGGAGTTCTCTGATGAAGCAATGATTCTGCCCATGCGCCAGCACAGCAATCAGGGAGCGGTAAGTCCTTTCTTTTTTCAATTGGTTTTGTGTCCCAAACAAGTTGTAACATATTCAGTGAAATCTTACAGTGGCGGGCAAATTAAATTCAAGTAAATTTTAATTAATATAAATTATTTATTTTAATAATAATTATTTTCGATTTATTTATTTATAATCTTGTTTTTGTTTTATTTTTAATTATTAGGCACAATTATTATTTTAATCAATCAATATTAATAATTGAATTATTTAATTATTACAAATAACAATTATTTTACACTTTTTGAAATAATATTAAGATAAAGGAATGAGTTTAATTTTTATTCAAACAATTGTATGAAAATATTAGTTTATTAATTTTTGTCACCGTAAGACTTTTCTACATATTTTATTATTTATTTATTAACAATTAAAAACTTTAATTTAAAACATTGAATTATTGGAAAAAATTGTATAAAAGACAATTAAAATAAATAAATTAATTAAATCATATAAGTGAATGAACTTTAATTAATTTTTTATTTTAATTCTATATAAATGCAATTTTTTTTGTAATAATTTAATTTAGAATCATTATAATTATTTAAAAAAAAATCAAGTAATGAGTTTAAAAATTAAAATTACTTTTATTTTCCATAAAGAAATAAAAAAAATATAGTTTAACACAATTAAGCATAGACCCTTTCGAGTAAATATTTTGTATTTTTTTTATTACGAACATTATTTTACAAAGCAAAATCGTGTGACGATGATTGCGAGCTTTTGATAATGATGATATTCGGAGAAAGGTGGGGGTGGTATATGGATATAAGATGAACGTTGGGATGATTTTGAGTAATGATATATGGACCAAGTGAAAATGTGGATGGAAACATCAGCACATTAATATAAAAAGTACTCTTTGACAGACAGCGCGAGAATTAGGCCGGCACACGTTCATTCATACAATTGTTTCATTATTTCACAATTTTCTTTTTTGTTCACACAGTTGTTTTTTGTTTTTGTTTTTTTAATGTTCATTAAAGAATATTTTCTTTTTCTCAAGAAGTATGTGCAACGTCGCATTAAACTATCATTCACAAAATGCGAAATCTTTTATCAATTTGAAATCAAAATAAAATTTTTGTTAGGCAATTTACATTATTAAATCTGAATTAATTAAATTATTTTTTTGTATTATTGTTAAATTATAATAATTATTGTATAATAATTATATAATAATTATTTTAATTATAAATAAATTATTTGAAATTTAATTTAATTTAAATTTAATAAAATGTAAATTTTCTAAATTTGAATTTTATATATATTTGCTTCCCATTGATAAAATGTAAAAAAAAAAAAAAAACAATGAATAATTGTTATCTATAATTTACAACAGTTCTTTTCAAACTATATATAATATATAAATCAATTTTTTTAATAGTAATTTCTCTAATATTAAAATTTAAAGTCGCTCAAAACTTATGCCTATAAAAAATTGCAATGTGTCATATACGTAAATAATATATTTAAATGAAGACAAATTTTTCACTCTCGTGTTTTAATTATTGTTAATTACTATTTTAATACTAAAATGAAAAATAATAAGTTTAAACAAAAATGAGCATAAAAACTCATGTGTAATTTCACATCTAATCACAATTTAAACTAGAAATCTAAATATTTTTTTAATTCAGAGTATAAAAAATGTATGCCTGCAATCAATAACATCACGCAAATACATTGTATATATTCTAAACTGATCACACAATTTTTTCACTTTTTTCTTCATAATTTTGCAAGTGTCTTTATTTCTAATCAAAAAAAAAAAAAAAAATCAGACGAGCCTTTTTTTTAAAGTGTAGAGATTCAAACATTCCGCCTCGTGTTTCTCATGATGAATTTAATAGCAATGTTAATTATTTACAAATAATAATTATATTCAATAAATTATTATCTTTTTAATAATAATAATTGTTACACTGAAAAAAAAATTTATTTGATTCAAATACCGGTGTATTTGGTTATTATCAAATAAATATTTACTTGAATCAAATATTTCTTATTTGAATCAAATATATAATATTTGAATATTTATTTGATAATAACCAAATATACCGGTATTTGGATCAAATCAATTTTTTTTTTCAGTGTATTATAATAATTATTATTATTAATAACTAATATTATTGACTGTTAATTATTATTAATAGTTACTTATTTATAAGTTGATAATTCGCTCCAATGATATTTTATTTCTTCTTGTTGTTAAATTTCTTTTATAAGATTGAGAGACAATGGTTTCCACTAATTCAACAATCGATTAGCACAAATTATTTAGAAAATGCAAAAAAAAAAAAATTGAATTTTGAGAATTTTTTTCTATACGTATTATTTTAAAAGCTCTGTGGGTGGAGAAGAGTCATTTTTTTTTATAAACACAATTTAATTTTTGTGATTGAAATTTTTTTCTTTATTTAACAAAAAAAAATTGTTTGTAATATTTTTTAAATACTTAATACATTTTTTAAAAAATATTTGTTTAATACAATTGTTTAAAAATATTTGTTTAATACAATTGTTTAAAAATATTAATTATATAATTAATGGTAAAACTTATATTGTTATAAAAAAATTTTGCTATTGGATAATTTTTAGTATTCTCATTATAATGAGAAGGTATTAAATTTTAGAATGATTTACGAATAATGATTGGATGAAAAGACTCAGTCTCATGTCACACCCTGCAGAGCCGACGAGATATTATATACGATATAACACGTTACGCTAAACGACATAACTATTTTTTTTCTTTTTATTATTATTATTATTATTATTAATTATTAGTGGCAACTGGCAGACAATCAGACAATTTTGGCAGGCAATAGTGAACGTAAAATAAAATTCGAGCATACACAAATTTTCAACAGAATCTTTCTTTAAACATTCGCGCGTTATCCAGACCTTTTCTCGTACCTGTTCTCTTATTCTCTCTCTCTCTCTTTTTTTTTCTCTTGCTCTCCTGTTCTTGTATTCTTAAAATCTAATTAGTTTAGCTTAACGTTTCTATACGAATCTTATTAATATTATAGTACAGGTTTTGAATTACGCTGTAATGTAGGCTAAACTAATTCTACAATTTGCATTGCCTAAATGCGAATGCAATTATTTTCTCAGTTAATATTAGGAATATCGGCAGTGAAATTCCAATGATAGACGCGGTAGGCAGGCAATCAGTCCAGCAAAGTCTGTGGCACTTGCGCTGCTCCAATATAACATACAATATATATATATATATATATATATATATATATATATATATATATATATATATATATATATATATATATGTTAAAGTCGAATATTTTGGGGTGCCCCCGCAAAGTGAATTTTATTTTTTTATTTCCATTTTATTATCGCTGATGAAGGATTTGGAAAAAAAAAAAAAAAAAAATTAGGGAGGCACCCCAGAGCTCGTGTGAGGGAGCTTTCTCGAAATTTTATTCCCACCATGGCACCTTCGTCATCATGTTCACCATATATCTTTGTAAATACGTCGTCGCCTTTTTTTTTTTTTAAATCTTTATCTCTTCTTTATTTTGTTTCCTATTTTTTTTTTCTTTTTATCAAATTCTTGTCTTCCTCTTTTGTTTTACTTATCTTTTTGAAAAATAACTTTTGTACAATACTCGGTGTGACTGTTGCGCGCAATTATTTATTTATTTATTTTTTTTTGCGGAACGGCCGCTATCGTAGCATATATTTATTCTTTTTTTTTTAATATATATATATTTATAATAATGTTGGATCAATCGGAGAAACGGAAATCGGCTTCAAATTGTCCAAAACAGAAATATTACTAAGATTATAAATCACAAATGAAATCACAGACTTTCGTTGGTGGTTTGACAGAGTGGGAAAAAAAGGGGGTGGGGGCAAAAATTACAAGATCGTAGGCATTTCTGGGTAATGTTTGTGTTTTTTTTGTTTTTTTTTTTTTGCTGAGAGGAGAAAGGGGATTTTATCCCCCTTTATGGTTCATTCCCATCCATTCTCCTTGATCATGTGAGCAAGCTCTATGATAAACTTGCCTTCTTTGTATTTCTGACTTGATTCAAATGCGTGCTCCTGTAATTGAAATTTTTCTTTATATTATAATCTCTTTAATATATATTAATTCTAATTTCTAAAACATTCACTAAAAAAAAAAATATTCTAAATTTAAGATTAGAATCCGTTTTTTATTCTTATTTTTTTAATTCAAAAAGTGTTTTTTAAATTCAAGTATACTCCTTGGCGACAATAATTAAGTTGCAAGAAATAAAAAAATAAAAATGTATATTTGTCATCAATTATATTAATATTATTGATATTATATCTAATAAAAAATTATTCTCAGAACAAAATATTTCTCTGTAAAGTGCAAGTGAAAAAAAAATTGTCTCTTTTTAATTGATTGTTTGATAAAAGTTCTTAATCTATAAAACAATTTTTGAAAAAAAAAAAAATGAGATTTGTAATTAAGTAAAGTTTTTGCGTAAAAACCTCGATAAGTATTTATAGATTTATCTTTGTTATTCTTTGTTACTATCGTATTTTAAATATTTTGATATACTTTTTATATTCTTTTTCAGTCTTTAGGAATTCAAAAAAAAAAAATAAATAAATAAATAATTAGAAAAAAATTAGATATTAAGAAAAATCATGATTTTTATTGACACTTTATGTATAATAATTATGTAGTTGTGGTGTTGATTAAAATAATTTAATCAACATTATAACTAAATAATTATTAAAAAAATGTTTTAATAAAAAAAAATTTGTAAAAAGAGTTCAAAAAAAAAGTTTTCTAACATTTTTTTTTTAGAAACTTTTAAGCTTAAAAAAGGGTTTATTAAACTTTTTAGCACATTTTACTGGGAGAAAGAAATAAAAATTTTTAAATTTTATTGTCGCCAAGGGGTTAAAATTTTTTTTTTTTTTTTTTTTTCTTTTCAATTGAACTTACATATTTCCACCCTAAGGTGGTTTTACAGCATTCGCAATAGATATCAGCTACAGCATGGAGGCCGGTTAATAAAACTCGTTCCTCGGCAGGACCGCAACCCACATTCACCCTATTAGAAAAATTTCATTAAATTAATTATATAGACGAATGTCTAATTATAATAATAATTCTAAATATTAAAATTTTTTTTTGACTCTATTATCATTAATAAATGGGACTTGATTATAATTAATTTAATATAGTTAATAATCGGTTTTAAGATTCGCGTGAGAATATGTAGTTTTTTTTTTTTTTTAACTTACACAGAATTAAAGAGGTAAGCACGTCCTTGACTGCCTTGGAAGGACTAAAAATAGAGAAAGAAAACAAATTTGAGATAAAGAAATACAATGAAGGGCGGCAAGTCTTTGTGTATTTATAATAAATGGAGTATCTAAATTCAATTAGAGAAAAAATTATTCATTAAAAATTTTTTTAAATGAAACCAAAAAAAAGAATTAATTAAAGATTCACGTAAATGAAAATTCAGTTCATTTAGAAATATTTATTATTTATAATATAAAATTTCCATACAGTCACTCAGAGAAAAGGTTTTTTTTTTTTTTTGAACCAAATATACCATTTTTTTTTGTATTGAAATTTTTTTTATTTAAAACAAAATTTGTTTGATACAAATGAAATGCTGGATCAAATAAATAATTACTAAATATTTATTTGATTTAAATAAACCTTTTGGTTTTTATTTGATGAAATTTTTCGAACGAAGAAAGAATTTGATTGAGCCAAATAAACTTTTTAATTGAATTAAAAATTTGGTTTATTGTATTTATTATTTTGTATTATTTATTTAATTAATTGTTAACTAAAATTATTATTAATAATTAAAATTAATAATATATTATTATAAAAATTAATATTATTAATTATTATTATTAAATTATTATTTATTAAAATTAATATTTATTATTAAACAAATGAATTAATAATTTAGTATTTTTTATGAGTGATGGAAATTCGAAAAGGGGGCTTTTTTTTTCTTTGTTTCGGGATATTAGAAAATTGTTTGCAAGTTTATAATAATTATTAATAAGTCACCTTAGAAATGAGTTCGTCGTGATTGGCGAGGTGAGCACGGCAGTGAATACAGGAATAAGTGCGATGGCATGAGGGCAGGTACGCTTGAAAAGTTTTGACCATGATGGCTTATCCAGATAAGTTAAACGTTTTGCCCTCTTTCTCCTCCTCCTCCTCCTCCACTTACTTCTCGCAGGACACTGAGGTTTGTTCAGTAAATTTAATTAAGCTTGCTGGTAACCAGTATAACAAGACTCCCTTTGTATTCTTCGCGGGGTGTTGGTGCAGTAGTGGCCCCGTTCACCGCCGCTTCGTACTCCGATCAGCTGTTGAGCTGGTTCAGACAGCGCCGGTTCGGGGACACCTGTAATTTAATTAAAATTTCACTAATCAATTTACAATATTTCTTCTATTTTTTTTTTTTTTCTCTCTTTTTCTTTATTTGCAATACACTCTCTTTTTAATCCAGTTTCAATGATAGAACAAGAAATGTCTATACGAAACATGTATACCTATATATCGGAAAAACGGATTTCATTCGTATAGTTTCAAAACAATTTCTTTAATTGAATCAAGTTTTCAATTGAGTTTTTTTTTTCTCTCTTATAATCGTTTTCTATACATTTTCACATGAATAGAAAATAATTTGTTCCAATTTTTTCCCTTTCTTTTTTTCATAAAAAATTCCCTCCCCCTTCCTCTTTCAATTAATGTTAATTCTCATCCTAAATAAATAATAAAAAATTAAAAAAATAAGTGATTCTATTCACTCTTTGAAGCGTCTAAATTTGTAAATATAATAAATGATAATTTTCTTTTTTTTTTTCATAAAAAATAGTATATTTATTATCAAACGGTTGATGCGCATATATGCAATATTTAGGAGAATTTTAATTAGTGTATACAATAAAAGATATTCTTTTGCGCCTTGAGCTGAATTTTAAAACTTTATATTTAATTAATAATAATATAAGATTGAAATAATGTTTAACTAAAAATATAAAATATACAGCAAAAAAAATAAATTTTAAATTTAATTAATTAATATTAATAATAATTCGAGGGGGAATTTACTCAGGTAGTCAAGTGTACACTCTTCCTGTAATACTTGTGTAATAACGTGTAATACCGTGTAATAATGCGTTATTACGGAGCTGTAATAACACAAAAAAGTCTCTAATATCTCTGTAATAATGTGTAATACTCTGTAATAACGTGTAATAATTGGTAATAAGGGTAATATGAGGTGTATTACCGGTAGTCAAGTGTACACGTTTTTAACTATAGTAAATTCTCCCTCGGTAATAATTATTAATACTATTAATTATTTTGTCCTTTTTGTAAATTATAAGTAATAATTATATATTTTATAGATTTTATATTTTATATTATTATTATATTAAATTCCGTTCAATTTTTTTTTTTCTATTAAAAATTGAAGAAATTGATAAAAAAATTGCTGGCGGAAGTGAAAGGATTTAAAAAAAAGTAACTCATGGTTAGATACAAGAACTATGTGTATATATATAATAGTTAGATGCAAAACAAAGGAAAACGGTGAATCTTTCTTGTGCGGGTATTACGTCGAACCTGCAAAGCGCAATAATCTCGCTACAATTAAACGGACTTTCAATTTTGAAGCGCAATAATAATCTGTCATTCATACAAGTTAGATTGTGTTAACACGTGTCAACACCTGTTAAAAAAAAAAAAAAAAAAAATATACAAGGTCTTCATTGTGTTCTTATCTTTATAATATATATAAGAGAAAATGTATCTCTCTCCTCTCTAAACATTTAAGCAATGAGTTTTAAACAAATTTCTCGAATAGTCAATTCTCTTTTTTCTTCTTCTTCTTCTTCTTATTTTTTTTTCTCCATTCGAACCAAAAATAAAAAATTTAAAGCTATATAAAATTGAGCAAGAAGATGAAAACTTTTTTTTTTTTTATATAATCGAGTCATCGCACTAATACTTTTTATACAAGCTCTCAAGATATATAACTTTCTCTCCTGAAAGCTCACGAAGTCTCGTTAAAAATTTAACGTTCATTTTCAAGTTGCCTTTGAAATCATTTCGTTTGATATATTATATAGCATTGTTAATTTTGTTTTTTTTTTTTTCGCCAGGGATATATAACTTTCTATCGAATATGCAATTTTTCAGAAAATTGACATTTAATAATATTGGAAAAAAAAATTGTTATGCAATTGTTTTATGTTCAATGATTCAGTGCTCTTGAATGAAAAAAAAAATAATAATCTTCCAGTTATATATGGAAATTTTCTAAACATGAGTTATTTTTAAAAATTGATATTTTTTCTGTATTAATATGCAGATTTTTATAAAATAGTCATAAAGTTTTATACATTATGGAAATAAATTATAAAGTAATTATATAAAATATTATTATCATATTATTAATATAGTATTATTTTTTATTTATAATTATTATTATTATTATTATTATTATTATTATTATTATTATTATTATTATTATTATTATTGCTATTATTTTTAAAAAAACTTGGAAAAAAGAAAACTGAATTTCCGAAAGAGTAAATCTTTCCTAACAAAGGTTATTGATCTCACGTGCCAACAAATTTCAGAAAATAAATAATGAAGTGTCAATGATGGCAAAATATATATTGTAAATAAAATAAATAGTGAAGAATAGTTATTTGTTATAGAAATTGCAATAAATTTTTATTAATAAATAAATAAAGGGGCTTTTGCAATTATATACATGTAATTTCGGCTAAAATATATTTTTGTGTGGGTGTGAAGATTCTTGGAAAAAGCCAACATCGCGTTAGAGTTATACATGAGGGTGTAGAGTTCACGGGTTCAATTCCCTTTGCCACCTCCAAAATATCCAGAAAAAAAAAACTCTGTGGGGGGTCGTCGCTCTAGCGATTTTCCACACATACTTTGATATCAACGAACAAACAAGTTTGCGAATTGAGATCCTTTATATATATATATATAGGATAAAAAAGAAAAAGAAACTTGTGACTACTTCCTGTATTGATTTTGCGATTAAGCGTCAAAGAGTGTTAATTGTCTTCCTTACAATTACTATTTTTTTTCCACTTGTATCGTAAAAATTATAAATCCGATATTTCATAAATTCCACTCTGTAATTACTTACAAATTATATATTTTTTTTAAATAAATTTTTATATTGAATTATTTTTTTTTTTTTTATAGATTTGATCGTATTTTTATTTCTATAATTATAAATAAAAACAATGTTTATTTAATTAAAATCTAAAGTATTGTGTGTGGCGAGGTCGTTTTTATATAAAAAAAAGGCTTATTGATTTTTTTGAATCTAAAATTACAAATACATTAAAAAAAAAAAAAAAAAATGAAAGAACATTAAAGCGAAACTAACTTGTATATATTTGGTTCAACCTTCAATCTGTTATCTTGCTAGAAAATGATTATTGGTTTAAAGGAGGAATTAATAAAATGTTTTACTCAGCAATAAACGTTATCCAAAGAATGAAAGCGTAGATTCGCAGAAGGATATACACAAAGCGTCTAATACGATTGGAAAATATAAAGTGGAGATACTACTATACTACTCGTCACAACGCATATGCGTCAAGGTTAGCCAGAAGTGTATTAATGCATCTGAAGTTATCTTCTCTAACAATTTATGTTTTCTTTGTTCGAAATAAAATTCAATTAAATTTGAATATAAGAAAACCACTTTTTTTTCAAATGTCCAAAAAAAAAAATAAAAAAAAGAATTTTTTTTCGACGAGTTTTTTAAATAGAAAAAAGGAAAATTAAAGAAAATAAAAATTTACACAAATGAAAATATATTAACGCAAGATAAATGAAAAAATATTGATTTTTGATATAGAAATTTTGAAAATAGAAAAAAAAAATTTTGGATACAAAAACGATAAATAAATAAAGAAATAATAATAATAAATTTCATCGAAACGAGTCAGGGACAAAAGAAATGTAGAATTATTGATCATTCATGAACTACCAAATCTACGTTGAATTTTTATGAATTTCTGATGTTTATGATGAAAAATTATATATTGTAATCTGCTTACAAAAGAGACGTGTATATAATATGCATATATTTGTACATTTTTGGATTGACCGTGAAAATTTGAAAAAAAGAAAATCAGAATTTGAAATCACACAATCTAATTAATAAATAAAAGATAGGCTTGTAATTTGCATCAATTTTACATTTGTTTCATTAACATAAAATACATATAAATAAAGTAGAATGAAAAATTGTCGCAACTTTTCAAAGTACTTTAAGTATATAAATATAAGTTAACAAATCTTGTTTGAAAATAATTTTAATTCTTTTTTTTTAATGAAATTAATTTTTAAAAATTTCTAATTTTAAAATTAGAAAAAAAATATTTTTTTTAGAACAAAAAATTAATTTTTTTTTATATATTAATGAAATTTTCATTATAATGTCCAAATAAATAATATATCTGAAAGTTTTTTCTTTTTTTTTTTTTATAATAATAATTTATAAACTTGACTTAAATATTGGAATTGTGACGCCACACATGTTTAGAAAATATTTATACTATTGCAACAATTGACGTCATTATAAATATAGATTGTGAATAACAGTATAATTATTTAATATTATTTGCAACTAATATTTTTAAAGTTTCTATAACATTCGTTGGGAAAATTATACTTATAACAATATTATTTAACAAATTAGTAATTTTAATAAAATAAAGTTATATAAAAATTTGGTAAACAGAGCATAAAAGCAAACAGAAATCTCTTTGCATAAGAGATATCGTGAAATGTAAATAACTTTTTTCAAATTTTTTATTATTCATCCACATATATATATATATATATATATATATATATATATATATATTTTAGTATCTTATCGTTTGTTCAAATCTTTCTTTACTTGAGTCAAACACGGAAATTCATATCAGTTCGACTTCTGATAGACAATGATAATTGTTTATGTTTAGTTAAAATTACAATACACAGTCACTTTTTTTTTTTATAAAAAGAATGTAAATATTTGTATTAGAAAATGTTTTCTTACTTTCCTTGTACTGGTTAAATAGTAACTTGTCAAAATAAATATGTTTTATTGAAAATAAAATAATAATAATAATAATCCATAATAATAATAATAATAATAATAATAATAATAATATAAATAATATTTAGAAATGAAAAAATTAAGAAGGAAAAAATAGTTTTTTAATGATGACATTTTGTTAAATAACTTATGAACTTTCTTTTATTGATAACCTATACAATGTTTTTATAAAAAAAATATATAAAGTTCACTGTGTGTTAAATAAAACATATTTTTACTTTTATTAGTAATATTAT